ACCAATGCTTTATTTCTTATGGGAAAAGCTTCACCAGCTAAATTTCTGCATTACAGTGGTACCTTGGGTTAAATACTTATTTTGTTCCGGAGGTCTGTTCTTAACCTGAAACTGTTCTTAACCTGAAGTACCACTTTAGCTAATGGGGCCTCCTGCTGCCACTGCACCACCAGAGCACAATTTCTGTTCTTATCCTGAAGCAAAGTTCTTAACTCGAGGTAATATTTCTGGGTTAGCGGAGTCTGTAACCTGAAGTGTATGTAACCTGAAGCGTATGTAACCTGAGGTACCACTGTAGTTACAAGCACAGGCGTGTGTGTGTGTCTCTCTCTCTGTGTAGCTGCAACTTCAAATGGCAATTTCATCTAGCCAGCCTGAACACACAGTGGGGGGGAAGGATTACCACAGAAAAGGAGGACCCAGATTCCATGGCCCAATTTCAGTCCCGGAAATTGATTCCGGGGCTTAAGCTCATAAACATCTTAGATACTGAAACTATTTTTCCAGCTTTGTAAGTGATCTGCCTGAATAAAACAAAGAAAAAGAATACTCTGCATTCCCCTGACATTGGCAGAAGCTTCTGAGAAGCAACCATGGCTCAAAATTTAAATTCAGGCTGAGGGATCATGTGTGCCTGGAAGATGCTGAAGTATGAGAATGTGTGAATGCTCCTGTAGTTGTGGCCACCACCCCTTGAACAATATCGCACACACCTTAGATAAATCCCAAATTAATATGGATCCATCATTATGGAAGACACTTCCATCAATCTCCACAAAGTCGCTGAAATTTATGGCAATGCTGTGCAAAGTTGTTTTGCTTTTAAGTATCTGCGAGCTTTCAGGAGTCTTGTCTCCTGGTAGCCACAATTCTGGAGTCATGCAATTGTTGGAGAAAGCTGTTCAGTCATTCTGGAGACAGACCATCAGGCTATATGCTAAGTGGCATCCATTCCTTGCATCTACTGATGGGAACTGGACTTAGTCCAGCTGTTTATACAATATAGTTTGGAACAGATAGTTTTGTCGGAAGTCTGAAGAGGAATTGCCATCCTTTAGAGCAGGAATGGACAACCTCTGTATTCTCAGAAGCCACTCAATCATTTCCTTAGAGAGTAGTTTGTGGAAGATGTGTTTTGCCACATAAATTGATCCCTCACAAGCTGGTGTCACACAGCAGAAAGGGATTCACAGACATGGTGTGCTTCAAGATGACTTGTTTATTGAGCATTCATCCTGATTTGTTTTTAGGGGAGGCTAGACTGCATTGTGTCCAAGCAAGTGTTATCCTAGACTAGTTTCCTGTGCATTTCACCATCACTTATTGCAAAAAGCCAGATCTTTTGGGTTGCTGTGCATGACCTCCCAACTCAGTATATTAGCACAGTGTCAATTTGCTGGGATGGGATTGCATCACACCTGACAGTGTGGAAGTGCCCATACTCTCAGAGATAGTTAAAGCAAGAATGGGGAATCTGTAGGCCCTAGATGCTGTTGAACTTCCATCTACCCTAGCCAGTGGGGTTAAGGGTCTAGAATTATGGTAGCTGGAATCCAGCAACACATGGAGGGCCATAGATTCCTCATCCGTGGGTAAGAGCTTTATAAAACATGGCAAAATAAAGATTTTCCAGGGGGTATTCATATTCGTTTGTTGCTGCAAAAATTAGAGATTTGTGGCACCTTAATTTTTTTATTATGGTATGGCTTTTGTGGACTAGAGCTCATTTCATCATATGCATGGTTATCCAAAGTTGCAATATCACATGGTTGTAGGATAGTGGGGGCAAGATTAAAAGCAGTGAGGTCACAGGGGAATAAAATAGAGATAGATAGATAGATGATAGATAGATAGATAGATAGATAGATAGATGATAGATAGATAGATATAGATAGATATAGATAATCCTGACTGTGATAAGTATGTTAAAGGTTAAATACATGTAAAAAAATTCACATTCCAAAAGTAGTACCACAAACACCCAGGCATTGGGAGTCTATATGCAGTGTGTTAAAAGGATCTTATCGTGATTGAGGTCGCAGATGATAGAACTGAACTTTATACCTTATTACTGAGTCATTTCAAGCTGGAGTCTCCCTTTGAAGTTCCCTTGTTCAAGAACAACCACCTTAAGATCAGCAGCAGAGTGTCTTCAGAGGCTGAAATGTTATCCCATTGATTTCTGAATATCTCCCTTTCTGAGGTCAGATGAGAAGAAGAAGAAGAGTTTGAATTTGATATCCTGCTTTATCACTACCCTAAGGAGTCTCAAAGCGGCTAACATTCTCTTTCCCTTCCTCCCCCACAACAAACACTCTGTGAGGTGAGTGGGGCTGAGAGACTTCAGAGAAGTGTGACTAGCCCAAGGTCCCCAGCAGCTGCATGTGGATGAGCGGGGAATCGAACCCGGTTCACCAGATTACAAGTCTACCACTCTTAACCACTACACCACACTGGTGGTGTGTTTAATCTTTTGTATGGAGACTGACTTGTTTGTCCTATGGGTAATGCAGAAGAGCATGGCTGGTGGAGGATAATACATCTCACAGATAGTGAGCTGGTGATGAGCTGGTGAAGGAATCCTTGGTGTTGGGGCTGACATTACTAGTTCCTCTAATAGTGTTGCCTAGTAGATATGGGGACAGAGTTGGCATCTGGGTTCTGTTGCAGAAAGAGTCTGCCTTTGTGCCGCTGTTAGGTGACCTGCTGTTGCTACCGAGTAGGTGTCTGTAAGCAAAGACAGGCCTACCACTCAAAGTCTATGAGAGGGAAGTAATATAGCATTGTCCAGGATGGGCTGTTGATAATACAGTGATACCTCGGGTTACATACGCTTCAGGTTACAGACTCCGCTAACCCAAAAATATTACCTTGGGTTAAGAACTTTGCTTCAGGATGAGAACAGAAATCGTGCAGCGGCGGTGCAGCAGCAGCAGGAGGCCCCATTAGCTAAAGTGGTGCTTCAGGTTAAGAACAGTTTCAGGTTAAGAACAGACCTCCGGAACAAATTAAGTTCTTAACCTGAGGTACCACTGTATAATGGAGTGCTTTTTCTCTTCTAGGTCTACTCTGTAGTGTTGTAAGTAACTCCTGGGTAGCAGTCTCACCTTGTTGATCTGCTTTATCACTTCATTGGATGGGAATTATAGTCTAAGAAATGCCTGGTGTAAATTCTTAAGTTGCAAGTATCTGTTGAACATATCAGAATAGACTCTGCACCCTACCCTGCCTGCCTTACTTCTAGTATCAGACCTGGACCCAGAGAAAACTTGTTTACAACAGTGGAGTGTATCGAGGTTTGATTTGAAAGTCTTTCCTCTGTCTTTTTCAGAAAAAGAAAGGATCTCTCTCTCTCTCTCTCTCTCTCTCTCTCTCTCTCTCTCTGGAACTGGGGATGAATTCGATGCAGCTCACATTTAAAGACAAATCCACACTTTCTGAAACAGTCATTCTGCATATCCTGATGCATAGCCATAGGCAGCTTGCCATGAGATTAATGCTCCCCCCCCAAGATATTTTTTCCTAGTCAGAGCATCACTCTGATGTGTTGATGCCCTCTGCTGGTTTAATGTGAAATGCTAGCATTCTGACTGAGTATTTTGATAAATCAAGACTTTGTCTTCCATGGGATTGAGATACTTGGAGGGTAGAAGGATATTTAAGAGGCAGCTCTAGTTCTTTGAGGAAGGGTTAAATGGTTTGGAGAAGAGAAGAGTTAAATTACTGATGGACTGAATGTTTGGAAGTTCAAGCCCCCCCCCAATTATACTATTCATTTTTTTAAAATGTAAAAAAAAATGTAAAAAAAAAAATTATCTTTACAAGATTCTGTGATACAATAGGTTGGTGAGATTCCAATCTAAGGAATCTTAACTTGCAACACCTTCAAAGTTGTTGAGCTTTTTAACCCAAATGGTTAAAATAGTGATTTTAAGCTGCTGTTTCCGAAAAGCAGGATGTGTCAGGAATTTTCTTGATGTATGGCAAGTCTAACTCAATGGGTCTGAGATTACCTGCATGCCATTTGAGAAACTAAGAGAGCAAACCCATAGACAGGAAACATATATATCAGTGACCCCAGTTTTAATTTCATGCATGGATCCCTAAGGTTAGGACTCCATGTTTATGATGGGGTTGCATATCTATCTATCTATCTATCTATCTATCTATCTATCTATCTATTACAGATTGCCATGGAATCCATTTTTGATGAAGAGTAATATATACATACTGTATTTTGATGAAAGCAAATAAGTAGGAACATTGGTTCAAGTAGCTCAGTATTGCTTTCACTGGCTGGCAGCAGCTGTCCAGGATTTCAGGCAGGGGGTCTTTCCTGCCTGGAGATACCAGGGAATGAACTGGGGACCTTCTGCATCCAAAACAATTGCATTACCATCAAGTGATAGCTCTTCTGCAAGCAAACATTTGTATTTATAGAGGAATAATTGAATCTTTCTGTTATGTACTGAAGTTCTCACCCTGGGCCAGCAGGGGGATACTGTAGATAGTTTTCACTCAGGTCCACATATGCAAATAAGGGATTGAAAGTGACGTTCAGTGATTGGATAGTTACAGAAAATGGTTACTGTTGCGTTCTAGTGGAGCTCTATATAAGCAGGCTGGCTGAACCCTTCAGTTCAGTTCTGTTCTGTTCTGGCCTGTGAATAAACAAGAGCTGTTTGAAGAATCACTGTGTCGTCTGATATATTCACCCACAACTTAACTCTTTCTGATTTGACTCTGAAGGTAGATGACACTACACATTTTCACGGTCTCAGAAACATGATACACATGAAGACATTCCACTGCCCTCCTTTGCCAGCCCAATTGTTCCCTAAGTTTGTAAGAGAGGAAGGCCGATTGCGGGATCTACTAGTGGATTTCTAAGAAGCTGCTGCTATGTTTGAACCTGGAAGAGGCTTAGTTAGATATTTTGCTGTCCTCAGCCCAGGGATCCCTGGTCTCCTATCCAAGGCTAATAATGACACCCTGAATCCTTCGTCTGTAAACGTGCTGATTTATTACTTTCCAAAGCTCTGCAATACACCATAAAGCAGTAGTCCTCATTACATTGTCCGGCTGAGGATATGACTGGCCATCAACTTGACTGCCAGCATAATCTCTTGGCAAGTTGGCTTGATCTCAGATTCAGGAAGGAAGAACCCATATTTGCCCCTGTCACGAAGCTCAAAGGTGAAGGAATATTTGATACCCTGATTGTAAGCCCAGTCATCGGAACAACCAGAGGAAGGATCTGCAAAACAGGACAACAAAGTTAATTGTCGCTAGCCTGCTACAGAGAACACAGCAAGAAAAAAATAGAGGAAAATGTTATTGTTGCTTGTTTATTATTTGATCTCGTTTCTTAGGACTTCTCAATGACATTCAAAATAGGTTTAGAGGATGACCTTTGATGAGTGCAGAATCAAATTAAGCCTTGATCAAAGGTCCATTTACACATGCATGCTCAACACTTGATGACTGTAACACATAAAGCCTTTATATTGCACATTTTTGTATGCTATTTTCACAAGTATTGCAATTTTATGCACACTTTGCCTTAATAGACACCTCTTTTTTGGGTAAACATTACTAGGTTGAAGAACTGTCTTGCAAAATCTGGAAAAGGGCAAATTGTGAAGGATAGTGAATTCGGTAGTTTCACATTAAAATGCAAATGGAATTGATTTTCTATTCCACCTCTACTTCATAACATAACATGTCAGTCAGGGATAGAGCTTAGAATACTCCATTTATACGTATCCTTTCTCCACACGTCTAAAAGGGTCTATAGGCCTCCCCCTCCTTGGCTGCCCGGGATCAGGGCAACTTACTTATTTGTGAGGGTGTTATGTACTGAGCTGAATCCTAGAACAATAGGATCCAGAATGCAGCTGTCTGATTAGTCCGCAGGAGCCACCCAATCCAGCTCCAGGTGGAAGTGAATCAGTGACCTGATTGGCCTGCAGGAGCAGCCAATCAGTCTTCTGGAGGAGGTGACTCCGCAGCCTAATTGGCCTACAGGAGCAGCCTGGAATTAGCCAATCATGCGGGCCCCATTGTGTAAATAATGTATATATAGCTAGATGTTTTGGGGAAAGCTTCATTCATTGCTACTATGAGCTGAATAAAGAGCATGAAATTCACACTCGACTCCGAGTACTGTATATTTCAGAGGAGCAAAATTTCAGTATAACAGAATCATCCCCCGGCTGGCTCTTATTAGGAACAGAGGAGCCCAGAACTGAACTGATAGGTGGAAGCCTTTTCTACACTGATGTTGTTAGGAGAACACAACTTTGTGTGGTGGTGGGGCTCCTATGGCACATGACAGGAAGAAATTCTGTAGGTGGCACTTTTTCCAACACTACATCTGCATGTCACAGTTTCTATTTTTCTTTCACATGTGTAGTGAAGGAAGCCCTTGCAGTCCTAAACACAATGATTCCGAATGTGTTATGTTTACAGAGAGATGAAGTATTTCAAATACTTACAGATTGTCAGTGCTGATGTCCCATACTTGTATTTTTTACCATACAGGCTGGCTATAGCTTGGGAAGCTTTCTTTGCGAGTTCATTCTGGTTTAAAACAAAACAAAACAAAACAAGCCATTTGTGGTAGTGGAATATTCTGACAAAAAGGGAAATGGGGGCAGAAATGGCTGATGTTTTCTTATTTGTCCCATATGAACCCATATAACTGCAGTGAATGTGGTTTATGTCTTCAAATCCAATGGAAGCCGGTTTGATGGAATACACATCAAACAGCAGTATTTCTCAATAAACTACAGAATATATATGAATTGTGGGTCTAATGTCATGTGCACATAGCTTCAAAGACCAGCTGTGGGAGCACACTAGACCCAGAGTTAATGGTAATCTTAACATGGCCATAGTCTCAAGATGGAACCTTGGAGGGTCAACCATTGTGTGTTCTCTCCCCGCAACAGCCTTGGGTTCAATCCAAAAGATGCAGAATACCCAACTGAACCATATAATAATAATAATAATAATAATAATAATTTATACCCCGCCCATCTGGCTGGGTTTCCCCAGCCACTCTGGGCGGCTTCCAACAAAACACTAAAATACAATAGCCTATTAAACATTAAAAGGTTCCCTAAACAGGGCTGCCTTCAGATGTTTTCTAAAAGTTTGGTAGTTATTTTTCTCTTTGACATCTGATGGGAAGGCGTTCTACAGGGCGGGTGCCACTACCGAGAAAGGCCCTCTGCCTGTTTCCCTGTAACTTGGCTTCTTGTAGCAAGGGAACCGCCAGAAGGACCTCGGCGCTGGACCTCAGTGTCCAGGCAACGCAATGGAGGTGGAGATGCTCCTTCAGGTATACTGGACCAAGGCCGTTTAGGGCTTTTCAAACGTTTCCTCCTTCATCCCACCCCCAACTTGCTTCAGTTACAATCTAAATAAATAGTTGCAGAGAACTCAGAAGCTTGAACATTATTTTGTGACATATTTGGTTGGCCTAATGCAGTTTTTGCTCTAATATGGATCCCTCCCACCCCCCAGCCTGGTGCCTTTTAGATATTTTTGAACTATAATTCCCATCAACTCAGTCATCCTAAGGCTGTCCAAAACTTCTGGAAAGTGCCAGGTTAGAGAAGATATTACCAGTTCGTCGTGGTTGGGTGCCTTGTTCAAAGTGTAGCCATAAGGGAACAATATCATCTGAGAGTAGGAATGAATTGACAGATAGGCTTTGATTGAAGAAAGATGGCTGCGGATGAAAGCTGCAACTGCTTTCGTTTCCGGTTCCGACTCCGCTGACGGTCCACAAAAATTTTCAGTACAAGGATCTTTGGAAGCATCCACAGCTGTTGGTGAAGAGAACACTTACTTTTAATTAGCTACAGAAGGTCAATATAGGATTTCCTGAAAGTGTATGAATTGAAAATTTTCCTCCAGTCCAAAATGGATGAAGAATTGATGTAGCATGTTTATTTGATTTAACAAAACTAATTTAACAAAGCTAAGAAGGATGTCATGTTAATTTATATTTGCTGTACAAAATACCTTTTTTTTTTTGCCATTGCCAAGATGTCTTGGAAACCAAAATATTAAATTGAGAGGGGAGGAAGTAATGTCCACATAGTGTGGCTTCAGAGTTATATTCAAAAAAATTCAAAGGTTTAGTTGCAAGTGTGTGTGTATTTTAAAAAAGAAAGAATACTTACTGCCCCATGCAGCATCAAAGTTTCTGTTGAGGTCAACACCAATACATTTATTGCTGGTTACATTAGAGCGATTCTTTCTCCAACAGCGATCCTAGTCGACAAAACAATTGAGGGACTTCAGACCCATATATGGACCCCCTCAACCCCTTAACAAATGATCAACAGATTAAATTGATTTTGAGCACAAAGCCCCCATAGTTAATTATGAATTTCCTACAAAGAAGGCATTTTAGTGTAGGTAAGCCACAGCATGAAGGCGAGGTGTGCCTCATTTCATGCGACGATCACACATGATCAAGCAAATGAGATGCATATGCTAGGAAGGAGCAACCTATCAGAGTCTGGTTGGTACATGGTAAATGGAGTCAATTGAGGTACATGCAGAGAAACAAACACAGGTTTGGCTGATCTCTGTATGGAATTCATAATATCTGAAGCAGAGTGGAGGACGGAGGTAGGCCAGTTCCTTGTTTAACCCTTAGTACTTCTATGTTATGGTTGCTTCTTCATTAATGTCTGTCTGGTTTCCTGATTTGCTCGAAATCTGCTAACTGGTAGCCACCTGGAGCTCATGAGCAGTAAACTGACCTTGAAAAGGAGCAACAGATTTTTGTACCCTTAGGTAAGGTTACCAGATTTTTTTTCAATGAATCCAGGGACACTTTTCAACTGCAATGGATTTTGTATGGGGTAAAGGTAAAGGGACCCCTGACCATTAGGTCCAGTTTTGACCGACTCTGGGGTTGCGGCGCTCATCTCGCTTTATTGGCCGAGGGAGCCGGCATACAGCTTCCGGGTCATGTGGCCAGCACAACTAAGCCGCTTCTGGCAAACCAGAATGCAGCTAGCATGGAATGTCGTTTGCCTTCCTGCCAGAGCGGTACCTATTTATCTACTTGCACTTTGCACTTTGACGTGCTTTCGAACTGCTAGGTTGGCAGGAGCAGGGACCAAGCAATGGGAGCTCACCCCGTCGCGGGGATTTGAACCGCCGACCTTCTGATTGGCAAGTCCTAGGCTCTGTGGTTTAACCCACAGTGCCACCCACGTCCCTTTGTATGGGGACTGATCTGTAAATCTGGGGACTGTCCCCAGGAAATGGGGACATCTGGTAACCTTACCTTAGGGGATCCATCTGCACTATACAGAATTACGAGAACTATAGTTTGGGTGCTGGGAGTTGTTAGGACACCCTCCCCAGGTGGTATAACAAAACTGTTTCTTACCAGAGCCCTATTGGAATTGCAACTCAGTGAGGGAAATCAGGGTCTCCTGACAACTCTCAGCCCCCTTAACAAACTACAGTTCCCTTGATTCTTTGGGGGGAAATCATGACAGTTCAAGGTGGTATGATATTGCTTTGAATGTCTAGGGCACATGAGGCCAGAATTAGGGCAGTTGCTCTGGAGCAGGTATGGATTTCATTATATCTTGTTTGCCCTCCTCAAACCGTTTTCACTGTACCAACCCACAAGAGCACACACATATCCCACTTTCATTGCACATCAGTCCAGAGTTTTTGCCCTTTAAAATCACAGATGAAGATTTAAGTTGCTAAAAGTAGCTTTTGCAAGCAGGAAGATGTGTACAGTACCGAAGTCCAACTCCAGATATAGCCATCTATGTTGAGTACGGGAAGGATGTAGAAATTCATGTTGTCCAGCAGATTTGTCATAACCTTGTCCTTTCCGTAAGTCCTGATGGCCTGGTGATACATTCGAGGGTTTAGAAGCAGTGGCGTAGCGTGGGGGGTGCAGGGGGGGCCGGCCGCACCGGCCGCAACATCGGGGGGGGGCGCTCGCACTCGCAGCTCTCTGCCCCTACCTGGCTCACTCACTCTCTCTCACTGCAGTGCTGGCTGTGCGAATCTGATCTGAGCCGCTGGGTCGCCGCCCACTGTGGAGGGGGTGGGTGCCAGGCGTGCGGTGCGGAGAGAGAGTGAGGGACTATCTGGGGGAGGGACAGTGCAGCGGCCGCCCAGCGCAGCGCTGAGCGCGGGAGAGAACCACACCAGACCAGCCCAGGCAGCAGCAAGAAGAAGCTGGCAGTGGCGGCAGGTTAGGGGTTAGGGGGCGCAAATTACTTGCCTTGCCCCGGGTTAGGGGGCGCAAATTACTTGCCTTGCCCCGGGTTAGGGGGCACAAATTACTTGCCTTGCCCCGGGTGCTGACAACCCATGCTACGCCGCAGTTTAGAAGTCACTTTTACTCAAGGATTAAAAGCAAATTACAATGCAGTACTATGTGAACTTACTCAGGAGTAAGTCTCACTCTCCACAGTGGGCCTAACTCCCAGATAAGTGCACATAGGATTGTCGCTGCAACTCACGATACTGCATGACAATAGATTCTCTGCAGAAGCTAATCTTCATCCTAATCATCACAGATCACTTTTCTAGAACAATCCCAAAGGCAAAGTGTCAACTTCCTATCTATGGTCGTTTCCAGATCGCCTGTTTATTGAGCATTCATCCTGATTTGTTTGCACAAAGATCTGGAAAGACTATGCAATATTTGCTATTTATTGGGTCTTCATTCCACTTGGTTTGCAAAGCAATAACTTTTAGCAATAGTTGTCCCGCACTTTGCAATGCAGTCTTCCCACCACTATGCTTACTATAAAAAGTCTGATTTTGCAGGGGTTGGGGGCTTGTTGCACAAGCATGCCAAGTCCACTTTAATCGCACAGCCTAAATTTGCTGATATGTGATTGAATCTCACCTGCAAAATAGTGACAGTCTGGAAGTGGCCTACGCCATGTTTTCTTAAACCAGACTGGAGCCCATTCACAATTTGTTTGCTGGCAGAAAGGAGCCTTTGATTCCCCCCCCCCCCTTGTGTCTCCTGCTGTGACATTGGTAAGGCTGGAATTGATTATTGCTGTTGGGAGGTGTTGCATAGTAAAGGAAACTTTCTGAGGTTCAGCCACTAAGACATTGCAGGTAAATAGGACTGGTTGTTAACTAACCTCTTTCACAAACCACTGGCAAAATGCAGGTGAAATCCACTCTCTTGCATGAATTCCACAGTCCATGAAGATGGCCTTTTTGCTGTCCTTTTGTTTCCCAACCTGCTTTTGAAACATTTTCTGTGGTTAGGAACAATTTGTAAGTTGCTGGTACATCTCTCTCTCTCTCTCTCTCTCTCTCTCTCTCTCTCTGTGTGTGTGTGTGTAAAACTACACAGATGTGTCAGTTCCTTTCTGAGAACCTTTCAGAAATGGATTTTCGCTTTTAAGCAATGCTGCAATTGTGTAGCAAACCTTTATAGCTTCCAGGGATACAATCTTACAAACACTTCCTCTTCCTCAAAAAATAAGCCCACCTGAGCCCTGTAAAACCTACGATGGGTCATAGCCTTGCATAGGATTTGGATACAAGTATTTTTGTTTTTCTCATTAAAGTAATAGGATATGCTGGAGGAAGATTCCGGAACCTTTGTCCCTCCAGATGTTGTTGGACTACAAGTCCCATCAGTCTTGACTATTCACCATGCTGGCTGGGGTGGATAGGAGATGTGGTCCAGAAACGTTTGGAGGGCTGAAGATTCCCCACCCCTGCTCTTGAGTATCTTTCCCATTCTTTGAATATTGCTGTGGAATGAGCGTCATACCTGAAGGACGTACATGGGCCGATTTTCAAAAGTTTTTCCAATCTGAAGGCGGGAAATCAACTTTGGCTTCTTTGCTGCAATTCTGGCGGTCCAAGCAGAAATCTGAATAAAATAAAATATAAATTGTTCAGCTAGCAGCAGATTAAATGCTAGTGATGCACAGATGATTCCTTTTTAACTGGAACTGAAGTTTGCGACACCAGATGACTAAAATATGGATGGACAGTAGCAGTGGTCTCATATTTTCCAGCACAGGGGTGCCTGAACCCCAGGTCCTTTATGAGTTACTTGTTCATCAACTGTAAATGTTTAGTTGTTGTTTTATATTTTGTATTTGATATACAGTTTGGTTTTTAGTGCTGTTTTTATGTAACCTGCCTTGAGATTACTTGATGAATGGCAGGATATACATGGGATGATGATGATGCTAATACCCAAGTACAACACAAAATAAAATAAGACCAGGGGTGCAGCTACATACAGAACCCCCCCCCCCGCTATAAATAAATAAGAAATTAAATCATTATAACAAAAAAAAAGCTATGTAAAATCGCAAAGAATTGTTTTTGCTCTCCAGCACCATCTGGTGTTGCATGCTTATAATGCAATCAAAGTGCTGGTTTTTTTTTCTTTTTTCTTTTTCTTTACTAATGTAGCTGTGTCCCCAGTCCTATCTGAGTGAAACCAGTGCTACTTCTGACTACTGAGAATACTTCCCCTTAAGGTCATCAAATGAATCCTGTACCTTGTGCCATTCATTATATTTCGTGTAACTGTAGCTGGTGGTAGAATTCCTTTCCAGTTGCTTGTCAATCTCTTCTTGAAGGTTTTGAAATAAAATCCTGCATGATACAAAACACCACAAGCAAAATCATGTACTGTCATGCACAGGATCAATTCAATATGTAAGTTTTATACATCGCACGACTTGTACACCTTTTAATATAACAATGATGGGGCTCATTTCGGCTAAAAGTGGGCCGTGACTCCCATTCCATTGAGAATGATGTGTGACAAACTTTCTACATTGGTTTCAATGTCATTTTAGTCACAACTGACTTTAGCTGGACCAAGTCTGTTAAAGTACATGGTTCGTCCAATATGATTCAGAGAACACATGGTATATCTCAGCTCCACAATTTTGATCTCAGTCTCTTGAAAGTTGGACATGCCTGGTTTACCTGATAACAAGCAGCAGTGAAGCTTTTCTAACAGCAGAACAAAACTAAGAACATCTGCTTTCTTGGGGCTATGATTCATTAACTAATTAAGGAAGAAGAAGAAAAATGTGTTGCATCACCTGTAGGTCAAATTCTACTCATAAATGAGAACTCCAAGGGCATAATAGGACAACTGCATACTTATATAACTTAAATGTCACTTTAATTGACAAAAAACCCCTGGGAATTGTGACTTGGTGAAGATTCATCAGTACCTGGAGTGTCAAGGATCCCCTGAGAATGAACATTAAACCAGTTTAAGTGTGCAGTGTGGATATGTACACAGATAATCCCACCATTATCTTTGCATGGATAAAACTATTATTGATTATTTGTGCCATAGATACTCCATTGGCTCTTAAGAACATAAGAAGAGCCTGCTAGAATCTACACAGTTTTCCAAATGGCTAGCAACCAGATGTGACAAATATTTAAGCATCACCCACTCATAATGTAGGCCGTTCTGCTCCAGGAGAGTCTTGGTAGTATTGGACTGTTCAGCACGGACAAGGAAATTCACTTCCATCTGGTTGACTATATGCGATGCTGAGTCTGGATACCAAAAGTCGATCTGCACAGGAAGAAATGTCAAGGAGTCAAGACGGAAGTCAACATGGATGTCGTTTTTGAAGAAATCTCTAGCTTTACAAAATAAAATGCCCCAGCATCTTAAAAACTGGCCATATTAAGCTTGTTTGAAAGATCAGAAATCTTTTATTTGCAACCAAATTCTAGAATAACTTTAAATTTTCTAATTTGGATTACTGTTACTGTTGCAGGAATACCTGCTCTTCCTGGGTCCATCCATTGCCACATTACCAAAGGGTTTGGACAGTGGTTCCACCTGAAGCTGGAGTTTAATGGTTTCTCTATCGGCTGCAGAGGAGAAGCACCATTGTGTTCCCAAACAAAAGGACTATCCTACAGAATAGGACAATCTTCTCTCAGAGAATTAAAACCACAGAGGAACAGCGTCTGGAAAAAGCGCAGGCTGCAGCTAAAAGAGTCGTTTTGCATTTACAAGCACAGGCTGCAGCTAAAAGATTTGTTTTGCATTTACAAGGAAGACCCATCAAAATAGATTTCTATGCCAGCCTGTGTTTTCTTGGAATGAAAAACTAGTACTGAAAACTTGTGTGCTAGGGCTGAGCCTCAAAATAATCCCTTGGTAGGGAAGGGATGGAGGGAAATGTCACTTAGTGATGAGGTTAGACTAGGGTAGTGATTTTAAATTCTCGAGAATAATCTTTTGGAGTATATTCTCGAGAATATTCTCAATTAATGAGGTGTGTACATTTAAAGCAGCTGTGTAGACGACATAGAATTTACAGTTTGTGGAAAATATTCTCAGGAGAATTTTCTAGCAGAGAATATTCTCTGGAGAATATTCTTACCTCACATCATTCGACAAGGGTGATTATGTTTTGGGTGTTTTTTTGTTCTTATTTGGCTCACAACTGGCAAAGCATGTTTAAAGGCATTGCTATGAACTACGGTCGGTCGCCGTCAAGGGGCCTGGTAGGAATTTTCCCAAATGGCAAATTGGCACCAGACATTTGGTTTTCGCCTACCTCATAGCAAACCATCACAACTCTTCAGTATTGGCAGTTAGGCATTGGTGGGGGTACTGCCATCACCTTCCCCCAAGCAAGGGTAGTCTGGTAAAGGATTCCGGGAGGCGTGGCCTTGTCCTAAGCCTAGGGAGGTGTGGGCCCATGGCACGCCCCCACACGGTGATGCCGGGGGGAGGTCCTAGTTGACGTGCCTCAGCAGGACTCCTCCCACTGGTGTTCAACCCTTCCGGCCTTATAGCTGGTTAGTAGTTAGGACCAATGCCTAAGCCAATACCGCTCAATTCCTGTAATCAATAAAGTTGTGGCCTAATTTGACCCATTAACCTGAATTCTTGTGTCCTGTGTCTTTATTTCCTCGGGGGGAGGCGGGAACTCACCACACAATATTCTTACCGCACATCATTCGACAAGGGTGATTATGTTTTGGGTGTTTTTTGTTCTTATTTGGCTCACAACTGGCAAAGCATGTTTAAAGGCCTTGAGTTGCAAGGGAACAAAAAACACTGAAATCATACAACATTTTTGAAGAAAGTCCTATTAAAATGTCAAGGCTTTTAAGACATGTTTACATTTGTCTAGCAAAGCACTTTGGCCAGAGGTAAGACGAGTGCAGCAAATTGGCCTAAAGTCAACAAACAGCTATTTTACCACTATATGTGTTGAATGGCTTTGCAAGTGTGGGCCATGTCTCTCCTGTGGGCTCCTTGAAGATATGCTGAGCTCTGAATCTGTTTTGAGAAATTTTTGTATGAAAAGATAATGCCTTCAAAATGGGTGTTAAGGCCTTTGCAGTAAATTAATGCCTTTTTTGGAGATTGACAACATTCCTCTTTACCCTTTCTAGAGGTACGTGAAGAAAAGAGAACCAGATCCCTAGTCACAGGTTTTCAGTGTCTGCAGTAAATGTGCATGTGTGGATATTTGAGCAGGAAAAGGTGTGAGGTTCCACTACTCTACTGTTTTCCACATACTTGGCTGATGGTAGTTCCCTATGCATGTAGAAGTGTAAGCTTTGTTCAAATATCTGAGGGCTGTAGCATTTGTAGGATTCCTGAAAGTTTGATCAGGATCCTAGGATCATGAGGGTGTACATGGAGAGAGCTCTTTGTATAGTAGGGATGAATCTGTCAGTCTGGGGCTCTCTCGATTTCTAATTTTTCAATCTTAAATTAATTTTGCCACATTTTTGCATCACTTTGCATTTTTTTTAAAAAAATCGCCACCATTTGGGCCTGCATTTCTTCTAATATACAGTTTTTTTGTATACAATTCTTGCCTAATATAATCCATTTTTGCATGTTATTTTTACCAATAGATGCATATATATGCACACTTTCTTTAATACAGTGGTACTGTGGGTTAAACCACAGAGCCTAGGACTTGCCGATCAGAAGGTTGGCGGTTCGAATCCCCGTGACAGGGTGAGCTCCCGTTGCTCGGTCCCTGCGCCTGCCAACCTGGCAGTTTGAAAGCACGTCAAAGTGCAAGTAGATAAATAGGTACCACTCCAGTGGGAAGGTAAACGCCGTTTCCATGCGCTGCTCTGGTTTACCAGAAGCGGCTTTGTCATGCTGGCCACATGACCCGGAAGCTGTACGCTGGCTCCCTCGGCCAATAAAGTGAGATGAGCACCACAACCCCAAAGTCGGTCACGACTGGACTTAATGGTCAGGGGTCCCTTTACCCTTTACCTTTACCTCGGGTTAAGAACTTAATTTGTTCTGGAGGTCCGTTCTTAACCTGAAACTGTTCTTAACCTGAGGTACCACTTTAGCTAATGGGGCGTCCCGCTGCCGCCATGCGATTTCTGTTCTCATCCTGAAGCAAAGTTCTTAACCTGAGGTATTATTTCTGGGTTAGCGGAGTCTGTAACCTGAAGCGTATGTAACCTGAAGCGTATGTAACCCGAGGTACCACTGTATATTTAGTACACAGTTTTTGAGCAGCATTGCAAAACTGGGAGACCTGCAAATTTCAAAGGATACCCAGGTTTCGGATCTGCATATTGTTCTGTTCACGTTAAAATGCAAACTGAACTGAATTGCTTCCCCATTCCTAATGCACAGGCCTTTTGAGGAATTCATGCTATGTCTTGTGAGTGTTTGGTGGCCTCTCTTGTCTTCTTCACAGACACAGCCAGACAGATCTCTCCCTGGTGCAACCCCAGAGACACAACAACAAAATCTGGAAAAGTTGCAAAGAAGAGCAACCAAAACGATCAAGGGGGTTGGAGCAATTCTCCTATCAAGAAAGACTACAAGGTTTGGGGCTTGCAAAAAAGGTGAACAAGGAGGGGTGTGGTAAAATGAAGTGTATAGGGAGAATAGCTTCTCCCTCTCTCATAACACTAGAATCTGTGGAGTCATCTAATGAAGCTGGATGGTAGGAGATTTACGACCAACAACAGGAAGTACCATACAGTGCATAGCTAAGCCACAGACTTTGCTTCTTCAGCAACTGGAATAGATTTGGGGAGCGCATGGGGCACATGCAGGAAGAGCAGAGGGGGAAGAAAATCCCATTGCACAAGTGGAAATCCTTGAACTGAAAGGATGCATTATTTGAAGGTTGATTTTATTTTTCTTAACAGCAACAACAGCCTTGCTGATTCTTACAGGATATTCAACAATCCAACACGAAACACAAAGGGTGGTGGATTGTGGGGGGAGGGAATCCAAGCTGTAAAAATATCTTACCGGTATTTTGCTTGCCAAGGATTTCAAGAAGCTCACTTGCTTTTCATTCTGAGGCTTCACACGGAACACCTTTGCGCTGCAGGACATAAAAGTCAAGGACTGAGTAGCATGTCAGGATTAATTGAAAGAACTTCTGCTTTCGATCCAGACATGTAGAACGTTGACATGTCTTTTAATCTGGTTTTAGATTCCGATTGATTTTATTTCTTAAAAGTTTCAAATAGTTGTTTTAAAGTTTTTTTTTTAATGATGTCATTATTTTATTTTACGTCTTTGTAAACTTTTTTTTTCTTTTTGCAATCAAACCGTTTATAAATTGAACGATATAAATAAATAAATGATAAATACCTGTCAAAACGCCGGGGACAAGTGATAGCAAAAGCAGCGCCAATCAAGCCCAAAGCCAACAGGGACTTCATGTTTCCTTTCCTCTGCAGCAATCAATGCCTGTCATATTTATTCCTCTGCTTGGTGAGATCAGCTGACTTCCTCAGGGGCATTCATGGGATGATATGAGGGTTCTGTTGTTATGCCTATGTTTGCAGTTAATGCAAGTACAACTCCTGTTAGTGCATTCAAATTAATTAGGGGAGTGACCCTCCCGGAAACCTCTGTGATCAACATGAGATGCTACATCCAACTGTAATGTTTCTGTACATAATTTGAACAGGGAGGGGGAAAAACCCTATTGTGGAATTCAGGGGTATATTTTAATTCCATTGGCCTAGATATGGGTTTGTGATATTCAGGAGAAGCCCTACTGACATTTGAGAGACTTCTCACTCTGTACACTAAGGAAGCCTGGGCAGCCATTCAGGCCGATCACCTGGATGGCAACCAGAAAGAGGGTTTTATTCAGTGGTAGCTGGTGTCCGTTGAGACTGGAAGGAGGGAAGGCTGGGAGACCAACAGTAGGGGGAGTCATAGCCAATGACAGGCAGAGCCAAATAATGCTGAGTTCTAAGGGAAACAGGTGGCGCTGTGGGTTAAACCACAGAGCCTAGGACTTGCCGATCAGAAGCTCGGCGGTTCGAATCCCTTCGATGGGGTGAGCTCCCGTTGCTTGGTCCCTGCTCCTGCCAACCTAGCAATTCGAAATCACGTCAAAATGCAAGTAGATAAATAGGTACCGCTCTAGCGGGAAGGTAAATGGCGTTTCCGTGTGCTGCTCTGGTTCACCAGAAGCGGCTTATTCATGCTGGCCAAATGACCCGGAAGCTGTCTGCGGACAAACGCCAGCTCCCTCGGCCAATAAAGCGAGATGAGCGCTGCAACCCCAGAGTCGGTCACGACTGGACCTAATGGTCAGGGGTCCCTTTACCTTTAAGGGAAATACTGAGATGAAAGAGAGGAAGCAGACAGGGAGCACTAGCAAGCAGTGTGCACAGCCCTCTGATCTGCCCTTTGGCACCGATCTGAAGGCCACTTCTCAGACCAACCTTCCCTGGGTCAACCTAGGTTCCACCAACCCAGCTCTGGGTTATTTTGGGAGCAGGCCTAATGTTAAATTACAGGTTTTTTAAAATCAATGTTGCATTTTCTTCCTCTTCAACGAAGAGCAGGTGGGTGGTCAAATTCTGCAAGGTCCTCGTGAACCCCCAGGTTCCTATTCCATTGCGTCTTTCCTGCTTCCCATGATAACCCCTGAGCTCCCGTTCGATTTGGATTTTAATGGTACCTTCCTCAGGAATGCAATTTTTCAGGACAAAAGCCCTAAAGCAAGCAATTCTTCTTTTGCTGTTTTGCCTTTTGCTCACTGGGGGGCAGCCTCCAGGCATGTCAAGGAGTTGGACCCTATGGTGATCTTTTCATTTTAGGTACATTAAAGATTAGGTTTTATCTTTAGTTTAGTCTCATTTCCTTTATTGTCCACAGAGTCAAATATCTCCCTATCTGTTCCTTCGGTTTTTTTGCTGTTGTTATCAGCCACCTATCAATTTTCTGTACTTTCTAACTGACACTTTCTCCAAACGGTTTGTGGTTACTGCAGAAACTACTCTTCTTTCATCTATTACAACTTTCCCCTTCAAAGGGCTCCACCAAGTCCATGTGGCCACTTGTCCTACTTTAAAGAGGGGTGTCTTCTATTTGAAAGGCTGTCTGGTCCAAGTCTGGTTAACACTTGGATAGCATGCTATTTCTATATAAATGATAGTATTTATTTCTAAATGTGTATCTGTACATACACATTAGCAAATTTATGATTTTTTAGGGCTGCCATACATCTGGGAATCACTCAGCAAAATGGGGTCTGGGTGGATTTTCACTGAACTGGCAAAATGTCTGGGAAAACCCAGACATATGGCATGCACTACTAATTCGGAAGAAATCAAAGGAAAGCCAGAAAGTAGCAACCCTAGATTGTTTTAAAAAATGCTATTTTGATTATGCATTTTCAATTTTTTTTGGGTGATGGTGCACCCATCTGTAGTTCCAATGCACTCTATTTAAATGAATTGTGTGGCTTTTTAAAGTAAGAACTGCCCCTAATTGGCCTGAATGCAGTCAGTCATGTGACAGCAATGGGGCTGGTTCAGGATCTAATAGATCCCAGGCCAGCTCAGGGCTTTCCTTTGGGGGCACTTTCAGCTGGGGGAAAGGGAAGTTCTGCACTGGCAGAATGACACAGGGGTGTGTGTGTGCATTTTTTAAAAAATGACATCGACTTAAAAAATAATACTAACATTTTTAAAGACCTTGCCTGACTACTGGTGAGCTCTTTTAAAGATTCATTTATTTATTTCATTAACCAACTCTATAGACCACTCCATGACATAAAGCCATTGGAACTGGTGTTCACAGTAAAAACGGAACGAAATGCAGCAATACAAGCTCCAAGAACAACAAAATAAAATAAAGAATACTCTAAAACAATAAAGCCATCTATACAAACTCTGAAAGCAGTAAAACCATTTCCTCAAATATAAACGGAAATTCCACAAATGCCTTGAATTTCACCTCCGGGAAAGCCTTCCTAAACCAAAATGTTTTCAGTAGGTGCCTAAACATAATCAGGTGCCTAAACACCATCAGGCTCGGAAGGTGTCTGATTTCAGATAGTAACTGAGAGCTGAATCTGCAATTCTAAAAGTCTGGTTTCTAGGACAGGCTAAATGAAGCTCAGGATCAAAAGCTACTCTCAGTAGTGCCCCATCTGAAGAGCACAGCTGCTTGGCAGTGATATAGTGGGCAAGGCAATCCCTTAGGTACCTTGGTCTCAAGTTGTTTAGGTCTTTAAGTGCTAAAAAGCAGGGCCTTGAAGTGTGCCTGGTAGCCATATTGGATTAGTGGATGAAGAGGTTTTAACAATCACTTAATCTAACCAATCAAACAATTAAGGATTTGTAGCCATACTCTCGATATCCAACGTCCACCTCAAATAGGCACGATTACTTACATTTACCACAGTTTTGCTATGATGATGTGATAAAGATGATGTTTGACTGCATCCTATGAGAATGAGGATGGTTCAGACCCCTTGTTTATATTTTCTGTCTTTCTCTTTTCTCTTCCTACTTCTGTTGCTTTCCTTCAGTCATTAGGCACGGGCTCAACCCTACCAGTTAAACATCCTGCAAAGAGGGATCTCTTTTTTGTGGATCTGAGCAGATGCCCTGTGGCTCTCTTATCTCACGTTTCTCCCCTTTAGGTATCTTCACAGAGAATGTAGTTGAAACCAATCTCCCAGGAAGACGAGATAAGAATGAGAGGAACTGTGCAGCCCAAGAACCCTCATACTTTGTTCTGAGTTGTCTCCATCCCAGCCTGAGATATGTTAAATCCCATCAGGAAATTAATTCTCTTTGGATTTTTAATGTGAAAGTTTTTGGTCTGTGCAGGAAGAATGTGAAAGGCAATTTCTCTTTAAATTGGTACACATATACCTGGGTGTCATAGCAACCGAGGAATGCCTAAGTAACATTCTAAGCGATCATCCATTGCTCATCCTCAAGAAGCTCCAACAGCTAGCTGAAGACATAGATGGACAGTAATTTATCAAGGGAGCAAAACCATTTTGTAGGCTTGTGGTCTGTATCACCCAGCCAAATGGTGAGGAAAATCCCACCACACTTCCACAGTAAATCAGAACCCTGGGGAAGTACTTGCCAGGAACTTACAAAATGACCATCTTATTAAGTGGCTATGTAGTTGCCAATATCATTTGGCAAGTAGTCACTTGCATGCATTCAGCTTTCTCCCTGGCTGACATTGGATTCAGCTACATTAGTAAAGAAAAAGCACTTTACAAGCGTTATAAACACTGATATATCTATATACCTGAAGGAGCATCTCCACCCCCATCGTTCAATGAGGTCCAGCTCTGAGGGCCTTCTAGTGGTTCCCTCACTGCGAGTGAGGTTACAGGGAACCAGGCCGAGGGCCTTCTTGGTAGTGGTGCCTGCCCTGTGGAATGCCCTCCCAACGGATGTCAAGGAAATAAACAACTATCTGACTTTCAGAAGACATCTGAAGGCAGCCCTGTTTAGGGAAGTTTTTAATGTTTGATGTTTTATTGTGTTTTTAATATTCTGTTGGGAGCTGCCCAGAGAGGCTGGGGAAACCCAGCCAGATGGACAGGGTAGAAATAATAAATTATTATTGTTGTTGTTATTATTATTATGACACCAGATGACACTGTGGAGTCCCATTTTTCGCCAACGTGATTTCCTATTATGAAATTTACAACAAGTTTTTTTTCTGAAACGCTTTTTTGATGTGTCTAGATCCAGCCATTCTTTGTACAAATTGTACAGTATCTGCAAGAGGTTACCGAAAACATAGACTTTTTGAGGACTTTCATTTTAAATTTCATGAAGAGCAAAAGCGGTCATAGTGGTGAAATTAGTCCTTGAATTAACTGCGGACGCAATACATATCTACACAGATATACAACCTGAGTATAGGGGCTCACAGCATTAACACCCCAACGGATCTTGCTTCCTCATTAGTGTTCCAGGGAAGTCCATAGCTCTTGGGAGCAACACAAAGCCAAAACTCTCACACAAAGCCCCCCACACCACCATGGCCTATTGTTTTCCCAGGATGATGTCACATCCAGTCAGGTGAAGTGGGAAAAGGCCCACCCATTTGTCCCTATGACAATATCTAAGCGCATGTAAATGGCAGTGTTTCACTGGCCAACCAATATCATTACCTTAACAAAGGAAGTGGTTGGGCAGGTTTCCTCTCATAGATTCTAAGTCAAGCACACAGGACCACAGGTTTGTGCAGACTGCTCTCCCTAAAATCATGGCTTGGGACACACCCATGCAACAGCTCCCTTCACTGCTGGTTCAGTATAAAAGCCATACATCACCAGAAGCTATAACATGCCAGGCTGTGTCTTGAACCTGCAGGTATCCAGCAGCGACTCTCTGGAGCCTTATGTTCCATACCACCAGCACTCAGGTAAACTTCTGAAGGCCAGACAGACAAGGTCTTAGAGATCAAGGCTGCACTTTTAGCCTTAAAGGACCTTCCTTTGTTTTCATACTGTCATTTGACTCTACAAGCCAATCAGCCAGTGGCGTAGCGTGGGTTGTCAGCACCCGGGGCAAGGCAAGTAATTTGCGCCCCCTAACTGAGAGAGTGAGTGAGCCATGTAGGGGCAGAGAGCTGCGAGTGCGAGCGCTCCCCCCCCAGATGTTGCGCCCGGTGCGGCCGGCCCCCCTGCACCCCCCACGCTACGCTACTGCAATCAGCACACCCCAAGCCCTACAAAATCCTCAAGAACAACCTAGTTTAATAGTCCAAGCAATTTTTGTGTGTGCTAAGAGTTGCTTTGCTCTGCTCCTGATTACCAGCCCAACTTTGACTATCTTTTTGTAACTTGCTCTTTGATTCCTACCTGCCCTCGACCATCTGCTTCTGGTCCTTTCACCTTTGGTGCTTGTGACAGAAACAGACTTTACTCCAGCTGTGGCATGTCCCAGTGCAGAATCAGTCCTCAAAGAAATTGGCTAACACTGGGTTAGACCATTGGTCTATTTAGGCCACTACACTGACTGACTGGTAGTGACAGGGCCAGCCCATCCATGAGGCAAGATGAGGCAACCGCCTCAGCCAGCAGGATCCAGAGGGGCAGCAGATCTGGCCTCCAAGGATTGTACTGCCAGCTGCTGCTGCCATAGTGACAGTGATGGTTGTGGCACACTCCTTGAAGATGAGCTCTGCCACCTCCTTGGCAGCCCTCTCCAATGCCACCTCTACAGTGGCCTCTCATGGAAGAGGTTGCTGCTGCTGGTTTCCTCCCACCCCCAGGGAGGAAATGGCAGGGGCTGCCTTCTGGAGTCACCTGGGATCTGCCCACCATGGTGGCCTTTGATTCCCACTTCAGCTGTCTGGTAAGGTTGTTTTGATTCCCCCTCCCCTCAAAACATGAGATCTACTGCTGAGATACTGCCCTTCCCTATGTAGTGTAACCAGATGTCCTGGAAAACATATAATGTGCTGAAGGGAGGATTTCAGAAGCAGATTTTATCATAAGTAAATCACTGTGAGATGACAAGCAGAACCTGCCAACATTCCCTCTCAATGATAAGTATTATTTATTTGCTACTGCTTTGTGTGAATTTAATGTACTCCATTGAAATCTCTTCACAATAATCCTGTAATATTTATTTTCCCAATTTAACTGATGGGGAGGGGATGAAGTTCAAGAGATAGTACAGTGGTACCTCTGGTTACGTACTTAATTCGTTCCGGAGGTCCGTTCTTAACCTGAAACTGTTCTTAACCTGAAGCACCACTTTAGCTAATGGGGCCTCTCGCTGCTGCCGTGCCGCCACTGTACAATTTCTGTTCTCATCCTGAAGCAAAGTTCTTAACCCGAGGTAATATTTCTGGGTTAGCGGAGTCTGTAACCTGAAGTCTATGTAACCTGAAGCGTATGTAACCCGAGGTACCACTGTAATAGAATCATATAGTAAGTTCATAACTGAGCTTTGATTTGAACCAAGTTCATGCTTGACCATAGCAATAATTTTGTCCCAGACCATACAATAGCTTTCAGGTGTCTTTCTGAAGCAGTTAATTAATATCAAGGGTGAGCAAAACATACCAGTTTGATTTAGGTGCATTCTGTTCAAAACATTTCAGAAGAAACATTTAGCACGATGCAAAGCTTTTATTAAGAAATATGCTGGTTACTAAGCAATATAAAACAGCAGAGTTCCTTTCAAAAACTACCTATTTATGTCATGTCCTTTAAAATATGCTACGGAGAGATAGATGGGAAAGGCATAACCATAACCAGGAAAAGGAAAATACAATATGTGTCCAATTATTTTTTTCCTGCTAACTATTTGAAGTGGGTTAAAATAGGATCACGAGTGTCTTTAGTACAGTAGAGAGCATTCCACCCCCCCACTTCCACCAATATGGATCTAATTCATTGTTTTACTTGACTGATAAATTTATATTGACATAAACCATGTTACAGTTCAGTTGATGCTGCAGTATCCTTCTGTATTGTTCAAGTTGTAGATCTACTTTCTTACAATGCTTCTGAAAGTCAGTTGGCGAATTAAATGGGGTGGAATAATAAAAGCTGATCTTAGGGTACTTCAGAGACTTCTAGGGCAGGATCACAAGGCCACACGGACATGCACCAAGCTGTGTGGGGGCCATATCCTCACATTGTGATCTCATGCAGCTACATATCATATCAAATCAGTGAGGCCAATCGCTTTGGTCTTCCCCACACTGGTGGGAAGGAAGTTGGGAAAGATCTGATCAGTTCTTTTTACACAGTTGTGATATTCACCCACATCCATTACAGTCACATGAAATAACACAACACAGAAATAGCTCCATTGTGGTTCTCTCCTTCACACCAGATGAATACCCAGGAATGAAGTAAAAAAAAAAGGAAAAAAAAAAAGGCATGGGGTGTGAAATTGAAGGACAGGGACCCAGAGCTCCCAAAGTTCTGCTGTTTCATTTTTCAGGGACAGCTACAAGGCTGTTAATTGAAAGGCTAGGCTAACCATATTATAGACAAACCCTGGAATGCAGCAGAGACAGAAAGCAGAGGGAAGCCAATCTTAAATCATGTGTACATTGCAGCCAACAATGCAGCTTCTATATTCAAATGTTGATGATGGCAAATGCAAAACCCAGCTGTAGTCTCAATTGTGAGAGAATGGTCTCAGGAGCTTTTTACACAGCACAGTTGTATGACCTGCATTGGTAATTGAATTGTGATCCCTCTGAGCCTAGAATGCATTTCTTGTTTTAAAAATGGCTCCTTCTTCTTTCTATTTTACATTAACAACATTACTTATGTGTACAAATAATGCATAAGAGATCCTAAAAAATGCTCAGTGGGCATGGTGGGGAGCTGTCACTATTCCAAAAGGACCATGTAAATCAACCTGGTTTCAGGAGATAGCAGATGTCTGATATATGCTTGCATAAAACAATAATAAATTTCCAGTAGAACCCATCCCTAAAGTATCTGAATCAAATGACTGAAATGGAACAACTGGGTTGGATTCAAACTTAGAGGAGTCCTACTGATTTAAGTCTCACTGATTTCAGTGGCTCTCCTCTAGCCATGACTATGTCTGCCTCCAACCCAACTGACACCCTGCAATAAACAGGAGAGACCACAAGCCTGATGAAGTATTGGTGGCATAGGAAGGTAAGAGAAGATGGCCTATCTTTACAAAAGCATTCATAGAATAATAATAAAGCAATGGAGAAGAATCTGTAGGGGCTATTTCTAAGAGGGAGAAAAGGGGAGGGGGCTGATAGGCAAGGAGGAGCCAATACCATTTGCAAGTAAACGTGAAGACAGCTTCACGGAGCAGAGGTGAGGATATAATTGGCGATGTGCTTGACTGCCAACATCGTCTCCCTGCAGGTTGGCCTTATCTTCGATTCAGGGAGGATAAAGCCATATTTCCCAAGGTCACGAAGCTCAAAAGTGAATGCATTCTTAATGCCCTCGTCGTAAGCCCAGTCAAGAGAGGAACCTGAACAAGGATCTGAAAAACAGGCAGACCAGAAGGCAGCATTTAAGACAACCCTGGCATGAAGGATGCAATAAAATAGGAAGGCTTCTTCTGATAGCAACAGCAGCCCATGTAGTGAGGCAGAGATGCAGAGGACCCTCTTGAAACCAGCATTGCTGCAGATTACCCAGACAGGGAGAGACAAGGGCTGTGCAGGCAGAATGCAGGGACTCTGAGCATCCCTGCCCTTGCAGCTGCCCTGCTCTGGGGAATAGACAAATCTTCCACTTTCAGCTTCTTATTCAGTCCCCCAAATTTCTGTATTTTTTTTAAACGCTCATGAAAATTTGCCAGTATTTTAGTGTGCACTTCTAAAAAAATACATTTTTGTATGCTGTTTTGACAAATATGAACATTTCTGCAAGCAGTTTTCCCCAATATAATGCATTTTTGCATTATATTTATATACAGTTAATGTACAATTTACCGCAATATACATGGTTTCCTACATATTAGTTGGGTTGAGAACCATATTGCAAAATTCAGAGAACTGTGAATTTTGAAAGGTGGCTGTGTTTCGTTTTAAGGGTTGTTTTAAAAAGTGCGAAATAAGTAGGTTCATCTTTAAATGCATACAGAATTGAATATCTCCCTCATCCCTACCTACCCCCACACCATTCAGATAAGCTACAGTGATGTCAGTGCAGCAATGCTCTATCCAATGACCCAATAGGGTCTGATAGGCTGGGCTAGAAGGCAGATCATCAGCATGCTGTCCCCCATCTGTTGTGAAGCTGAGTAGCACAGGAAGGCTACATAGAGGTCAGGCAAAAACGAGCCATGAGTTATGTTGTTGTTGTTGTTTCAAAATATTGGCTTTAATTAATCTGATTTGCAAAAGTTCTCCTTGCATGTACACGTCCATAGAAAATAGAAACAAATACTTACAAATTGTAGTGGCAGTTGGTCCATAGGTATACTCTGTACCATAGAGGCTAGATAAAGCTTCTACTGCTTCCTTAGCTACTTTGTTCTGTATTTAAAAGAGGGGGGGGAATTAGATTGTTCATGGAAACATTCTTGGGATAGCCTAGAGTAGGGCACAAGGAGGTGTTGCACATGACCCTAGATCCAAGGCAGCTGATTAGGATTCCCATTGTTATTGAAAGATGGACAGACTGAGGTTTGCTACTTTCACAAGGAATTTAGGCTTCATTCCTCTGAATGAGAACAACTTGTTCTTTGCTTTTGAGACTTGTTTGTATTCAGTTGCTTCCCTTCTTGCAGGCATTGGCCAACAGGACATTTCTGTATATTTACAGGCAAGCGACTGTGTACGCCTCTCCCCTGTCTCCTCCAGCCTGACACCTTCCGTTTACACGTGACCCCTTTGGGCCAATCTCAAGTCATCTCGTATTGAGGACCAGAGTTGTATAATACAGTTATTCCCGGCTTTCTTTTGGGTACTATTTTGCAATGTGTGATTCTGAGAATCATTGGGCTGCCTCCAGCTATATAAGGAAGCAATTTCTTTTCATAGCTTCTCACCCAGACATTCCTAACAGTAAATGATACTTGTTGGCATCTGGTTCTACTGGATAGGAGAACTACACAAAACTGTCTCTATAAAGGAAAGTATCCCATTTTAAATGTAAGATGCGAGATGACTGCCAAAGTGCAGACAACTTTAAAAGGTAAAGTTGTGTCAGTATGCACTTTGCCAGGAAGCTGAAGGGCATTGCCAGTCCCTGAGCCTCTTGGCTTCATCTCCTCCTTGTTGCTTCTTTCTGTTTCTCTGTCCTCTTTTAGTGGGGAAAAGGGACAGAAACCTCCATATTAAGTTAACATGAGGAGACCCCTGCTGAAAAAGTCCAAAGGTCCATTTAGACCAGCAACCTGTTTTCACAGAGACCATCTGGATGTCTGTAGGAAGCTTGCAAGCAGGAGTGCAACCTCTCCTAGCAGGTGTGGGGATTGGGCCTGTAGAAATGTAAAGTACCGTATTTTTCGCCCTATAGGACGCACTTTTTCCCCTCCAAAAATGAAGGGGAAATGTGTGTGCGTCCTATGGGGCGAATGCAGGCTTCGGGCACCTCTCCGCAAGCAGTGGGAGCCCAGCGCTGGGCTCCCGCTGCTTGCGGAGAGTTGCCTGCATGCTGAAGCCTGCCCGCACTGAGCTCAGCGGGTGCAAGCTTCGCGGACCTCTCCGCAAGCAGCAGGAGCCAGCGCTGGGCTCCCACGGCTTGCAGAGAGCTGCCTGTTTGGGGGCTGGGGTCGGGGGAAGCTCGGGCTTCCCCCGCCCCAGCCCCGCGCCTGGGGGAAAAATAATTTCCCCCCCTTTATTTCCCCCCCAAAAAACTAGGTGTGCCTTATGGGACGGTGCGTCCTATAGGGCGAAAAATACGGTAAATGGACAGCTTTAGCTATGGTGGCAATGAGAAGAGCAGGTATGTGTGTGTGTCTACTGAGGACATCCTATAGATAGATAAAATAAAATAAAATAAATGAGGGCTTTTCAAAACATGGAACTGGGACTGGTTTCTTCTAAATCAAACTCTAGATTTTATTTTGGCAGTGGTCCCAGGGACACGAATCTGAGCATGAGGCAATGAGACCTTTCAAATATCAGATTCTATGGTTTAAAGTATAGCAGGTTTTTTGTAAAAGAAATGTAAACAGCAATTAATAGTGAGGAGATGAGCGCAAATTTAGGTTCCTCTGTTATAAGACACAAGAGGGCAGCATTGGTGTATCTACATTTCTATCACAAGTGTCTATGAAATTAGGAATGCTGGTTTTCCTACACAAGACTCATTTCCTGTGCGATGCTGGCAGGTGTCCAATTCTCTTTAGGGAACAAAACAACTACTAGGAATTACTAAGTCATTTAGAAGGTGGGGGGACGTCTCTGTCTATGGTACCTTTTCCATTGTACTCATTAATATGGTTTCATATGCACCCTTGGGGAGAAAATGCAATAGACTGGGTCAAGCTGACCTCTGCTGCAGTTGAACATAATGGGGACCATAGCTAAGATCTAGACCAGGGTAGTCAACCTTTTTATACCTAACGCCCACTAATGCATTTTTCTTGATTGTAAAATTTCCTTACCGCCCACCAGTGCTGAATGGAAGGAGGATTCAGCTTGTGTTGTAGAACCCCCTACCGCCCACCTAGAATCCTGAAATGCCTACTAGTGGGCAGTAGGGACCAGGTTGACAACACCTGATCTAGACAGTCGAGGTTGTCTGTTTCTTGGCTCTAACCTTGCACTGAATTATTGGAAAAGATTGAATTTATACTAAAACACTCAGATATTTGCATCCAACTCCCCAGAGCTTTGAATACTTTTCTGATGCACTTTGGGTCGTATCTCACTGCCTCTGCTTAGCAATGCCTCAACATATTTGTTTACACCCAGTGGCTTTGTGAATGATAAGACGATGACTGTAATAATCTTTTTCTACATACCAGTTCATCATTATTGGGTGCTGTTTCGTCCTTATAGGCATATGGAAACATCAATATCTGAGAATAGGAATGGAAGCTTATGTATCCTCTGATGGAGGAAAGGTGCTCTCGGATGAAGCTTGTAACTGCTTTGATTTCTGGCTCAGATTCTGCCGAGGGACCGCAGTAAATCTGCGAACAAGGTTTATGCGATATACCTATGGCTGCAAGAAAAAGTTTTCAGATGAAGTATTTATATTGGTGCCATTTATAGATTGCTTACTCGCTTGAAGAATAGTGAAGAAGACTGCATTTCTTTCCAAATCAGGAAGGGACTTCACAATTTGCTTTTTGTGTCATGATTTCTTTGACGTCAGTGCAGTCTGGTAATTCCTTCCATCAACAGCCTTTGCTAACATGGTGCCCTCTAGATGTTTGAGACTACAGCTCTCATTTGCCCCAGCCAGCACATCCTTCTTGTGTGCTGATGATGCTCCTTTGATGACATAAGGATAATCATTTGAAGAAAGAGTTTGCTATTGGTATATCTCAGGTTTGGGGAAACTTTGGACCTCCAGATATTGGCGCATGTCAACTCCCAACTAGTGTTAGAAACTGAGATATGAAAGTTAGGAGCTAAATGGCACATTAAACCTAGGTTATGGGTGTAACAACAGAATGTCTAGGCACACTTTTTAAATAAATAGAATATAAAAGTGAAAATGAATGAACTGCAGCTAAAATATTATATTCATTTTTTACACGGTCTAGTCCTTACCTGAAGACTGCAGAAAACAAACCCTGGCTTCCCCTGCCTGCCCCCCTAATATTCTTAGGAGGGTATCTTCTCTAGTCTTCAGAGAGTGGCGGAGGCAGAAAAAGGTCCTCCTTTCCTTCCACTCTGCAGTTTTAATCGGAAATCTTAGGAGCGGTACTGCGCCCAGAGTTCAGAAACTGCTTGTGCTAATGAAATTCCTTGTTGCAAAACGCGCCTAGAACAATGGGAGTTTTGAACGCTGCTCCCAACAAACCCAGCCAGAATGGCCAATGGCCAGGGATAATGGGGTTGTACTTCAGAACTATCTGGAGGAACAAAGGTTCCCAATAACTGGTATATAGCAAACAAATCTGTTGGATTTATCTAGTTTTATCATGGCTGCTCCATTAAGACAAAGCTTTAATTACATTTAGCACAGGGAGCCTGAATAGGAGGAAAAAGATGAGGAGTACAGATGACCCATTGGCAGAGGCAGAGTCTGGGAGGAGACACCTGCCACTGCCTCTTCCACTTCGACGGATCCTCAGTTTGGAATTCAGCATGAAGTGGGAAAGGCGTAGGAGGTTAGTGGCCTATTCATAAGTAAGTCCACTTATTGAGGAAAAAGCTTCCATATTTGGATTGGGAAATGGCTGCATTTGGTGTTCTGCTTCAGGTGGGAAAATGCCTTTGGCTCTCTTTTGCGTGATGCAAAAGCCATTCCCAGAAATATATCACACGGCCACAAATTTAATGTTCATTTTGGTGTTTTTTGCAAATTCCTTTTCTGAAAGTAAGTAACACAGAAATCATGGGTGTAGCCAGGATTTTTGTTAGAGGGGGGCAGAACCTACATGATTGGTCAGTTAAATATTTCTATTGTTTTACTTGATTGGGGGTGGGTGGGTGGCTGTCCCCCCCGGCCCTCACTTGGCTACACTCATGACAGAAATGAATGCTTAAGTTGTACAATTTTCCACTATATTTCTGGAAGTGACTTTTAGATTGTGGGAAAGTTCAAATAGAATGTGGAAATTGACAGTTAGAGAAATGTTGAGTCTCAGTTAATGTCGCTCCTTGGCATATTATACTTACTGCCCCATTTAGCTTTGAAATTCCTGTTCAAGTCAACACCAGGACAATCACTGTTAGAGGTATTCGCACGATTCTTTCTCCACATGCGATCCTGTGAGACAAAATGATGGAAATCTATTCTTGTTCCTTTGGGGAACATTTTTTTTGTATAGTGCATCAGAAGGATTGGGCCCATATGCCCTGCCTTAGGGCCTCACTTTCTTCCTCATGGCCAGCTCGTGGTCATTCCTTATGTCCAGCTGTTAGACATAACATACATGTGATCTGCATGCACGGTGGACTGATCACCTTTCATCCCCCCCCCCCCCGATTTTGCCAGGTAACAATTACCGGGCTTTTGTACCTACATTTATTGGTGAAATGTGTATATACACTGCTAACACATTCCACTTGAAATGTGGAAATGAGGACAGGAGAGGAATAATTTTACTGCGTGTTAAAATTTACAAATTTATGTTGTTGTTGTTTAGTCATTTAGTCATGTCCGACTCTTCGTGACCCCATGGACCAGAGCATACATACATATAAATCTATGTATGTATCTATTTATAATTTTTTTTACCTGCCTTTCACTGTAAGGTCCTAGGCCAAGTGACAATAATATAATGTTACAAAGGTTGACAAAGGAATCTCTAGGCTGCCAAGGCTCATGTCACAATTAGCTAGTTCATGCAAGGAGTCAACGCTAACTGAGAATGAGTGAACCTTTAACTTCTTGATTCCAACCATGGCAGCTGCCTTAGTAAGTCCAAGGAGTCAGTAGGCTGATGGACCAACCACTTGCTTAGCAATCTCAAGATCTTATTCTTCTCTCTCCTTACTCACAATTGTTGTAACACAGCTGATTCCCAAAGGTAAAGAGAGCACCGACTCTGGGTGAAGGGAAGATACCTGGTATAGGCATTCGGGTGTGTGGACAGGAGCTGTGATTGAGGGCATCAAGGGGATGCAACAAAATAGGACAAATATTGAAGGCTGATCCCCAACACTTTCAATATATGATATCATAGCTCCTTTGACAGCGCAGGCATTGGAGACATGAATACTCACGTTTGAACTCCCCATGAATAACCTACAACACAGTCCTATACATTACTTTGAGGCAAGTCCCATTGAGCTCATTGGGACTTGTGTATAAGTAAGTTGCTATGGAATTGTAGCCATTCCATAAAATATTATGTTCCACCACATGGGCCAGCCCCCTCCCCTCCTTTTCGGTGTCACCTTAATAAATAAATTTTTAATAAATTTATTAATGCAGTAATAATGGATAGAAATAATAACATTCAATTCAGCACACTACTAAAGAGGGGGGAAATGTGGCCATTACTTCAGTCCATGTCCAGACATAGCCGTCAATGTTGAATACGGGAAGGATGTAGAAGTTCAAATTGTTCAAGAGCTTGAACATGACCTTGTCCGTTTCATAGGTTCTGACAGCCTGCAAGAAAAAAACCCCAACATTTTGTGCAATTATACAAATGCACTATTCAGTTGTCAACAAGCTGAGAAGGTTAGAATCCTTCAGAATTTTTTTATTTTTAAAGCAGATTTTTCACCTTTAGGATTTCGGAGCTTAAGGGTAAAATAAAATAAACAATAGAACTACTTAAAAACTAAAACACCTCTTCTCCCCACTAGGGCTGCAATCCTATACACAGCTGCCATGAAGTTCGCTCCACTGAAGTCACTGGGAGTTACCGTATTTTTTGCTCCATAAGACGCACCAGACCATAAGACGCACCTAGTTTTTGGAAGAAGAAAACAAGAAAAAAAGTATTCTGAATCCCAGAAACCAGGACAGCCGGCGGGATCGCAGTGCAGCGATTCCGCTGGCTGTCCTGGCTTCTTGCTTAGCCGTGCACAGCCTCTCCCAGGCAAAGGGAGCCTTCATCCCCTGCCCGGGAGAGGCTGCGTGTGGCTAAGGCTCCCCCAAGAGCCGCGCTCCGTTTAAAGAGCACGCGGAGCATGTGTACGGCTCTTGGGGGCTTTTCCCAGAGGAGAGAGAAGGGCAGCCCTTCTCCCTCCTTGGGGAAAAGCCCCGAAGAGCCGCACACATGCTCCACGCAGCTCTTTAAAGGGAGCGCTGAGCAGAGCCTCCCGCCTGTATTTGCTCCATAAGATGCACACACATTTCCCCTTACTTTTTAGGAGGGGAAAAGTGCGTCTTATAGAGCAAAAAATACGCTCTAGACACATATAGGATTGCACTATGAGGCTGTAATTTTAACTTCCTGCTTTTGGTGGCTGGAGTTGTGGGTTAGAGTGTAATACAGACCCCTCTCTGTTAACTTTGCTTGAGAAGTGCCACCAATGGGTGCATAGTTCTGCTGTGATGGATGCGCAACCTCTGGCCAGACAGCTGGTAGCTAGCAAAACAGGGCATTTTGTTGGGCTGCTGGAAACTTTGTATCTACAACACCACTCAGCCATGAAGCTCACTGGGCGACCTTGGGCCAGTCACCTTCTCTTAGCTTAACCTTCCTCACAGGGTTGTTGTGAAGATGTAATGGGGAGCAGGAGACCCATGTACACCACTTTAAGCTCAGTGGAAGACAAAAGTAGTCTGTAAATGTAATAAATAAATAAAGTACTGTTTAGCCAACCTGCTTCACAAACCATTGGCAGAAAGCAGGTGAGATCCACTCGCGTGCATGAATGCCGCAGTCCATAAAGATGACCTTCTTTTTTCCACTCTCCTTCCCAACCTGTTAAGCAGGAAATATTAATCTTTGAAACATCTTTATCCTGTGTATACTATGTGCAGAATCCGCAGTCCTAGCATTCAGTTCAATGGGAGGGTGCATCCCACGGGAAATATGTTTTGGAGAAAACAAATAAGTGGATCTACAGGGAATAGAACTCGGTTATGCATGGACATCATAAAACTGTTCCATGGTCCAACAGAGCAAGTGCAAACAACTTTAACAACTAATCCAGAATGTGGCAGCTAGATTTGTGACCGGGTGTGGCCACTGAGATCATATAACACCGGTCCTGAAAGACCTACATTGGCTCACAGTACATTTCTGAGCCCAATTCAAAGTGTTGGTGTTGACCTTTAAAGCCCTAAATCAGGGGCCAGCAAACTTTTTCAGCAGGGGTCCAGTCCACTGTCCCTCAGACCTTGTGGGGGACCAGACTATATTTTGAAAATAATAATAATGAACAAAGTCTTATGCCCCACAAATAACCCAGAGATGCATTTTAAATAAAAGCACACCTTATACTCATGTAAAAACACCAGGCAGGCCCTACAAATAACCCAGAGATACATTTTAAATAAAAGGACACATTCTACTCATGTAAAAACACACTGATTCTTGGACCGTCTGCGGGCCGGATTTAGAAGGCGATTGGGCCGGATCCGGCCCCCGGGCCTTAGTTTGCCTACCCATGCCCTAAATGGCCTCAGTCCAGTATACTTGAAGGAGCGTCTCCACCCTCATCGTTCAGCCCAGACACTGAAATCCAGTTCTGAGGGCCTTCTGGCGGTTCCGTCACTGTGAGAAGTGAGGTTACAGGGAACCAGGCAGAGGGCCTTCTCGGTAGTGGCACCCATCCTGTGGAATGCCCTCCTGTCAGATGTCAAGGAAGTAAACAACTATCTGACTTTTAGAAGACATCTGAGGCAGCCCTGATTAGGGAAGTTTTTAATGTCTAATGTTTTGTTGTATTTTTAATATTTTGTTGGAAGCCACCCAGAGTGGCTGGGGAAACCCAGCCAGATTGGTGGGATATCTGGGCTGTAGCGTCCTTAATTTGGCAATGCTCATTTTTCTGTGGTCACTTCCTCTAGTTGTAAATCTAAATTATTTATAGCACTTGAGTCAGAACAAGACTCTCACCTTAAGCAGGTACATGGGACGATCCTCATAAGTCTTTCCAATCTGAACCCTCGAGACCAGTTTGGGGTATTTTTTAGCCATTCTTTCAGTCCATGCAACAATCTAAGAAAACACGGTTGTTATAAAACACTGGCATACGTCCGATTAAAATGTCATGAAGGTGAAAAATGATCTACTTATCGTCCCGATTATATATGTAGCTTAAGGGAGAGGAACCACCCCTCAGAACATGGTACCTTTTCCCATTCATTGTATCTCGTGTAGCTGTGCTTCTCGCGGAAATGTCTCCCACCATCAAATTGTTTTTCAATCTCTTCTTGTAGATTATGGAATAAAATTCTGTGGTGGGAAAAAGGACACCAACACATTTAGTTCACGCACATAGCCCCTCCCTCCCCAGGAGGAGATTCTCTGTGGCTCCTCTAGTTTAATCCCTTCATCCACATCCTGAAATTAAACAAAGCTTACACATATGTCAGTGCATGTAACAAGGTAGCTAGCAGCAAACAGTTACAGTGGTACCTCAGGTTAAGTACTTAATTCATTCCGGAGGTCCGTTCTTAACCTGAAACTGTTCTTAACCTTTAGCTAATGGGGCCTCTTGCTGCCGTTGCACTGCCGGAGCATGATTTCTGTTCTCATCCTGAAGCAAAGTTCTTAACCTGAGGTAATATTTCTGGGTTAGTGGAGTCTATAACCTGAAGTGTATGTAACCCAAGGTACCACTGTACTTACCTTGGAAGAATTCAACTCCATTGAATTCAGTTGGGATTACTTCTGAAAAGATTGTGCCATAAATAACCAACTAAATGCATAAATAAAACTGCCACATACTCAGGAAGCTGTGCCACTTCTGACACTAATGTTGTTGCTGTTATTTATTGAATTTATATACTGCCCTATACCCAGAGGTCTCAGGGTGGTTCACAGAACAAAATCAAAATATAAAACCACAAAATATATAATCAAAATAAAAACTACAACCCAATAACCCCTCTCCCCAAAAAACCACATTTTAAAAGGGCATCAGATGTAGCATATTTATGCTAAAGGTATTTTATTCAACTCAGCATTGTGAGGTGAGAAAGTAAAATGTGTTTAATTGATTACTAACTTCCCACCTTTCCAATATCCACTGGGGGGCAGTCAATGAATATAAGCTATGTTTTGATTAAATCAGTGGCAAACGTCTATTTCCCTAGAATTTGCCCAGCGTTAAGGTTTGCAGCTTTTGCAATACTACCTCCCAACAACCTCAGATATGACACAACCTTGATGGCAGAAAGTGAGGAGGAATTAAAGAAGCTTTTAATGAGGGTGAAAGAGAAGAGTGCAAAATATGGTCTGAAGCTCAACATCAAAAAAACTAAGATCATGGCCACTGGTCCCATCACCTCCTGGCAAATAGAAGGGGAAGAAATGGAGGTAGTCAGAGATTTTACTTTCTTGGGTTCCATGATCACTGCAGTTGGTGACAGGAGTCACGAAATTAAAAAGATGCCTGCTTCTTGGGAGAAAAGCAACGACAAACCTAGACAGCATCTTAAAAAGCAGAGACATCACCTTGCTGACAAAGGTCTGTATAGTTAAAGCTATGGTTTTCCCAGTAGTGATGTATGGAAGTGAGAGCTGGACCATAAAGAAGGCTGATCACCGAAGAATTGATGCTTTTGAATTATGGTGTTGGAAGAGACTCTTGAGAGTTCCATGGACTGCAAGAAGATCAAACCTATCCATTCTTAAGGAAATCAGCCCTGAGTGCTCACTGGAAGGACAGATCGTGAAGCTGAGGCTCCAATACGTTGGCCACCTCATGAGAAGAGAAGACTCCCTGGAAAAGACCCTGATGTTGGGAAAGATTGAGGGCACAAGGAGAAGGGGACGGCAGAGGACGAGATGGTTGGACAGTGTTCTCGAAGCTACCAGCGTGAGTTTGACCAAACTGCAGGAGGCAGTGGAAGACAGGAGTGCCTGGCGTGCTCTGGTCCATGGGATCATGAAGAGTCGGACACAACCAAATGACTAAACAACAACAACCTCCCAAAAGACAATTCAACTCCATACCATAAATCTATGCTTGCAATCTACTTGGAAAAGTATTAGTGGAAGGAAGATATGGATTAAAGCCCAGAAGATTACATATGAGAACTGCACACTTATGGTGGCAGAGAAGATAAAAGTAAAAAAAACTCATCTTACTAAAATAATAATAAAAATAATAATGAATAGGACCCCCTTAAAGAGACAGCAAGACTTTCATTTAATAGTGCTGACAACCTGCAGTTCGACAAGTATGCATCAGGCAATAATGGAAGCTGGACTTTAATGTAATATATGCATTTCTATATATAAATACTTTGATCTGATTATACAATGGACATTTTTTGTCTAAAAAAAGTTCTTTTTTTATTTACTGGAGAATTCTCTTCTTAAGGAACTTAATTCTGTTTTGATTACCTTCACATACTTAGTTAAATTGTTGCTACAATTTTAAGTACTGTAAATAGTTCCCCTCAAATCACAGCCAGAGCTGTGGGACAGGGATGGCTGTGAGGTAGAAGGAAGTGGTTTACATTATCCATCCTCCTAGTCCCAAGGTTGATGATGGTAGCAATGAGTAGCAGTCAATGGCTTCCTGGTCACATCAGTAGAAGCAATCAGAAATCTCACGATGAGTGGAAACTCAGATATTGTGAGAGTAAAGGAAGATGGAAAATTATAAGATGCAGAATTTCACGTAACATTTGAATTAAAGACTTGGGTGAGGTCTCGTCCCCTGTGGCTTAGCGTCAGCTGAGCAGCCAGTCCAGTTCCTTGGGTGAATATGAGTTAGGAAAAAGAAAAGACCTCTGTGCTTTCCTCTCCATGTTTTCTGATTTAAGCGTAATTTCTCAGTGTCAGTAAATATTGAATGAAATTGTGACCTGGTTAAATTCCAAGTTTGGTGACTACCTCTTTCTTGTTGTTTGCAACATTATATGATACACATACTCTACAATCATCACAAACTAGCATTATGTAGCATACATACCCGTATTGTATTCCATTCTGCTCCAGCTCTGTCTGTACAAAGCTTGTCTGATCTGAACCAACACGAAAATCCACATCTGTTCCAACAACAACGTGATGGATTGAATTAGGATGCCAAATGTCAAGCTGTGTAGGAAAAATTCAGTAAAGTTTGTCTTTAAGAAAGTGTGCATTCTCAGGTATATGGGTTGTTAAAGACTTTCCCAGACATTGGATTGAAATAAAATCTTCTTTCCCCTCCTTCACATATGTTTTAATTGTCTCTATGACAGCATATGCATGGAAGAGTAGGAAATGAACACATTTATTAAGAAGCAAGTTGCTTTGGGCAAAATAAAAATAAAAATCCCATTGAAAGATCAGACGGCTACCAAAAAGGAAGATTCAGGTAATGAGAAGGGCAATTCCTTCATGTATTTTCTTGTCCATTCTAAACGTTAGTGCATGGATATAATAATAATAATGGATATAATAATGTTTCCAATATTATACATTATTTTTAAAAAGTCCATATGTTCTTCTGAAAAATCTTCCCTGCAACTCTTATTGCCAAAGATTCTCCAAATGGGAGTCAGCCTGAATATTTGATACTTATAACTGACATCCAATGATACTTGCTTTCAATATTTGATATTTTAAATAGTTGATGCATTTGAGTGTATCAAAGAGGTGATAGGCAATTCTATTTATTAAGTGTTTTATAATTGTATGGTTATGATGCTTCTTATTTTATACCTACCAATATGAAAACAATAACGAGCTGCCATTGAGACTAAGGCACTCATGTTTTTAAATTCTGAGACAGAAATTCATGTTTCAGAATTTCACACTCAAAATGAAGCGGGTGAATGTTGAGTATTTTGCTCAAGCAAAGGAGATTTTGTAAGCTATGGGGCATTGTCTCTTAATTTGTTCCCAGATCTTGCATTGACAAAGAATGTGCATATTTGAGATGAAAACCCATTGCTAAAACCTATGGAGAAAAACATAAAAATGAAAAACATGTGGAAGAAGAATCTCACCTGAACTGTGGAGGCCAGGTCCTTTAGAAAGTCCACTTGGTTTTCATTCTGAAGTTTCACCCGAAATACTTTCTCACTTCAATAAGAATGAAACATATTTCTAGAGGGAAAATTGCCATTAAACTAAGCCACATCCTGCCCTTTTCCTTCCCCCCAATATTTGGTTTTTTGAGGCTAGGGACTATTTCGTGTGTGGTTGCACAGCATACATTCATTTCAACTGGACTTACAAACAATGTGCTGGATTGTGTGCTCTCCAACTGCTGCAACCAGTAAGGAAGCAAGCCAGTTCACAATAAGCTGCCTTAAAGCATGGAAGTTAAATTAAATTAAACTGGAATAAAGTTATACCAGGTACAAGCCCCGCTCAGAAGTCCTGCTCTTTCTGCTCTGCCTAAGCCTGGTAGAGGGAAAACAAGCCCTAAAATAATATTCCATGCTGGGTTGTCATGTGACTGAGGTGAACAGGATCCAGCCTAAGTAAGTCCCCACCACCCTGCTCCTTCCATGCCTCTTTTTGGGGACTTACCGTATTTCTTGCTCTATAACACGCACCCGACCATAACACGCACATAGTTTTTAGAGGAGGAAAATCAGTAGGCATGCCACCCGTAGGCATTCCCTCCATAACACGCACAGACATTTCCCCTTACTTTCTAGGAGGAAAAAAGTGAGTGTTATGGTGCAAAAAATACGGTATACCAGCCCCAGCTATGCACCGGTTGAGCCAGAATGAGCAAATTATGCTGGCATATCTTTGGTTGAGCTGGCGTTGGGAACTTCATGCCAACCGAGCCAGGAATTAGCCAGCTGAGGTGGTGATCTGCTGCATCCTAAGCTATTCATCCTGGTGGATCTCGCTCCCCTAAGTCTACTAAGCAAAGAAACCAACTTATGGCAACTTTTCCTTTTGGAGATTTCCCACAATGAGAAACTTCTACCTGTCAAAGCGACGAGTGAGAACAACAGCCCGAGGTGCCACGAGGAGACCCAAGAATAAAAGGATGAACCTCATGATTCTGCTTTGGCCACAATCTCTCAGTCCTGCATGCTATATATATATATAAAGCAGGTGACTTCCTCTGGGTTATTTTTTAAAAGCTTACTCATTTTTTAAAAAACAGTATAGTTTTGGCTTACAAGGAAACTCAGATTTTGACATCTGAGCGATGAAGATAAGATTGTGTGTGTGTGTGTTTAATAATGTGTTGTGAAATTAACAGCGCCCTAGGGTTCGTCAGTGCACACAAGTCTGTACATACTTGCTCAAAATTAGTGGTTAGAGAGTTGGCCTAGGATTAGGGAGACCAAGTTCAAGATTGATGCTGAAAACTTACTGAAATAATTGAGGGGGGTGTTTTACTGCTTTGAGGGTGTTTTTTTGTAACAATCAAGCGGTGTATACATTTTATGAAATAAAGAAATAAACGAATTATTCATTTTCTTGGGAATCTGATGCAGGATTAGCAGTTGTGCTGCCTACTGCAGGAATCAGTTTGCATCCATGTTTTGCAATTAACCAGCACAAATATACCATAAATCTGCTGTTCTCTGTTACCCATAGAAATCTATACTTTGTGGAATACAGGCGGATATATCAATTTCGATTTCTCTCAGTTTCTCCTGTGTTTTACAATTTGAAGTACAGTTCTTCACATTTCTACCTCACTTTGCTTTTTTTTTAAGTACTCATAAAAGTTCACCTGTATTTTAGAGCAAATTCCTCCTAATATTGACACTTTTGTATGCAATTTTGCCTAATACACACATTTGTTTTTAAAGAAATTTCTCTTAATATAATGTATTTTTCTATGCTATTTTCACAAATGTATGCATTAAATACACTTTACCCTGATATAGGCACGTTTGTACGCATTACTTGGGTGGAGAGTTGTATTGCGAAACTTGGAGGTGTGTGGATTTGAAAAGGATGGCAATGTTTCGATTCACATCTTGTTTTGGGAAGTGTGAATGAGGCACGCTCACCTTTAAATGTAAACTGAATTGAATTCCCTTCACATATCTGTTTAACAGTATTAACTGATCATGCCACAAACTTTCACAGAGTCCACTTCATCAGATGCATCAAGCGTTGCCTGAGTTTCTGTTGAGCATGGTTGTTTTGGGATGGGAGAAAGCCATTTCACGTTCCTGGGGGAAATGGCATTGCGGGCTGGGAGCAAGCCCTACCCACACACACAGGGCGGGATAGCCCCAGCGCCATTGGGGGATCCTCAGTTGCGTCATCCCTGGCCAACCAATCCGGATGGTCCTGGGGTATGGTGCGGGCTATTTAAACTGCCTGTGGCTGAGGACTCGCCCCATTTAGGCATTGGAGTATTCGGTTGAAGGGGAGGGGAGGTAGTAGCCATCACCTACCCCTCTTAATTCAAGGGTATTCCGTTAAAGGAATCTGAGGGGCGTGGTCTCTGTCCGAAGCCCCAGACGGGGGGCTAGGGCCATGGCAGACCCCTAGTGGTGACCCTGGGGAAGTTCCTAGTTGATGTGCATCAGCAAGACTCCCCCTACTGGTGGTTAACCCTTCCAAGACTTCCTGCAGATGGGCAGGAGTCAGATATACTCTAAGCCAATACCACTCACATTCTGTAACCAATAAAGTTGTGGCCTTTTCCACCCATTAACCCAAAATACTGTTTCATGTGTCTTTATTCCAACATCCTGGGAGGGTTTGGGACCTTGTCACACAATGGGCTGATGCTGATGGTAAGCAGTAAGGCCAGAGGGACATGCATTGCAAAAAGTACAGACAGCAACAAATGCTATACTAATAGTAACCATTCACAAAGCAGTGTTGATGATAACACAAGCATCCTGACAATTGTAAGCCCATTCTTTTGCTTAGAGACTAGCCTGTTTGTCCTTAAGTGGAACAGAGAAGGGTATTGCTAGCCATTGGCATCATAGTGGAAGGAAAACTTAATATTAATATTTTTGGGTCCTGTGATAGTGTTGCCTGAGAAGATATGGGAAGGCATCTGAATTTGTTGCAGTGTCTGGTTCCTCTACTATGTGGCCTTTTGTAGCTGGTGAGTAGCCATGTTAGGCTAGGGGATCGCAGCACGTACTTGCTTACTGACTTGTTTTCAGGAACTATTAGCTAAATTGTTGTGGTTGCAAATTTGTTCCTTAGCCCGTTTTTTTTTTTTTTAGTTTATGTAAAGCACAGGCTCCACAGCTCACTAACCCCTGCCTGTTGAGCAATTCTATCAACTACAATGCACAATCCATTTCTCTAAAATAGTCCTAACTATAGTGGGATATTTTGGAGTAAATAGATTACACATTGCAGTTGGACAGACCACTGTTACACCAGCTGTGGTGGCCTCCAATCCCTTGCAAATGGGAACAAAACATTTCTGTTCAGCAATACTAGGCAAACCCCTGTGATGAAATAAAAGTGTGTCAGTTTGCATTGGGCTGCCTTTCTGCAATGTAGCTGCATAAGCCCTTATGGTACTGCACGGGGGTAACAGATGGGGTCTGAAAGCTATTGACTGCCTGTGTGCCATTCCTGCTATAGATATTTCATTTTGTGATACTCATGCACAGAAACGGGAGCAAAGGATTTCAATGGTCCATTAACAAAGTGTGGGGAAGGCTTTCCGAATCTTTGTTGGACCCAAAATAACCCACAGCAGAAAAATAATGATGCATCAAGCTTTCTTTAATGGTTCTGGAATGCTATTTTAGTACAGATGCTCAAGGACATACATGGCAATATGTTTAACAGCAATCAGAGTTTCTTCACAAGTTGGCTTTATCTGAGATTCAGGAAGAGCAAAGCCATATCGGCCTGTGTCCCGAAGTTCAAAAGTGAAGGAATACTTGATGCCCTCATCATAAGCCCAGTCATCAGAACCACCAGCAGCAGGGTCTGCAAGGATGAAGAAAGAAAAAATGTTTGGTGAGCTAAAGCACTGGCAAATGCAGCTGAACTTCATGAGTTTATAACACTATGCCCTGCTATGCACCCATGGTTTAGCACAAATGTGCGGGCCTGTGGACTCCTGGAGAGTAGATTGCACTCACTTTGCTCTTCCCCCAGTTCTGGTACTGCGACACTGCTCCGAGCTAAATCATGGTTTGGCTTAGTGTGTTGTCTAGACCTGGGCTCATGGATTATATTCTAGACAAACCGTGAGCTGCAAGATAGGTTTCTTCTTGATTTGCAGCTCATGATTCATCATGAGGACCCTAACCATGGGCCCAGGTTCTGATGATATGCTAAGCCATGGGTGGGGAATGGTTCTGAGTAGGGTTATAGTAGGAATGCCAGAGGATTCTGTTGGAATCAATCCTTGCAGTTCACACATTCACCTGAGGTCAGGAATGTAAATCACATAAGTGAATACATTAGTGGCCAAAATTGTGGAAACCTCTTGGAAAAAGCGTATTTCCGAGGTTTGATGGCTCATAACACCTCATTGGCTCTCTAAATACTCATGCTCATTGGCTACATTCAAATGAAGGAAAACTACTGCATATCAACCTAAGCAAGTTGTATTTCTTTTTTCTGGTTATTTGGCTATAACCTTTGATAGAATACAGATAATTGAACAAACTTTGTTGCATTACATTCTTCATTAAATTATCTTTCCACTGATATATAGTTTCATGGCATTACTCCAAAAAAGTGGTATTATGAGCCATTAGACCTCAGAAATACACTTTCACCAAAAGGTTTCCACAATTTTGGCCACTAGTGTACAAGCAATATTCACTATCGGGTTTTTTGGTCCAAAAACATTACATAAATAAATGCATTGTTTTTTGCATTGTTTTTCAAGATTGCCTTCTACTGAAATGCACTAGAATTGTTTAATTACACTCATGAGTTCCAGCCATATGTAACCCAAGATGAACCCCGGATGGGATGGAAATTGCTGCCTCCTTACATCCCTTGGGCAGAGTCAAAAAGGGGGTTGGAGTTGGTTGCAAAAGTATAACCATCTGGTTGGCCACTGTGAGAACAGTCTGTTGGGATAGATGGGTCTGTGGCCTCATCCAGCAGGACTCTTATTTTATTTGAAGTGGGTGATGCAACAGATAGGACTTAATTTTGTACAGTAGTGTGCCACCCACAACATTTTCATTTCAGAAACTGGGACTCGTGTCTACTGGGATGTGCTCCTTGGCGATTCATGTGACCTACACGTGATCTTGTGGGACGAGGGTGGCACTGTGGGTTAAACCACAGAGCCTAGGACTTGCCGATCAGAAGGTCGGCGGTTCAAATCCCTGCGATGGGGTGAGGTCCCATTGCTCGGTCCCTGCTCCTGCCAACCTAGCAGTTCGAAAGCACGTCAAAGTGCATGTTCCTCCAACCACACAAACAAGAGGCAGTTATCACAGTTAAAGGACACATTCTGGGCAAGCAAAAGCGGTCAAGGTGAATTATGGTGGTGAGGAACATGGCCCCAGGAGACAGTCCCCAGGGCCAGGGAGAAAGAGAAAGGCCTTTGCCTCTCAGGCCTGAGGTGTCTCTCCCCCACGGCCCAACTTTATACACTCATTTAGCGCATTTGAAACCTGAAAACAAAATGGTGCCTCAGCAGTGCAGCTGGGGAGAAATTGATGGATGAGCACAACATGCCCTGGAAAAAAAGAGCAATATTGCTTTAGGGAACTCGACATGACATCATGACATCATCCTCGTTTGTTTATTGAAAACTCTCTGCTTAGTGCTAAAGCACTCTCTTGGGAAGGTGGGAAGAAACACATCCGCAATAAGAGCAATTTATGGACTTTAATGTATTATTATATTATAACTAAGTAATATTATCGTTAGATCAGTACTTACAGATAGTGGAAGCTCCTGGCCCATATGTGTATTCTGTGCCATGCAACGTAGCCAGCTCTTTAACAGTTTCTTTAGCAAGGCGATTCTACAGGGAGAAAGTAGGTATTCATGAACTTTACTCCAAAGTCTGAGCCCAGTTGCTCTTTTATAAAACTTTTGCTTTAAGTAACTTGAAATTGTGTGTCCTTTTTGCATGTGGACACATTGAACACTGTTCCTAAATCCATTATCTCCAGCATAATTTTAATAGTCTTGAACAGAGCAACATGGTGGAATGTGAGAAGAAATCTTGTAAAAATTGTACCCACAGATCTTACATTATTATGAGACATCTCTCCATATTTCTCTTTTGTTGACTTAGCAGTCATAATTAGTAAGCTGCTTGCTCTCCACTGTGATCATAAAAATGGCAAGGCAGTCTGTGTACTCGTGTGCCCAGACACATATATGTAGACATGCAAATTTGTGTAAAAAGGAACCCATAAATTCCAACAAGTTAAGTGGCAATCCAGATTTCCAGTTCTGAGTCAACAAAGCGTGTTCTCCTTCATGGAGAGCACATGTTGCGGTGGGGTCTGCTGAGCCACCCCTCTGTTACCAGGCAGGGTCTCTAAAGATGGCCTGGGGCAGTGATTGGTTCACTGGGTTGCTGGGGTAAAAGTTATGTTGCAATTTTGGTGGGAGGGGTAAAATGTTTAAATACTCTGCACGCAGCCTGGAGCTTTCTCTTTGCTGCGTGCAACGGATCACCCGCCCACCCGCCCTTGAGTAAGGGGTTGTTGCACTGCCCTTGCTATGCCTGTCATGGGGTCATCTGCCATTGGGGCAGGGGCCTGGTAGGAATTTTGTCCATCTGGCTGATTGGCTGGGCCATTTGGTTTTTGCCTACTGCGTAGCAAATCGTCACAACTTGTAAGGTTGCGGTTAGGCATTGGTTATAAATTGGTGGAGGAGGGGTTAGGATAGGCTGGGCCTGCCCCTCCATGGTTGCTGCGGAAAGGGAATTCCGTTAAAGGAATCCTGGGGCTTGCCATCTTTTCGTCCAATCCCTGGAATGGGACTAGGGCCGGCAAGCCTTCGGGGAGCATGCGGATGAGAATTGAGGGTCTGTGACTCAGCTCCATTTCTCTCCGACTTGGTTTTCCCCGCACTGTCTTTCGGTGGTGCCCGGAAGTCAGTTCTGTCCCCAGGCGGGGGGACAGATAGTCTTAACCAATGCCTAAACAACCACTCACGGTTTTGTATTTAAATAAATTTGTGGCCAAATTATGCCAAAAACCTTAAACAAAAATTAAGTGTGCGTTGTGAGTTATTTGGGGGGTGGCTTGGGGACCTCGACACGCAACTACATGCTTTGTTTATTCTTAAATCTGTATACTTATGAGGTTTAAAAATAAATAAATCTAGAAGTTGGTATTCTTATTAGGATTTTTTTTTAATTGCTAAGACTTTGTATGCTTTGGAAGATATTGTGTTTCATGGTAGGTTTCTTAACAATTCAAAAGAATTTCTGGGCCTAATACTGCATTTACATTCATGGATTGCTTTCTCTTTCAAATCCATACTGTTTAACCTCAGATTTGCAGATAGTAGATATAAGATATGTGCTGCTATTTACCGTTGCCCTTACCACATCTTGAAGTTTTCACTTACAAGATAGGGAAGAAGGTCTCTCATGCCTTTTGACAGTTAATAGATTAGAGGGAATAGTTCCCTCAGTGTTGCCCATATCACAACAGCCTCATCGTTGCTGCCTAAATTACTGCCTTAGTTAGAAAGCAACTGCTGGTTTGAACTTGACCAGGGAGCTGATTTAGATCTGTCAGAAGTTGATTGAGTTAAACAATCGGTGTCAGATCTAGAGCATGAACCTTCATGATGAAGAAAAATGATGCAACTCAACTATCTAACAGGAATTTAAGAAGTGACTTACCAATCTAGATCAAATTTCCATCTAGTTCAGCCTTCTCCAGCCTGGGGTCTTCAGATGTTGCTGTATTAAAATCCCCATCATGTGCAGTCAGCATGGACAACGTTCAGGGATGTTTTGCCTAACAACATCTGGGGAACCAAGGATGGTGAAGGCTGGAGTGCCAGCAAGATGCCCCTCAGATCTCTCATGGAGATCAAGCAGCTGCAGCTGTTTTTCTTTAGCATCTCAAAAGTAAAGATATGCTAACTGTGTAAATGGGATGAACCATGTCAGCCACCATTAATTTATTAATCACATTTATGCCCCACTTTCCCATAAAATAGCTGAAGGCAGCTAATGACAATGAAATAGGCAAACCTAACAGGCAGACTTAAACTATACCTATCATAACAGCAACAAAGATTGAGGGTGTGTGTGGATTTATCATACTTGGAGAAATCTTCTCAAATGATACCAATATAAATATGACTGGGATTGCCAACTATGAATAGATGAATCTATTCCTGAAAAGGAATCGAAAAAACCTAACATTCCATGCTAGAAAGTGGATAATATCTATTAACAGGGGCGGAGGGAACGAGCAAGACATTGAAGCAGCGAGAACAAAGAAGTTAGGTTTCTGAGGTTTCAAAATGACTTCATCAGGGCTGCTGGGTTTTCTGCAGAAATATCATACTTTCTTTTTTCTGTAGTCATTTGACATTTACAACCAGGTACCATTCTACAAGTTTCTAAGCGTTAGCACAAATAAGGGTTGAACAAGTTGGATTTGTTTCTGCTGGAACAGATGGGACCATCAGATGATCTAACTAAGAGCCTAGGCCAAAATATGACCACATTCAAAATAAAGCTTGAAATGTTTGTGAGAAAAAAAGGATTAAATATACATAGACTTTTACTAGCTCAATATAAATATTAAGAGAGAGCTCAAGGGAAGCCTGACTGCAAGAACAGGAAAGTTGATCCTTCTGGGAAGAGAGGTTGGTTTGGTCCTTTCAACTAAGTAACACAGTTTTTGAACATCATTTATGGTGTGCATTTGTGTGTGTGCATGAATGCATGTGTACATGTAGAAGTGTCAGGGGTGCCATAAAATTAACTGTGGAAGAAGTTGTGAAACTAGGGAGTGTACTTTTTTGCCAATGACACATTTCTTCCAAGAAACTACCATGAGGCTATATTGTGTAACTTCTGTGATAATTCTAGAATGGACCTAGCTTCTCCTGCCTTAGGGAGAGAGTAGTCTCTTTACAGAGGAAATACGTCTGAAACATTTTTTTTCAATGTATAAGGATGTGTGTTTACTGGAAGGACCCAGTCACTGATTCATGGTTCTTTAGAGTGCATCTGAAAATAGGCTGGGTATATCTGTGGTTTTTTTCTGGCTACCTCAATCCTGCAAGCAGCTGGCAATTAGGCAGGTCTCAGTGAAATTTAGACTACCCTAAAAGTTACTCTTAATTCACAGTAAACAAGGACAGCTCCAAAAGAACCAGGTAGCTCTACATTTCTGCAGAAGAAAATGTTTGGTTAGCTATATTTTGATAGCAGAATTTTGTCTTCATGTGCTTCCGATAAGACATAAGAAACTGACAAAATAAGTCCTGGGCCTTATGCAGTCATAGAATTGCATAAAAGGAAGACCTACACAGAGGAGACCCATTAAAATTAGTGGGCTTAAATTAGTCATCTCCATTAATTTCAATGGGTCCACTCTGAGTATGATTAACAATGGATACAACCCATAGCTGCAATCTGCCTTTTCATAGAAAACCATCAAAGTGGTTTACAATCGTACATAAAACCATACAATAAAAGCCATATAAATCCATAGGGGAAAAATAAAATAAAACCAGACATCAATTGTTGAAAGAACCTTTAAGCTCTGGGTCACAAATTGGATGTGTTATGTTTGACTGCTACAGAAACTATCCCAGACAACAAGAGTCCATTTGCTTTGATAAGGTGGCAAATCAAAGACTCGTTGTTGCTGTTTTTGTCCAAATTGTGACTCAGTGACAACTGTTTTGTGCCAAGGCAGCCCATAGGTATATAAAAATACAGTGGAACCTCGCTTGTCGAACGTAATCCATTCTGGAAGACTGTTCGACTTCCGAAACATTTGTTACAACCGAGGCACAAAGGGTTGTTGGAAATTTCCATTGAGAAAATGGAAAAACACACAGCGTAAGCCACTCGACTTCTGAGGCACGTTCCAAAATGGAAGCAATTACTTCTGGGTTTTCGGCCTTCGGGTTCTGAAAAGTTCAGCTTCCAAGATGCTCAAAAACTGTATCCAAGCAGTTGAAAGGAATAGTATGGTTCATTGGGCACAAACAACTGCGAAAAATAAATGCCCAAGTGGATGTTCATCCAGATTCCTCTTTTAAAAAATCACCACAGGAAAGAAATTCCATGAAGGCATCCACTCTTAATACCACTGCCCTTTTCAGAGAGTCATCAAACACACGAAACAGAGGGAGAATTGGATCACACCCATTGCCACCCATTCCTGACCTCCATGCATTCATGAAAATTGCTTGAATAGAGCCTACACATTTACAAGTAACACATGCATACTTAGGCTGTTTTCCTGTGATCCAGAACCGTGCAAAACAGGAATGGACCAACTGTGGCTCTTGGGGTGCTGTTGGACCATTACTCCCAAAATCTATAACCATTGGCCATGTTGGCTGGGGCTTATGGGAGCTGGAATTCCAACAACATATGGAAGGCCACATGTCCCCCATCCCTTCTGCAAAATAGTCATGTGAACAGAGCCAACGTGAGTATGAGTTGTGTAGATTTTGGCTTCAAATGAACACGTGGAGATGGTTGGCAGGGATAACAGCTGCAAGCCTAATTCTCTCCCATGCACTCAGTGATTATTTGGAAAGGTCTTGTGCCTTCAGATGTACGATGACACTTCTAAAATAGATGGGTGTGGAAAGAGATGTTAAGTATGATAAACAGGCATGTATGTCAAAGATTGTTGTTTGACCACACATCTTATCACACGTGGAAAAAGATAAAATGGGCAATGCACATTTTTCTTTAACGTATTAGATGTCAAAATGAAAATAAGCATCCAAGATAAGATAACGCTTTGATAAATCTTTCTTCTTCACTTCTGGGATGATTTATAAGCACTTTGTTCCACCAGAGACACTCACATAAAAGCCACAAATCCTTAGGCCCTCCTAATAATTCCTTTTCCAGGCAGAACTCAGAGCTCTCCTCCTGTGCATATTTACTTGGAAAATAAATTCTATTTTGTTCAATTGGCATGGCTCCCTAGTTATAGAGCTGGTTACACAGCTGCTTTCCCTGTGCACACTTTCTTGAGTCTGAATAAACAAGAGTGACTGAATAAACATGCAAGCACTTTGCCTATAAGACATATTTACTATATACAATATTACACTATGTTACATTAGACAGCATCTTTTTGTTTATCAAATGAAAGACAAATCACACTTTTACTCTACAGAATCCATACTGGCTAGAACTAGTTCCCATTAATTCATTGGAATAAATCAGGAGTACTATATTTACATTTTGCTATTATATTTTATATAATTAAGTCAGGTGATTTAAATTACTGTAATTTTTGCTCTATAGGATGCACCAGACCACAAGACACACCTAATCTTTGGAGGAGGAAAACAAGAAAAAATATATTCTGAATCTCAGAAGTCAGAACAGCAAGAGGGATCGCTGCGCAGTGAAAGCAGCAATCCCTCTTGCTGTTCTGGCTTTTGTGATAACTGTGCAGCCTGCATTCGCTCCATAAGACGCACACACATTTCCCCTTACTTTTTAGGAGGGAAAAAGTGAATCTTATAGAGCAAAAAATACGGTGTTTAATTATTTAACCATCTGGCTTTTAACCGAACAATCATTTAAATGCCAGTCTATTTACACCTTGCAAAATCTCACTGAAGCTACTTTTTCAAGCTCTTGGAAGAATAGGAGAAAAAAAGATTCCCTTAAGTGCTGAGCAAATCACACTGTCAAACTATTCACTGATTTTGGATACAGACCAGAAGGAACGTTCGTGTTTACATTTCTTCTCCTTTTTAAAAAAATAACAATTTTGCAAAGACAGAAGCCACGCTTTTAAAAGGTCTCCTTGTGGCGGCTATAAAGAATAAACAGCCACAGACCAAGATATCCCAGGAGCAACATATTGGGTCACATTTGAACATGATCCAGGAAACTGTACAAAAGAACATTAAGGAATCCTCAACCTGAAATAAATGAGGCCTGTGGCCTTCCTTTGGCTGGGATACAGTTCCAAGAATTGTGTAACTGGTTCCATGTACCCAAGGAGACATTGGACTTGTGTTTATTGAATGTCCGGCTTTGGAAACTCAGGGGGCTTTCAAATAAAGTTTGTAATATGGCATGGGAATCTGGAGCTTCAAAGTGTGTGTGTGCACAGGGAGAGGGGAAGGTGGGGAAAGGAAAAACCCCCATTGGTCATGCTTGATTCCTTGACTATGCCAAAAGTAGCTTGTTGGATCCCAGCCTAAGAATCAGAATCAGAAGAATCTTTATTTGCATCAGCCACTAGCCATAGCAATAAAATGAACTGAACTGAAGATAGAGGTAAAAACTTAACTATACAAAATACATTCTGGAGGTTTACACCAGTAATCAAATAATATATCTTATTCTTATTGCCCCTGCTAATTTTTTCTTTTGCAGTTTTTGCTGTCATCTGATTATCTTGATCTGCTAGAAGAAAGGACTGCTAGAAGAAAGGTCTGCTCTGGTCAGACCTCACCTGGAGTACTGTGTCCAGTTCTGGGCACCACAGTTCAAGAAGGACACTGCCAAACTGGAACGTGTCCAGAGCAGGGCAACCAAAATGGTCAAAGGCCTGGAAATGATGCCTTATGAGGAACGGCTAAGGGAGCTGGGCATGTTTAGCCTGGAGAAGAGGAGGTTAAGGGGTGATATGATAGCCATGTTCAAATATATAAAAGGATGTCACATAGAGGAGGGAGAAAGGTTGTTTTCTGCTGCTCCAGAGAAGCGGACACGGAGCAATGGATCCAAACTACAAGAAAGAAGATTCCACCTAAACATTAGGAAGAACTTCCTGACAGTAAGAGCTGTTCGACAGTGGAATTTGCTGCCAAGGAGTGTGGTGGAGTCTCCTTCTTTGGAGGTCTTTAAGCAGAGGCTTGACAACCATATGTCAGGAGTGCTCTGATGGTGTTTCCTGCTTGGCAGGGGGTTGGACTCGATGGCCCTTGTGGTCTCTTCCAACTCTATGATTCTATGATTCTATGAGTAGTAATGGTTGAGTGACCTGGTATGGATAGTAGTAGAGGGGTAATAATCTCACTCCTCAAATCTTTATAAAGAGTGCAAGCTAAAAGCACATGAACAACTGATTTGATACTGCCATCTCCACATAGACATAATTGCTTTTCTAGTGGAATTTTTTTGAAATTGACCCTCAAGTACAGCTGAAGGCAGTATACTTAATCTTGTGTGAGTGAAAGCACGCCTGTATTTGGGAATTGTTAAATTTTGCAACTAGGGTGCCAATGTGTCAAAACAACTAGGCGGAAAATAATCAGACCATGGACAAGATTTCCTTATTGTGGCCGAATTATTCATTCTGTTGTTTGATATCATATAGACGCTGTCTAATTAAATTATTTGCTTTACTGAAGCCCAGTGTTAATAACTGTTGTGGTGATAAACCAGAAAATTTTAGTCCAAATGCTCTCATGACAATCTTGTGATACTAAGGGTAGTAGACCGGTGGGGTTTAAATTTAGCCGAAGCCAATAATTAAATATCCTACACCAAGTCTGTAATTCAACAGAGGGGAGATTAGCAGCCAAGTGCAATGAAGCATTTGGAACACAGGATGAAACAGAAAAAAAATTGCCTTAGGAACTTAGATTGAACAGCTTCTGTAGATCCAAGGTGAGCGACTGTCCAAATCGGAGCCCCATATAATAACTGTGCTAGGGGTTTTGCTTTAAAAACTTCAAATGCTAATAGTATGTAATTGCCACCTTTTGTATGTAAAAAGCGTGTCAGAATTTTGGCGCTTTGAGACACTTTATCCTTCACATATTTCTGTTGGCTGAAAAATAAGGCCAAGGTATTTAAGACTTTAACTTGTTTGATCAACTGATACCATCTATGGGCCCTACATATAGTTTCTTGAAGACACCATGTCTTTAGTTTTCTTGTAATTCTCTTTGGCAGTATCCTGATAATGCCCTCATCAATCTTTTTAGGTCCACTTTTGTTTGAGATAGAAGTACAGTACCTAAGTTTCTCTTTTGCTTTAGACCAAACAACGTGTGAAGTTAGAAACATATTTGTCAGAATCAAAGGCAAACTGAACGAGGAGGAAACGACTTAGGTTCTACAGAATAACAACTTTGTGTCTTGAGAAAAACATAATCTGGCATAGCACACAAAAACAAAATCCCTTTTTAATGGAAAAAGAGAGAGGCTTGCAGTGCCAGATGTCCAGGGCAAAACCATTAATCTGTCCATTCTCTCTGTTTCTGCCTCAAAATTCTGATATTTCCACTTGGGAGACATTGTAAATCTGTCAGGATTCTACCACTGCAGAGGGCCAGATTTTTGCTTTGGCTTTGGCCTTCTGGCTGATGAGCAAGAGTTTTTTTTTTTTTTTAAGACCTCCCTTTTGTTTGTCATCTACTGTGTTTTCTGCCAGCGACATCAACTCATAACTATTTCACAGTGTTGAAGTAATTTTCTTCTGGAAATGCTGTTGCCCTTTTGAAGGAAAAAACCAACAACTACAGGGGACCATCAACAAAGAACAAAGTACATTTATCATCTGGTCTACTATGAGAGTAACCAGCGCTGGATATCACTCATCATGTTCCTAGACTTCGAATGTTGCAAAAGAATGGGTTGCATCCAGTTAAGGCATCCCATGAATATAAGGGCTTCCAGTTGTGCAACAAAACTTTCCATCCCTCTCCCCTTCCCACGTGCAGCTCATTACCCCCCAGATCTGCTCTGAAGGGTTGGGTACACCCTCAAAACAGATTTGAGATGTGTTGGGTGGGGGAAGGAGAAGAGAGGATGCTCCAATATGCAAATGGGAGTCCTTGTGCAGACAGGACAACTTTGCTGGCTACAACCCCACTGGTCTTCAGCATGTCTTAGTTGGGAATTGATGCCAATTGCTATTGCTGTGCATCAGCCAAGACAGAGAAGGAATGCCAGTTCTCACGGTGTCCCTTTATATTAAAAGACTGATGGAAGCTTGGATGGAACAATTGGTGATGAAGCTGTTGTTTTCCTGGATCACTGTATACTTTCCACACATTTTATAGCTCTCAGGGCTTGTGCAGTGCCTAGAAAGCATGGGTTGGTGCAGTTTTCTGCTTGTCCTGTGCCTTCTAGGCATGGGTCCAAGTGGTTTTCTGTTTGTCCTGCTACATCCCCTGGGAAAACTCGCTCTTTAGTGCCGAATCGGAGAAAACATTAATCTGTGGAAAACCTGATTGACATTGCTGCAATTCAGCAGTAAAGATCTGGTTTTCCCAGGGGAAAGGAACAGGACAAGTGGAAGTGTGGATGAGCCCTCAGTTGGAGCTAACTCACCAAACCTTAAAAGCTCAGGGCTGCCTCTCTCCATATGAACCGACCCAGACCTTGTGATCATTATCTGAGGCCCATTTTCATGTGGCTCCTCCAGGAGAGGTCCAGAGGAGGGCAGCACGAGAACAAGCCTTTTCTGTGGTGGTGGTGGTGGGGTCAGGGCAGTGTAAGTACACTGGTGGAGCCAACCCAACGCATGTACCAGCTGACTTCACTGCTGCCCTGCCCCAGTAAGTGGATGCAACACCGCTGCTGGGAGGCCAGCTGTGCCCCATTGCTTCTTCCTAGTGGCTGCTCCTGCTGCGTTTTAGCCTAGGCTGCATTTACAGGGTTGTTGCGCAGACAAAATAGGATCAAAGAGAAACCACCTGTGCTGCTTTCCTTACTGGAGGAAAGACAGGATATAAAAGTACTAAAGCAATCAATAAGAGGGAAATCCATGCATCGTAAAAAAACCCATAGCCTAAATGGTAACCAAGGGGATATGTTCATCACAACCATTTTAACTTTAGAGTAGTTATCAGCCATTTTGTTTCTACTTACCAACTCCACGTTGTTCTTTGCTACCTCATATGAATAAGAATATGGATACAGCAGCAGTTGGGAATAGGAATGAACGGTCAAGTAAGCCCTGATGGTCGAGAGGTTCTGGCGAATGAAATCAGCCAAGGCTTTGGTCTCTTTCTCTGATTCGGGGGCACTGCCGCAATATGTCTCATCACATGGCCTCTTTGAAGCCCCAAGAGCTGTGTGCAGCAGGAGAAAACATGGATGCATGAAATGAGGCAAACCATGATAAGGTTCTAGATCAGGTGTGGCCTTCCAAATGTTGCTAAACGGCAACTGTCATCATGCCTGATCACTGGCCATGCCTGCCGGGGCTGATGGGAGTTGTGGTTCAACAGCATCTGAAGGGCCACTCCTGTTCTACAGTGTTGTCCTAGATAGTTGTCCACTCCAGGGAAGATTCAGAATAGGCGCTCCAAAAACCTTACTATGTCCTGTGGACTATGGGAGGGATTCAGTGTCACGCCAAAACAAATGTTCCAGCAGGTTGACCTTCCCATCATGCCCTGTTCTGCGGTTCTCCTGACCTCCCACTGATGACTGGGGGCATGAGGGAGAGAATGAGAAAGCTCTGTTGTGATAGTGGGAACCTGTGTGCTGGCTGCTGCTAGTGGAACTATTTAGTTGAATCCTGTCCTCTGTTTCTCTCTCTTTCCCCACAACTGCTATGTATACGAAAACAGGAAAGACCATTATTCCCTGGCAACCACAGTGCCTTATAATGTTACCTATATATTACAGCTCAGAGCCTGTAGCTTAGGGGTTAAGCACATGCCTTTGCACACACAAGGTCTCAGTTTCCATCCCTATCATCTGCACTGGGAAAGCCTGGAGTTGCAATCGCCAGGAAAGACCTCTCCCAGAGTCCCCCGGGGTAGATCATACTGGGCTATGAAGACTGATTAAATAAGTCAGTTTCTCGTGCTGTTTTTGAAATGCTATATTTAACATTAATCTATGTCAGGGTATGAGTCTGTGAATCTACTGAATGTTATTTTGACGCATCTCAAAATGAAAAATGCTTGACATGAACCAAGACTTTTAAAGGTCTGAGGGAACTCAGCAAAATTGACTAAAAACACCGAGCAGTTTCTATAAATCTGTTAAGTCCCATTGTGCTCCTTGAAACAAGTCCCATTGTGTTCCTTGGTAAATGGACATAGGATTGCAGCCTTAATCTCACACTGAAAATAAATGCTCAGGAATTCAGCTTCTCTCAACAAGAGAATGTGGCCCTCTAGGTAATATCCTCACCCTCTGAAACCTCACACATTATGGAAGCTCTAGAACTTGAGAGGTTGTGCCAAGAACTGTGGACCTAACTAGAACTGGTACTCCTGCACTTGGAGAATGAGTCAGTTAGAATTGGGCAATATATTTCTTCTCAGGATGTACTTACTGCACCATTTGGCGTTAAAGTTTCTGTTAGGATCAGTACCAATGCAACTACTGCCGGGATTTAGAGAACGCGTCTTCCGCCACATGCGAGACTGAAATGCAGTATATTTGTGAATGTCAGTTTTGCAGGACTACATATTCATAAACAAGCGTTGAGCTTCATATTCAGAAAACAGGTGTGTTATTCACCTTAGTCCAAGTGTAGACGTAGCCATCAATATTCAAGACAGGCAACACATAGAAATCCAAGTTGTCCAGAATCTGAGTCATGATAGTTTCCTTCCCATAGGTGCGAACAGCCTAAGTATAGACCAAAGAGATACTAAATTAGGGCAAACCCAAATGACTCGGGACTCAGCTACATTACAGTATAACAGGGGTAGGTAATCTCAGGCCCAGGAACAAAATGTGGCCCGCTAAGCCTCTGTTTGGCCCTTTGAATTCTATAAAGGCCACACAACCCTCACAAAAATTACATTTTTCATTGCCTGTCTGGAACATGTCCTTGAACTGTGACAATGCCTCTTGCTTGCTGGAAAGGAGGAAAGATGTGTGGTGTGTGCATTCTTGTGAATAGACTTTTGTATGGCTGGAATGTAACTTGCAATACAGAGGTAGGATTCACAGCCATTTCTATGCCTACATTTGTACCTGGCCCTGTCCACCACTGTTATGCTGTCCATGAGGGAATGTTCCTCACCCCTAGTAACTCATTTAAGAAGCTGAAGCACGGTTAAAGCACAGTTTAAAACTAGAAGGCCCAGATGAGAAGCCATAAGTTCCTTAATAGATAGTGTGTGTGTGTGTGAATAGATAGGTCTTCAACAGGTGCCATCTCAGACCCTCCAAGTGCTCCTATTTTCCAGGGACAGCCCTGGATTTCCGTAAGCTGTCCCGGTTTCTGATTCGATTCTGGAATGTCCCACTTTTCCTTAGGGTGCCCCTGTTTTCATCAGATAAGTGTTGGAGGGGATGGAGTTGTGTGACCCCCGAGCCAAGAAGACACTAAGTCTACAACCTTTAGAAGACATCTGAAGGCAGCCCAGCCCTGTATAGGGAAGTTTTTTAAAATGTTTAATGTTTAATCCAGTCAGATGGGCAGGGTATAAATAATAAATGCATATTATTATTATTATTATTATTATTATTATTAAATAAGACGTCCCTATTTTCATTGGAGAAATGTTGGAGAGTACACCATCTTGATGAAGCTAAATTATGAGCTTGCTGCTCTGAAGGGTAAGACTGATAGTTGTAGTAACCCGAACTGCTAAATGAGGTGACATTTCATCCTCTGCTGCATTAACTGGGAGAGATAAGGGGAGAGCATTCCCAAAGACATGTCTGGAGTGTCACTTTCAATTTCCAGGCCTGGCTCTGCACATATATCTGAGCGGACATGAGGGGAAGGCCTGTCACCACTGGGTGCCTTGCCAACACTCTCAGGTCAACTATTTCAGCTTACTTGATATGGATCGTAAAGCACTTGCTTCTGCAATGACTTCTGTTTTTACATTTTGTGCACATGTAGGAACCTTTGCTAAATCTGTGGGAATTGAAACAGCTGGAAGTTGTATTTTAGGATTGTTCCGTCAAAAACAAACACAGTCGAGCCTCACAGATGCAAAAAATCACAGGCTTCTTCATAATACACTGAAAGCTCTCTCTTTCGCCAGTGGTTACTGGCCAGCTGTGCTATTTCAGAAGCATACGCATAATAGAAAATAATTGTAGGGATACTTTGAATTGGCTCAGGATCACTAAGGTGGGGAAGGGTTGATATTGTGTGTTTTCAGCAAGGGCGCTAGGGACTATAATAACTTCAGACTGGAGAAAAGAGGGTTAATATGACACAGAGCTCTCTAGCATCCTGCCAGGCCCTCTTGGGACCATGTGAGATTGTCTCCCCTGCTGATCTCGCTCTTTCTAATAGCAAACTCTGGTACCGAGTGCTAAAGAAACAGAAGCATGCTTGGTGGAACCCTGTGGTGTGCAAAAAGGCACCTAAAGGAGTATTGATTCAAATACTAGGATCCAGAACAGAACAGTAACCTAGGCTTCTTAACAACTTTAATGAGATTAATTGACGAGACCTTGGAGAAGTTGCAATTAAAAATAACACCTTACTTTAGAATTGTGTATTCATTATTAGATAAGCTTCATATGTAACAGGCTGATCATTATATTCTAATGATATGCTTTTAAGAGGTCTTCATACATTATTCCATTTGTTCTAGTACTTTTTTCTTTAGAGGGCATACCTCTCTTTTGTGTAATAATTGTATCATAATTACCTTCCTCTAGATACTCAGACAGGCACATAAAGCCGCATAATATCCTTTTGAAAATGGGGCAACACCATTTTCATGTTGCAGATTCTGAGGATTTAGCTCTGTGTGCTTACATCCTGTATTAACATGGTTTTGTTATCACCAAGCATTTTAAGGTGAAGAAATTTGATTCAGCATTGGTCATTTGTTTTGTATTTTATGATTTTATAATCTTAGGATGTTATTGGATATTTTCCCTATGAGTTGATATTCAAACAAACAAACAAATATCAGTAACGGAAGGATACATTTAAAAAATGAGTAATAATCAAATGATAATATTTATGGAGCTTTAGAGGAAAAAGGGGGACCTGAAGACCTGAAAGAAATCATTAGGAAACTTAGAAAAAGGACCTGCCAATAAGTTATTTTTGTGACAAATCATTCCTGCTTCTAAGTGTGTCAGTGGACTTGGTTACTGATTTTAGTGAACAAGTATTTTGCCCACTAACCTCTCTCACAAACCACTGGCAGAATGCAGGTGAGATCCATTCTCTAGCATGGAAGCCACAATCCATAAAGATGGCTTTTTTATTCACACCGGGCTTCCCCAACTGTAAACATAAAAACAAAACAAGGCAGAATTAGTAATTTATATTGAATACTAATAGGTCATGTTCTCTATTCAGACGGCAGCCTCAGGCCTCACTTGAGATGAGCAGGGAGTTGCATTGCTGGAAGTGAAACTTAACTCTGGTTGGATTTTCTCACCTCTGGTGTGCTGGATCCATATTTTATCCCAGCTGATAACTGTATATTTTTAGAGTTCAGTTAGCTGTGTGACATGGCTTATACATCTATCTGCACCTTTTATATAAATAGTAATGCATAGGGTAACTAAAAGTGGGTGGAACACCCTTATCCTTCTAGTTGTTGTGTAAAAGAGGGATGTCTGCCTTACAGAAATGAGACAGGCTCCATATGCTGAGATTTCTTCTGTATTCACACCTATATAGTAGGTTATGGATATGGGGGAAGTGTTCTGAGAAAAGGAAGCCATCTTTCTCCTTAAGATAGTCACCATTCATAAAAACTGTCCAGCCTGGGCTGCTCCCACATTGTCTGCTGTCAGCTGGGATAGCTGAGTTGGTAGAGCAGGAGACACTTAATCTCAGGGTCATGGATTCACATTGCTGGTTGGACCATCGTGGACCCTTCTAGCTCTACAAATTCTATGGCTCTATGATCATCATGTGGGGGGCGGGGCTGAGGGAAGGAGGACCTTGCATTTACTCAAGCATCAAAAAACTTGGACTGTAATGGTGTGATATTCCGAAACATCGACCTGATACTCAAAATAAGAACATATTGAAACTGATTTCTTTTGTTTGCTTGAGCTGTATGATGGAAACGACTCAAGAAAGGAAATGCTGATTAGCTGTTTGCCTCCTGTTGCCAGAAAAAAAAAAAGAACAAAGAGAGAGAAAAAAGGGGCTGAAGTTTATAGATGACTTTATAGCAAATAGGTTTACAAACAACAGATGGAGCACACAATTATACAAAGGTAGATTACCATTTACCTTGCTTACAGGAACACGGTTAAATTTATATGTGCAAACTGTCAAAAGACTTTTATTACGGTCTGGGCTGTTTAGGAAGCCTTTACTATCAATCAAAAAGGATAAAAATGTCACCATAAAAGAACTTCACCAAAATCTGCTTTGGTTTCCTGAAGCATTGATTGAAAAATACAAATCTGGAGCATGCGAGGGCTTAATAAATATTGTTGTTTCTTATGTGTCAAGAGAAGAGCAAGCAGACTGGATGAAGAAATGAAAAGCAAATACCTTCAGGAGGTGCATTGAGCGTCCCTCATAGGTTGTTCCTATCTGTGACAGGGAGACAAGATCTGGGTTCTCCTTTGCAATATTTTTGATCCAAGCCTCTATCTGTTGAGTTAAAAAAAAAAAGTAAATAAGCATATTTAATAGCAAAAGGAACCACCTACTAAATATTGAGTCAGACTACTATCTGTAGGCCGGTAATATAAATGTTGATTTGATAGTGCTTTCCGCAGGGCCACCTTTTCCAACTCTGCTGCTAAGCGGCATTTAAACTAGCAATAGCACCAAAACTTGAAATTAGCTGGCACAGAGGTTGAATCTCGTAGGTTTGTAATTCTCAAACTTTGACATTTTAATAATTCAAACCATGATGGACTATATATCAATTTATATTTATTTCACCTGCATGATTGGCATATTTCCTACATCTGGCATGGCTGATCAGTCAAACCCTGCCGTCTTTCCTCAAACGACGCTCAGTCATTTTTTTCCTCCTGTAGTGCTTTAATTTCCAAAGGAAATTAAAATATACTGTTTGCAATGCACCCTCATGCATGATGATTTTACTCAAACCCTTTAGTTTCTCCCTTAGGATTGTTACCAACATGCCAAGTTGTGCAATGAACAGGCTTTTTTTTGTCACCAACTTCCACAGCCATTGCCTTTGCCTGTGGCTTCCACTCCATACTGTTGCAAACAAAGCATGTGTAAACATGGCCACTCAGAGGAGGATGCACTGTGAAGCGTGGTGTTGTGATGCAACGTATTGTGCATGCCATGTTTCCAAGATTCACTTTGGTGATGCACATGCTGAAAAATACGAAGGGAAATAACGGAACACCCCTGCCTGTGTTTATAATCCTTGGATTTGTAACTCAGAAGACAAACTACATATTATGATGGGGTCAGTTTGCTAAGCACTAATTTCAACTGGAGATACCAGGAATTGACCCCGGAACTGAATACACACAAAGTATGCACACTATCCCTGAGTTGTAGGAGAGAGCAATTGCCCTCATGTTCTACATTTGAGCTTCCCATAGGTCTCTCCTTGGCCATTGTGGGAAACCAGATGTTGAACCAATTTTGGCCTTGGGTGTGATCCAGCACTGCTCTCTTTTATGTTCTTATGTTCATAGCAAAACTACCATTGGGAAGCAGAGGAGGATATTCAAACGTGAACATTTTTTTACCGTTTCCCAATTGTTATATTTTTCATACTGATGTCCAGTAGCCCGGATATGACTGTCAAACTGCCCATCAAGTACAGCCTGAAGGTTGTCAATCAAAACTCTGCAACAAAGCAACAATATGGACCAAGTCAAATGGGGGACATTTCATTTTCTACTGCTGCTGTGTCTCCATTTCTGCTTAACAACCCTGTGATTACTGTCCCTATGTTTACTACCACTTCTTCCCCTTCTTCCTGCAAACACTATCTTCATGCAATGCAGCTTCCCAGGTTGGGGAGAAATGAGAGTTGGAGGAAGTTTGGAAGAGAGATCACTGCTGCTGCCTTGTTTATCTTCAAGCCAGGCTTGCCTCCAGAAAAAAAAGAGTTTTTATTTGTTTTGTTCCAAAAAATCAGAAAAAGGTTATTTGACCAGAGGTTGCAACAGGTAGAAGAAATAATCTCTTTCAAACTATTTTAGGATCTGTTAAAGACATGGTCTCCAGCCTTTGATCCACTGATCTTCCAGCACTTCTGCAGAACTGTCTGTATGCGTGTTGACTGGCAGCAAAGACCCCTGCTCTCTCCCTAGCCTGAATAAAATGGTATAGGCTAAAGAAATGTGCAAGCTCAGTGCCCTTGATCACTGCGATCTGGATGAGAAGAGTGAGAGAGGGCAGTTTGCAGTGCACTCCCAGCCTTCATAATGAACACATTGACATGATGTCAGGGCACTGCGGCTCCACATCAAAGGCTCACGTCTCCTCTAGCTGTAGCAAGGACACTTCACTGAAGTCTGTCAGGGACAATCTCTTTGGTGCAGGAAACTGGGCACATTCATTATTAGCGGAGGAAGTGTTTCAGTAGAGTAACTCTTCTTTCGCTATCTAGGCACTCCTGCTTCCCTAAGGAGTACAGAAAGTTACTGCCAGGTTACTAACTGGAATCAGAAAATGGCAACATATCTGGCCAGTGCTTAAACACAGAAGAGAAGGTTTAGCGTTCCCCCGATTGCCAATCTTGATTGCCAGCCCAGTCCCCACTCCAACGTTGCTCTCCGTTGCAGCTTTAAAAAGGATTCATGCACCTACACGTGCTAAATCAAATTTAGCATCACTCTTATTGCTAAGTGGCTAAAGGACCTTGCACCTTGGATGGTATACAGATGGTGTAAACATACATACATACATACATACATACATACATACATATAACATGAATTGGCTCTTTGTTGCACAAAGTACAACTTTGTTGATTCTGTTCAATGCTCTTCGTCTTGCATGTTTAAACTTTCCCTTTTTGGTTTTGTTGTTTTTTTATCCACCTATCTTGCTACCGACTGCTCTCCACAAACACCTTACCTGCTTGGATTGCCTCTTGGAACTAAATCCTTTTCAGAGTCTTCTGTTTTGTCTGACAGATACTTTGTCCTCACCTGCTAGTATGAAAAAGCTCAACCCTACAGAAATTCTGGCCTCCTCTTTCTACCAGTGGAGGGTCCCAGCTTCATAGTCACAAGACAGGTGCACAACACCTCTTTAGTGCATGGAATGCTCTGGTGTTTTATCAGACACCCAATGAACCTGAATGTTGGAAGATTCAGGGCTACTGGACAAAAGAATGCACTTCTTCACATAGTTATTGTTATGCAAAACAACCTGTACCTCATCTATTTCCAGTCTAAAGACCATCTTACCATGGCTTCCTTTAAGACACATGGTTAGACATACTCAGAGTAGACTCATGGGGGGGAATAAACATGTCACACTAAATGTAGAGATGTCCATTTTTTAATCCACTGATATTAATGGAGCAAATGCTAAAAGCAAAAGCATACTTGTAGTCCAGGGCACTCAGCTGAAGGAGGCTCTCGACTTCAGAACATTTGTCTGCTTCAACTCGGAAGTCAACTGTTGTTTCTGTTTTCACTTGGTCAACAGAGTCTGGGCGCCAGAAATCAACCTGAACAGAACCAAACAAATGGTGTATGAAAACAAAAGATACACATAGTTTCATCCTAGATCTGTCGGCGTATTTGGATTTGGCTGCATAACGTTATGTCGTCACCTCGTGCAATAATAGCAGTGTTGTTATGAATCAAAGCAGACAACCAAATGCACAGAATCATAGAATTGTAGAGTTGGAAGGGACCACAAGGATCATCTATAGTCCAACCTGCTGCAATGCAGGAATCTTTTGCCCAACATGGGGCTTGTGTTGGGATACTGCCAGGGAGACAAAGTCCATCATGACTCCACGTCGTCTCAGTTGCGATCCATCGATCTCCCGTAGATACAGTATCAGCAATTAGCGACACGAGCTCCAGAAATAGCTTGCCACATGTCAGGGAACTGACATCGGAGATAGAGGCTCTCAAATGATGCTGGAGAAGGGCCCAGCAGGGAGAGAGGCAGCTCAGCAGATGGGGAAGCAATTCAGCGCAACACCAGGAATAAGGAGGGGCAGATGGGGGAATCGGCGAGAGGGCTCCCAGACTCTTCACCGGACACCAGCGGGAGAGCACGGGTCCTCCGCTACCCACGCCCTCCCTGCGCAGAAGACTTCCGCGCAGAGAGAGTAGGAGGAGACTGGGTGTCAAACAACTTTTATGTTGGAAAAGGTTTAAGAAACGCCCACTGACGGATTCTGCTAGCGACTGAGGCAGCCACGAAGTGAAGGGCTGTCCAGACTGAAAGGTTTAACAAGGCAACAAAGCCAGGAGAGGCAGCAACTTACGCACGAGCAACCCATACTCTTTACACCACATTCCAGAGCTGATGCGCGCTCTATCAGCAGAATTCACACAGCAAAAGATGCACGCAGGAAAGCATTATTTACAAGTTTATTCAGCGTTGGTCAGAACAAAGAAAACATGACTGCCTGCTTCGGTGTCTCAGGCACAGAGAAAGAAACGAAAGCATAGACACAACAGAAACATCCTGTGAACAGGAAATACGCAGGCTGTGACACAAACATCCTGCTCCCTTTTAAGGTGGAACGGAAATATCCTAACAGCTTGAACCCACAACAACCTTGAGAACTAAGAGTCTCATGCTCTACCGACTGAGCTATCCCCCAGGTCAATGTAAACACAAAGTCTCTTACATGTGGCTTAGTGATAGTTTACAGTTGATGCCTTATTAAAATCAATTGCTCCTAAGGCAGCAAACTAGTCCATAGTCCTAAATTAAATTGTCCTAACCCGGCAAGAGATGAGGTTGTGTGGTTGGTTCTTCCTTGCTTAGGCAAGTACATGAGGTGATACGGAGCTTTTCAAGTTTGATTTTGACAAATTAGCATAGAGAAAGTCAGTGAATGAGGAAAATGGGGGTTCCTAGCAGTTTAAATAGTAATCATTCTATGCATGACTGAGTGAATTTCTAATTAAAAGGTGGCTTAGTGTGTTTTACAAATTAAACTTAAGTAGGCACAACTGAGTCCCATGGAGCTTACTCCTAGGAAACTATGCATAGTATCACAATTATGCTGGCCCTAATAAACTAGTTATATACTATATGCACTGTACTTCAACGTGTATGTATAATAATGGATCAACAACACGGTTGCATGCATTTTTTTATGGTCCTTGGGGGTGTGGTTGCATATTCTCTTTTGGGCTGCCAAAGTGAGTTCCTGCACTCACTAGATAGCAATATTATCAATGGTGGTTATTGTGGTGGGGCAAAGCTACTTTCCTGACACCAGTATCTCTGCAGGATAAGGCTGGGGTGGAGCAAGGTGGCAGCAAGGTCGGGCTGCATGGGCACACCAGTGCAAGCATTGGATTGGACCCAGTGCTGCATCTATGCAGCCCTGACCTTGAAAACATGCTCTAGTCTTTTCCAGTAGCAATGCTGCTGTCAAGAAGGTAGGTCTGTCTCCAAACACCAGCCACTGAATGTAATAAAACACGCATGGATGTAAAACAAATCAGAGCTAAAAGAGACACCAGATCATTCACAGGTAAAATGCCAGGAAGATTTGGAACCTCAGCAGGCCCAACGACTGCAGAAAGAGTGAACGGTCTCAGCTCATTGATGGAAGACCAACAGAGAGGGTGCAAAAGGCAGTAGCTCAGTGCAAGAGTATCTACTTTACAAGGCAAAGGTCCCAGTTTCAATTGCCTGCCTGAAACTCTGGAGAGTTTTTGCCAGTTAGGGTAGATACTATTCAGCTAGATGAACCAATGGTCTGACCCAATAAAAGGCAGCTCCCCACGTTTCTAAGGTAGGTCCCCCCGTGGAAGCAATTTTCAAAGATTGGGTACCACTACAGAGAAGAGCCTCTTGTAGCCAAAAACAATTCAGATGTTGGCAGGGCACAGAAGGGAGACCTGCCATAAGATCTTAATAAATGGGCAGGTCCATATAGAAGAAGATGGCTATTTAGGTATCCTCATGTTATGCCTATTCAAGCCCCTATTATCTAGTGAGACTCCCATTGCAATGCCGATCTCTGCATTTGTTCCAAAACCTTATCGCAATAGCTTTGCAAAGCCTCAACTCCCTTGTCGACTGGTAGCTTAAATCTCTCAGCAGCTGGAGAACAGGTGTGATTTGGCCAGACTTCAGATATGCCTCACAATCAGGAATAAAGTTTAGAGGCACGTTAGTTAGCACTGTCGCCCATGAGAAAGAAATGACTTGTGAATTTATGACCTCAAGGCTGACATTTGCTTGTCTTTCAAAGTTAGGAATTTGTGGCCTCGTTTCATCTGGATGGGTTGAATGGATCTGTAGTGACTTTTCCGGGATGAAGCATATCTAAAAGGTGCCTATTGCTTTGGTATCTAAGCAGTGAACAAAATATTATTACCGTAGGGATTATAACCCTATAAACAAGGAAGGCTATCATCTAAATATACTGCGATAAATATGAATTCTGTCCTTAGCTCATATATAACTGCCTTCGCTTAGCAATTAAAAATAACTTTGCCTCCTTCCCTGTTTTTGTTGTGGCCTTGATTTATTTACTTAAGCTTTTCTTTTTTACTTCACACACACTTGTATCATACCATTCCTTAAATGGGTGCTATTTATGATGCACTTTCAGCGAAAGCCTCAGTCACAAGGATAGCGCAAGGCACATTTTCTATATTGAGGATTAATAGAAGAGGTTTTGGAAAGCAAAGTTGAGGAATTCAGATTCTATTTCAGAGGTCTATTTCATTGTGAGATATTCCATTATAGCATAGACTAATGGTGCTCCCCCCCCCACCCCAATGGATCACCTGAAAATTGCTGACTGCCTTGATGCGCCATCTAGTAATATATATATACTGTTCTACAAATAAAAGCACATGCACAGCTTACATTTTTAATAATGGTAGTCTTTCTAACATGATTGTTCTGTCTGATTTTGTGAGCAAGTTTATGTCAAGCCAATTTCCCATCATCAGAAAAAAATAAACCCAGTACCATGTACAGATATTCTTAATTGTTATGCAACTTTTCCATGGACCACCAGTGGCCTGCAGATTACAGTTTGAGAACCTTTGACATAAGTAATGACTAAGGGCTGTGTACACATTGGACCTTTCAAGCACATTCAAAGCACATTCTTTATCTCAAAGTATTTTTGGCACTGTAATTTACCCTCCACCGACTTAAAATTCCCAGCAACCCTTCACAAACTACAGTACCCAAAATTAATTAAGGGAATGTGATTCAAAGTATAGTGTGTAGACAGCCCAAGAGCTGAATTCTATCCAAAGTTTAATGGCACTTATACCCAAGTAAGTGTGGTGTGGGATTCTCCCAGCTTCTGCCAACCTAGCAGTTCGAAAGCATGCCAGTGCAAGTAGACAAATAGGTACCACTGTGTCAGGAAGGTAAATGGCGTTTCCGTGCACTCTGGCTTCCGTCACGGTGTTGTGTTGCACCAGAAGTGGTTTAGTCATGCTGGCCGCATGACCTGGAAAGCTGCCAGTGGACAAATGCTGGCTCCCTCAGCCTGAAAGCGAGATGAGCGCTGCAACCCCATAGTCACCTTTGACTGGACTTAACTGTCCAGGGGTCCTTTACCTTTTTTTATACCATTTCCCCATTGTACTCAGGGATTTGCAGCAAAATCCTAACCATGTCTACTGAGAAGTAAGTTATGCTGAATTCAATGGGACTTACTCCCAGGTAAGCAGGGTTAAGATTGCAACATTACCGCTGAGGAGATAGTTATATAATCCTACTTTAGCTACAGGCCAAACACACAGCTACTCAATACATCTGTGTGTATGCTATTGTTGTGTGCATTCAGACAATTTCATGATCCATGTTTGAGAACATGTTACATATTGGAGAACATACTGTAATTCCTAGACTGTTGACATCTTCTTCCATTCCTGATATCTCAAAACTTGAAAGGGAGGCATCAGAAATTTTACTCAGTTTATTGCTTTTTTTGCTATGAAGCCTGAGAGATAGTGACTGAGGGAATTGGGGCAGATTGCCAGGTTTACATTCAGCTAAAAAACATTGTGATGGAATCAATATGTCTATATAAATGGATACACTTGTGCAATTTAATAAATGGGAGGTGGGAGAGAATAATACTGTAGTAAAACGTTCTATCTACAGGGAGTTTCTGATGTGTGGGAACCTTCAAACTTGAGATCCTCCCACCTTCCAAGCTGTACAGACTTGGACCCTTCCAACTCTTTTATTTTATTATTGTACACTGTGGTTGGTTCTATATATTGCAAGCAGGTCATAAATATACAAGTTTTCTCTCACTGTGTAACACGTTAATTTCCACACATTTCCTTTTCTTTCAGTCGGGAATGTTCATTGCTATTCCATTGCTTGCTGCCCACACTAGTGGTCAGAGGATTATGGGATGTCTCTAGGTTGTATTTTTTGTCCCTTCTCTCAATCATAAAGTCCTTTGCCCTCCACTGTTTGCCATTCTGGACACATGCAGAGGTATATATGTACTTCTGCATGTGTAAATTTGAATTTTGGATTGTGCACATATGAAATTCTCTTAGACTAAATCAGTCTGTGGCTCCATTTAAGTAGACAGCATTCCAAGCTCACAAGCAAAGGTCACTTTCTCACACCTGCTACCTGATCCTTTAACTGGAGAACTGCATCTGCTGGGACCTTGGGTATGCAAAATGCATGATCTCCACTGAGCTGCTGTGTCTGCATGTGGAGCAGGGTGGAGCAGCTGGTGGTCTTGCCTTGCAGTAGAAGTAGGAATAAAGGGTGTTTTGATCCTTTCCAGATCCCGGGTTCAAAATGCAAAGCCAAGCCATTCTGCTTAGCAAAAACTGATAGCTTCTTTGTAAAACATGCTTAGAATTCAACGTAACACCTGGCTGAACCCCCGGTTTAAAATAAGTGCATATCAAAACTCCCATAGCATTTAAGACATAATGAAGAGCAGAACTAGGCGAGAGAGCGAGCCTGACAATGGCCCATGGTCAATGAAAAGTCCCTCTACATCTGTATATCATTGTAAATGCCACATCTCACGGTGCAGATTACAGTGTTTCCCTCCTCTCTTCTGCAGCTATTTCTCAACATCAAAGCTCTACACAAATATTGAAAACAGATCTGCTATCTTTGGTTGTTTTTTCTCATGCCACAATATATCTACATCAAGGTCACAAAACACAAACTTGGAACGGACGAGAGGTTTAGAGAACATTCAAGGAAGAGACGACAACAAGCAGGAAATAAAAAAGGGTATTATGTTGAATAGGAGTCTAAACTATTAGAAAGCAGCCTCTTATAGCGGAGCCTCTTAGTACCATTGTTTCAATAGTTTTTTGCATTGGAAAGTCTAATCAGAATACACACAGGTTGATTTTTATAACCAAGCTTATTTGCTGTACATCTGCAAACCTTGGGGTTCCTTGGAGCATACCGATACCTCTCCTCTTGTTCTCAGTGGCCCTGTTTTTGCTGTATTCCTATTGGCACTCAACATCTGAGCTTGCTACTAGAGGGAGTAATAATGTTAGAAGGGGCCTTACAAAACCTAGTCTAACATTATGTAATGTCAGAATCTTGTATTTTAAGCTACATTGTCATCTTAAGATTCTGCCAGGGACACCCCAGGATGACTCCAACAGCTCAGTCCTACGTGTATTTATTCAGCTGCAAGTCCCATTGTGTTTAATAAGTCGTAAGTACCCCTAATTAAGTGAGTATGGGGTTGCAATGTTTTGCTTCATTGCTCAAGCTTTCTGGAAAAGAAAACCGGCTTCCTTGCAACTTGTGCTCTCTGTGCTCCACAATTCTCCCTCTCTCCAAACATTTTAATGAAATTGAGAAGTATATTTAATTTCATCCTCCCACACCTGAATTTACCTGCATATTGTTGGCCAGGTAATGGAGGACTTCAACCTGTTCTTCATTGTGAGGTGTTACACGAAAAACCTTATCCCTAAGGAAAAAGGCAGAAGTAAATCATTTGTACCAGAAAAGGTCATTTGTAATTTAAGAATGTGAAAGTCAAGTATATTAAATATCCTTACCCATGAAATTTGTGAACTGAAGCTTCTGGAGAAGCAGAGGCAACAGCTACAAGAAGCAACAAGACCCACATATTTGCTGCCATTTGAGATAATGGGGGAGTCAATTATTCTCTCACTTGCTTTTATAATCAACTGTTCCTTATCTTTGACAGGCTAAACTGTAAACCCAGCCTACATGTTTCCTGATTGATCACTCTCTTGGCCTCGTCTTGTTTACAGACTACTTATCTTCTATGTGTAGTATGGGCTCACCTGTGAAAATAGAAAATAAAATCTCATGGGTTGCTAGATTGGAGTTGGTAAACAGTTTTATTTCCATTCTTGGTGGATTATTTCACATTCTTCCCACTTTTAGTGACTCAAGTAGGATTTAATACCAAATTGTGACTTGACCATTGGTAGTTGTCATGGACTAGTTGGACGCAGAGGAACCGTGGGAGGAACCATCTGGGGGACCACCAAGAGGAGTGGTGATGGGACACCAATGAGAGGTCACAGGAAGAAGTGGGAGAAGACTGAGAAGAGGAGGTATCAGAAGCTGAGGAGATAACAGGGCTTACTGAGCTGGGAGAGTCTGTGGTAGAGAGAAGTCCAGAATCAGAGGGAGAAGCTGAAGCTGGAGAGTAGGAGAGAGGCTAAGAGGCAGAGATGAGTTGGTTGTGGGCGATCTCCCCTCATGCTGCAATAAGCTCCCATCTCCCTTTGTCTCCTAGAACTAGAAGGAGCATAAAAAGGTTGAGGAGAGATGGGTGATGTGCAGAAGCAGTCTCTGATTGCTTTTGGGGGGGGGGACCGGGAAAGGTGGGGGCTTAGGTAGCTGTGGGGAGGCAGGGACCTTCAGTCTCAGCAACTGCTTCATAGAAGCAAGACCTACTGGAGATGAGTTGCTATGTTCCATTAGGCCTGAAATTCATGAGCAAAACATATTTTTGCTAATAAAGAGTTAATTTCAACTTGCATGGTGTGATTGACCTCTGGCACGCTCCTGACAGTAGTACCCCTGCAAACTTACAGGCTTCCTATCATTTCTCTCACTGAAGTTCTCACCCTGGGCCAGCAGGGGGATACTGTAGATAGTTTTCACTCAGGTCCACATATGCAAATAAGGGGTTGAAAGTGACGTTTAGTGATTGGATAGTTACAGAAAATGGTTACTGTTGCGTTCTAGTGGAGCTCTATATAAGCAGGCTGCCTGAACCCTTCAGTTCAGTTCTGTTCTGGCCTGTGAATAAACAAGAGCTGTTTGAAGAATCACTGTGTTGTCTGATATGTTTACCCACAACTTAACATGTGCGTTCTATTCTCCTTTCCCAGCTTATGCTAACCATAGTTTACTGTGTCATACGAACTGGCAACTATGATTTGTGCTTTTCGGAAACAGGATTTGATGTGTGCTTGCAAACTATGGTTTGAAATTTAAAGTCGATCACAGCTTGCCAATTCAGACAGCATTGTTTGACATTATGTCTCAAGCCATTGTAGCTGCTAGGTGGGACATTTTTATGAATCAAAAAGTTATAAAAGACAGTTTCAGTCAGTCATATGCAAAAACATGCAACCTGGCCTTTGTCATCTTTATAGATAGAGTGCCACAGAGATGTGGAACATGATTCTTCTTCCTGGTTGGCTTGGACCTTGAGTAGGAGTTTAAAACAGAAATAAATAAAAAGAATGGTTGATACAAATTAAACAACTTTAAGGACTGCATCCTACAGTGTGTGAGTAGCATTCCACATGCACAATGGGACTTCCATGTTGCCTCCTCTCTCCATGCCCCTAAACTATGCTCCATAGGGTGCCCAGCCCCCCTCCCCCACAGAGCTGATTTTGAGGGTACATGGGAGCTTATGAGATCTGTTCAACAAACTCACTTCTGCAGTCATGAAGAAATATGATTGGCCAGTAGTGTCCAGCCACCTGAAGCTCTGATTAAAAAATGCAGCCAGTAGCTTCTTAAATGGTAACATTAAACACAAAATCCTTATCATTTGATAGTCATCTTGCCCAAATACACCTGAACTCAGTTTACAATTAATTTGACCTAATTCTGTAGCACAGCAGACATTTTCCTGGATGTCTCTTGCTTGGAGTCAGGTCTGCTGTGTCTGGTGCCTGCAGGAGCTATCACAAGCTGCCAAAATAGCAGCCTTAAGTCTTAAGAACTTTCAAATTGAGGATGGTGAAATCCACAAAATTTCAGTACAGTTGTAGCAGCCTCACAAACATGGCAAAGACAATAATGCAGAGTGATCAAGCTCAGGACTTGCCATAAATAAATGATCAAAAGGACTAATCAAACAAATTGTAGATGTCATCATTTCCCGTTGAGCTGCAGGAAGATATTCAGATATAGAAGTCGGACAGATTTCCCTTCAGCATGGGGTTCTTGGTGTTTTTTTCAAGTAGTCGGAGACCATTTCTGAAACGCAGCCTATAATGCATCATCAGCCACTTGTAACTTCCGAGCTGCCAAGGTACATAGAATATTGACTTTTTTTTATGGAAGCCACCTTTCCATCAAATATTAGGTGGGAAACGCGTGGTGACATATAATTCCATTGAAGTGGCTCGTTCTGTATCCAAGGACTGGTAGCGATTTGTCTCATTATCTCACAAAGTAGCTCTAAACTGGGGGTGAGCAGACTTCAAGTTTGTGGGATCTCCTTTTTTAGATAGAATTCCAAGGCCTGCTAACTTGGGGGAGGGAGTGACCTTGTGCTGAGATATCAATGCTATCAAACAAACAAACAAACAAATTGCACACTGTATCCTTTGAGCTATATACTGGGATGTAGGTCTGTACATACAAATCTATAGACTGGGGAGTTTAAGAGCGGCAGTCTTGCTTTGTCTACAGTGGTACCTCGGGTTAAGAACTTAATTTGTTCTGGAGGTCTGTTCTTAACCTGAAACTGTTCTTAACCTGAGGTACCACTTTAGTTAATGGGGCCTCCCACTGCCGCCGCCCTGCCACTGTGCGATTTCTGTTCTCATCCTGAAGCAAAGTCCTTAACCCGAGGTACTATTTCTGGGTTAGCGGAGTCTGTAACCTGAAGCATCTGTAACCTGAAGCGTCTGTAACCCGAGGTACCACTGTATTGTGTTTTCTTTAACTTAACAAGGCTGCTCAAGGCCAGCCATGTCGTCAGACAGAGTGAGGCAACCACCTCAGGTGGCAAATACTGGGGGGGGGGGGCGGTCAGTAGCTCCCCGTTAGCTCCTCCTGGGCCCCTTGGCTATTCCCCTTCGCAGAAGAACAGAGGTGCTGTCCCATGTAGCCAGCTGCCTCAGGAGTAGTGGAGGACATTAACCTGTTACCAGTGTTGAAGAAAGAGTTGAAGTAACTACCAGTCCTGTCAGCTTCTTTATGGGCCTGTGTATTTGCCATGTTCCTCAAGTTGATGAGGCTCATTTGACATCAACATGAAACTGAGCCTTCAATATCATTGGCCCACTGCTCATCCAATAGAGATTCAGCAGGAACCTTCTGTACTAAATTTTAAGCATTTGCTTTCATCGTTTATTTTGTGTGTGCTTCTTATTGCCTCATACTTGTTGTCAATGGCTTTGATGTCTTTTAAAAATGAATTTGCAGCATACATTATATATATATATAGCTAGCTAGCTTGTCCTTTCAACTCAGGCAGCAAAATATCTTGGGTCCGCCTTGTGCCTGCTCATCACTCATGCAACAGATAATTGGGGTGAATGTGTCGGGAAACAGCCTGGCTGGTGTTTCCTCATTCCCTGAGTCAGCTGCACGGTGGCTCTTGCCTCTACTCCCCTTCACAGCTGCAGACTTGGATGGGTAACAGACAGGCATGAGGTAAGGCACACAGCAGGGGCTGTTTGCAGTGGAGGACAAGGGAGCAACAAATAATTGCATGTGCTGCACCTTTGTCTTTGTGCCCAATGCCTTTGCTAATGGCTTAAACACGCTAAGCTCCACTGAAGTTTGCAGAAGCAGAGAGACACCTGCAGGGCATGGGGTGGGAGTTCCTGAGAGGTGCCATAACACAAACTAGATTGTGCCTTTGCCCTCCAGATCCTCATTCTTTTGATGCAAATGAGTGCTAACAGTGGTTTTATCACATCAGAATTGCAAGCCATGAAAGGCAGTTGTCTTACTTTAACTGAAAAGCTGAGCCTTGTGTAAATTGTCTCAATACCAGCTATTCGGTCTCTTGGTTGACCAGCTATCAGCAAGTCTATCTCTACAGTGGTACCTCAGGTTACAGACGCTTCAGGTTACAAACTCCGCTAACCCAGAAATAGTACCTCGGGTTAAGAACTTTGCTTCAGGATGAGAACAGAAATCGCACAGTGGCAGTGGGAGGCCCCATTAGCTAAAGTGGTATTTCAGGTTAAGAACAGTTTCAGGTTAAAAACGGACCTCCAAAATGAATTAAGTTCTTAACCCGAGGTACCACTGTATATCCATAATCTTGCCTTCCCTTCCAATGGATCCTTGTTAAAGGAGAATGACAATGATTCCCCAGCTTTTCCCCTGACGGGCTCAAGGTGGCTTATAGATAATTTTAAAGTGTACTTATTCCAGCTGCAAGGCCATGAAAGAGCCCTGTTTTGTTAATTTATATCATTACCTACCCAGGTTTAAGTAGGTGATTTGAGGCCCTGCTGTTGGTCTTGGATGTGGCAGCTATTTCTCAGGCTTATTCTCTGGAATCCAACTCTGATTTCTCCTTGTTGTTGTTTAGTCATTTAGTCGTGTCCGACTCTTTGGGACCCCATGGAGAAGAGCACGCCAGGCTCATGCTGGTAGCTTGGAGAACACTATCCGACCATCTCGTCCTCTGTCGTCCCCTTCTCCTTGTGCCCTCCATCTTTCCCAACATCAGGGTCTTTTCCAGGGAGTCTTCTCTTCTCATGAGGTGGCCAAAGTATTGGAGCCTCAGCTTCACGATCTGTCCTTCCAGTGAGCACTCAGGGCTGATTTCCTTAAGAATGGATGCGTTTGATCTTCTTGCAGTCCATGGGACTCTCAAGAGTCTCCTCCAGCACCATAATTCAAAAGCATCAATTCTTCGGCGATCAGCCTTCTTTATGGTCCAGCTCTCACGTCTTACTTATTCCTCCTTACCCATAGCTATCATGGCAGGCCCAGAAAATACTACTGAACAATGATGGGGCAGACATTGAAATGTTTTCAGTGAGGGCTAGTGCTCATTGGCATTAGTGGGCCAGCAGTAGGGGGAGCCAGAGCAGGTGGAGGGGAGAAAGACTTTGTGTTGGCCGCCAGGCTTTTTCCATTTGCCTTGCCTCACCCTCTAGCCCTACCTAGGAGCGTTTCCCAGACCATGACTTTAGGAACAACACAAGCAGCTGGGAAGAAAGAGTTCACAGATATATATTTTAAATAATTTTATAACTTGTGTGTCTTTGGTTCTCTCTTTGATCCTTTTACATGACTTTGTATGCAATGTGAAATTTTATGCATTATGACTTGCCATTATTTTTATTGATTTCTTTGCTGGTAATTAATAAGAGTGAATGTCTGTTTAATGATTATTTGTTGATATTTATTTGTATTGTGTACTATTATATTCTGATGGATTATTGATATTGCTTTATTTGATATAAGTTGTTTATTTTAAAGTTTTTTTTTTAATTGTGACTTTTTTTGGAGGGGGCACTCCATTTTCTGAAAGTGACTGCATAGTTGCTTGGCTGTATGCTTTCTTAGATGAGAACTTTACATGCCCAACTTAGCAAGCAGATCACATAACTGTGAATGGTGAGAAGCCAGTCCAGGAAACTCTTTCAAATATTAGAGTACCATCCCCATGCTAATTTAGATTTAAAAATTGCAGGGGGAACATTTAATTTTCACCTCTCCAAGGTCAGCCTGCTGAGGAATTGCAAAATTCCCGAAGTGCATTCAGGATACTTAAGGATGTGTAAAGGTGAATAGGCAGCCATTAATAGCATAAACAAAAATGGGAATTAGGGGAGAACTCTGTGATGCTTTCTAGGCACCCAACAGACAATATGCATAACAGTTAGGAGTGACTAATCTTGCCTGTTGTCAGGATCTCTCAGAAAGAAGTCTGGGCATAGTCAAATAGGAATGTCTTTGTCAAGGAAACTCGGGATCATCATAGATGGCCACTCAAGAAATGTTTTAACTTTAGAACAGCCAACATCCATCATCCCTGGATAGATACAGAATGTGAAGCAGACAGATGGAGGCAGCTGTTCTGGAGGAGAGGTTTGTTGTTACTTTTCGCCATCTGGAATTTGTCAGGCAGTGTTATTGGTTGGTTCAAGCGTTATCTGTCTCCATTAAAACTTTCTCCACTTTTCATGCAATGCTGATATACATGTCAAAGGGCCCCTGTTCCTCTATTTGAAAATTATACCTGGTCGGCAACCAATTTTTAGCAGGGAGGGGTTTGTGGGAGGGGGAATTCAGATCAGACTCATCTGCTTCTAGTTGCTTATCTCTAATATAGATATTAAGGATTACTAGAATACTTAGGTTCTCCTTCATGGGGCCTATAACTTAGGGGTGCGACACCACTTAATGGTTGAATGCTTCACTCCTCAGCATTTCCAGGTAGAGCTGGGGAAGACCTCGGAGAGCTTCTGCCAGTCTGTGTAGATAATACTGAGCTTGATGGACCAATGACTCTGTGTGTGGTAGCTTCTGACGCCCTATGTAACTCTCAGTAAGTGAGGCTGGAATAGATTGATTTCCATTCCACCAAAGCATGCAACTGACTTATGGTATCCAGAATGAACATAATAAAAGAAACACAAGAAGACCACTGCTGAATCAGACGAAAGGCCCATCCAGTCTTAGCATTCTGTTTTCACAATGGGAAGCCCACAATACAATAGCACTATTGACTTGTGCTCCCTATTATGATCTGCTAATCTTTATTTTGTGTTTAGGAATGAACCACAGATGGGGTTGACTAAGGCGAAGGGTGCTGAGAAATGGCCTTCCTGCCTTGACTTTATACATAATTTTGCCATTGATTTCTCTATGGTTGACCCTCTTACCAGTAAGGCTGTAAGGATCCAGGACATTAATTTGACTCATCTAAAAGCTCAGTTGCAATAATGGTACTAAGGTAAAATGACTGGCAAACGAAAGGTCACCAGGTGCAGTTTTCTGCATCTAAAAGCCCCTGCATCAAGCCCTGGAGACTAGCCCAGAGCTTGCTTGCCACTTGATCTTGCCACTGTCTGGCCCAGTGCACCCCAATGAGCACAGTGCTGCCACTACTGGGAGGATGCCACTGCCCCCCACGCCTCTCACAAGCCACCACTGAGTGACAGCTTTGTGACGATATAGTGCTGTGTTGTTCCTCTTTAATACTATCATTTACTACTTCTGTGGATTGGCCCATTAAGTTGGCATCAAGCCTACTATTGAAATGGAAGGGTTAACAAATTAAGAGCTGAGTTGTGTGGGGCTTGATTAGAGATAGTATTTTCTGCTGGGTTTTTTTTTTTTTTGCATTGGGGAGCCTGGGAATAGTCAAAGGTGGACATGTAATATTCTGTACTTGCAAAATTTAATTAATGTTGGCTGTGACTGCAGAGCAGTTCAACAGCTTCTGGGAAATAAACTAGATAAATAGTGTGTAACTGTAAGGGAACAGATTCTAAGAAACCACAAGGACAGAAATGGGGTGGGCATATTAGGCATTTCTTCTTTCTCTCTTTTCCTGGATATATGATAAGTCTGAAATTACCTCTGAATAAAAGCAAGAAGACTTTTCATGACTAAGAAATGTTGTGCAAAATACTGTTAAAACATTTGGTGCAATGGATTTCCATATTGCTACTCACTACCTCTAGTCTTTCCATGAGAAATAAATTACATATATGCCTTATATATTTACAACCCTGCTAATCCTGCCCAAATCCCAACTGTTGCCTTTGCACGTCTGTTTAATTTAAAGCCATCTAGAGGTCTGTTTAGCTTTAGAATAACTCTTCTCCAACGGTGCAAGACTGATATTCGGGGTGCTTCCAGAGTGCTGTTGTTTTTGGGTGAAATTCAACCTCATACTGGCAAATCCAGGTTGTGCAATTAAATCTGACTTTTTGCGATAGGAAAAGTGATGGGAAAATGCACTGGGGAGTGTGGCCTAACATTTGCTAGATGCAATGTCATCTAACATCTCTGCACACAATTAAAAATGGATGCTGATTAAATAGCCAGTGCCGTCTCACCTCTCCACAAACTTTGTCCAAAGAAATCAGAATGGGAGGTCAATAAACAGGTCATCTGGAAACCTAGACTCTTGGTGAGGAGACTAAATCAGGAGAGCCAGTGAAGTGGGAGTAATAGAGGTTGGCACAAATCCAGCCTCCTGAATGTACCACGATCTGGCCCACTGATGGTCTACCCACACTTCAAATATTACTAGAGGTGGGTGGATGACCAGCATCCATGACAATGGGAATTGGCAACAGGTCATTTTGGGGTGGTGATGCACGAGAATTTGGTCAGCCATTTCCTCTTATCATGGCAAAGTGGTCTTTGAATTAAGCCAGTTGATGACCAGGCAGCTAGACAGTAGTCTTAGTAGGTGTGGGAGACCCAGGTTGAAACCTGTGCTGCACACCGTTGGGCTTTGGGAAATCACAATCTCTCCATTGCGTTGTTGAGAAGCTAAAGCAACATTCTGAACTCCTTGGAGGAAGAGCAAGTTACTAATTAATCAATGCACAGGCATCGGGTAGTTCAGGTTGCCACGTTCTCCATGCTCTGCTCCTGCGCCTTCATAGGTAGCCTGGCACACAGACAGGGAGCAAGTGTAGCTTTCCATGTCAGGAAAAATGTTACCTGCTCACATTTCCTTCTGTCTGGCTCCTATTAAAGGTGCAGAAGCAGGACCGGGGTGGGGGGTGGGGAGGAAGCTAGGAACTGTCTGAGTACAAAAATTCAATGATTACTGGGCAGCTGAAGACTATGCTATGGTACCCTGCTTCTTCTGCAAGACCAAACCTTCCTACCAACTGAATGTAAGGCATATTAGTTAGAAGCAAGCTGGAATTATTATTATTATTATTATTATTATTAATTATTATTATTTATACTGCCCTTCATCTGAAGATCACAGGGCAGTTTACAGTATAAAAACACAAAAATGCATACAAAAATAACAAACAAAACCAATAACTGCTCCACGGTTTGAAAGGCCATTGATTGTTTAATTAGCCAAAGGCTTGGGAGAATGCCCCAGGCACTGTTAGAGCACGCTCTGTTGCTGCTTTCATGTGACAGCCCTTTAGATACATATCTACTCTCAGTCTCCTCTTATCTAGGCTAAACCACAAACATGTATTTGTGCAGCTGATTATCCCTACCTAAGTGCGGAACCTTACATTTGCCTCTATTGAAATTCAGTTTGTTTGTTGGGGCCCAGTTCTCCAATCTGATAAGGTCATCTTGAATCCCAATTCTGCCTAGATACCCCTCCCAGTTTGGTGTCATCTTTCATGACTGCAAATTTCATCTTTCATGACCACAAATTTCATCTTTCATGACCACAAATTTCATCTTTCATGACCACAAATTTCATGACCGTCCCCTAAATTCCTTTATCCAAGGTGTTTATAAAGATGTTGAACAACAAAGGCAGAACCAAAGGTGACACCCCACTTGTCACTTTTTCCCAGCATGATGAGGAACCATATTGAGCACTCATTGGGTTCAGTCAGTCAACCAGCCACAAATCCACCTAACAGTTTTAGTTTGGCAAAGGTAGGGAGTTTGTCTCATCTTCCTAACATGCTCCTGTCAACAAAATTCTCCTAATTGTAGGGATTAGGCTTCTAAAGGTTCTCCACACAGCAGTAATGAGAGTTTTGCTCAGAGCAGAGAAATGGAAGATTGCTCTTTCTAAGGATGAAATTTCTTCATCTGGTCCACAGTAAATTACAGTTCTGTTGTTCTTTTCATGCATTGGCCTTCGTGGGTGATGTAAATCATGAAAGTTCCCTTCTTCTCTATCTGTTGTTTGTGATCGGTCGGCATGATAACGTTTAAAGCGAGAGGGATACCTTCAACTCCGGATGCTTTTAACATGTGGTGGATGACCTTTTGTTGGAAGAAATTCTCTAGCTAGATCAAACATTGAATCAGCCAGTGTCAGGGGCTGCTGGCGAGGGAGTTTTCTACCAGCTTTAAAGTGTTACCTGGTGAAGTGAAAGAATGGGCACAATCCACAAGAAAGTTTTCTTGTCCAAGGCTTGAAATTCGATTGAAAAGGATGGGAGCTGATCAAGAAATGATCAAGGCTTGCACAGATGATGTTCTACCGGGAACATTGGGCACAAACAATTCCCCAGGATTTATTCCATAAATAATCAAGTAACTGCACTGAACAGAATAGAACTTTGTATTTGATGTGCTATTATATGTTATTTATTTGTACAGTCAAACCTCGGTTCTCAAATGGCTCCATTTTTGAATGTTTCGGCTATTGAATGCCGAAAACCCGGAAGTAAATGCTCTGGTTTTTGAATGTTTTTCGGAAGTCAAACGTCTGATGCGGCTTCCGCTTGAGTGCAAGAAGCAGCCAATCGGAAGCCACGCCTTGGTTGCTGAACGTTTCGGAAGTCAAATGGTCTTCTGGAACGGATTACATTTGACAACGAAGGTTTGACTGTATAGCCAAGTGAATACGAAAAGGAGTTAATGCTCCATCATTTCTGAAGAATAGCTATATCAAGAATAAAAACGGTCAGGGGACCCTTTACCTTTACCTATTGTATTCTAACTTGGGGAAACAGTTACAATCTTAAGAGAATGCTTATCTCAGTAACTTCATCTTGAAGCAGAATATTTTCTCAAGTCATATTTCTCAAGCTCTCAATATTTTCTACTGTTTAGTTGCTAAGTAATTGCACTGCATAGCTGTGACTTTTCCTTTTCCCCTGCAGAACTGAGAGCTGCTTCTTAAGTGCTTCTCTACCCTGGGAGAACAACAGTAGCAAATATAGATGCATGTTGGGGAATGGCTCCATAATATTTTCTTAACTTTTACCAAAGTCCAAGCTTCTGGAAGTTGTATAGGATTTTCATGTTTGCTTTGGGCTACTTTCCAATACTCTGTTGGGAAATCCTGTCCTAAGGAATTAAAACCTATTTGCTCCACTTTACTAGACTAACATCAAAGAATATTGCTGATTCTCCTGAAAGATTAATATCAGTTCTTTACTATGGCCCAGGACTTAACATTTTCCTGCCTCACCTCCTTACTGTAGATGCACACATTTTTCATTTGCTTGTTCTCCAAGACAAATGAACTACATGTCTGTTTCGTCCATCATGGCTTGCTACAGAAAAAGGTTTTGGTTATAGCTAATGGATTGAATTAAAAATAACAAACATTTTATTATGTTGAGGCTTTGAACAAAAGGGGTGCACAGTGTTTAGAACAGGAGTGGGGAATTGGATCTGGTTGGCAGGACAGATCCTTATCTCCCCTACTTCCTGATGGCCAACTTTGACATGTGGACTGGGATGCTCACCTGTCAATCCTCTCATGGCACAATGATATCAGGTGATTCGTTTTCCTTTGCTTGTACAGTCTGAAATCAAATATTAGTGGGGAAAGGCAGTGTGCTTTGAAAGTGCCAATAATAAGCTGATGCCTCCTTGGCCACACCAGGGAGTACCCAATGGGCCACAGGTTCCCCACAGCTGGTTTAGAAAGTTAAGAGGAAGCCTGATCAGTCTCAAATAAACAAGAACAACAGATTCACTGTATGATAATGAACAGGACTCAAATTCATTAAAAAACACACATTAAAAACGGACTTGTGGGAAATCATTAAATAAAATGTATTACGGCGAAAATGTCATAGGTCATTTCCTTTTTCTCTAAACATGCTTCTTTCTTCTAAATTGGTCCCAGTTGGTTCAGCTGTTTCAAGCATACTGTATCAGAACCATATTGGTGTGCTAAATGACTAGCAGCTGTTACAGAAGAGTGGACATTGACCATTGCAATTGGCAAGGGACAGCTTCTAAGGGCATTTCCTGGTTACGGGTTGCATACAGTCGTCTCTCAGTGCTCACAGAAGGCTCTTCAACGTAGTGGAGGCTCCCATGAAGAGAAGGAGGGATTCCCACCCCTCCACCCCTCGATTCTCTGTGCACATCCCTGAACCCCCTTTGGGAATAGCATGTATTTCTGTATTGTGATACACATCCCTGAGAGGTGAGTTAGCACTGCTGGGTGTCCAGGACTGGGTAGATGAGGAAGAATGGTGGAGACCATCACCTTAGGCATCGCCTAGTGAGGAGAAAGCATAGACATCCAGGAGTGGTTTGGCACAGGGCATACTTCAGAGGGAGATGAGGGGAAAAGTTGGGAAATAATGGGAGAGGAGTAGAAGGAAGTGGATAGCATTCAGCAGGCAGACCTTGAGCAGCAGTTGAATGAGACGCCGTCACTGGAGAGTATCCCAGAACCCGTACCCTCCCCCCAAACCAGGCGTTCACTGAGAATAGCCGAACAGAGAGCTTAGAGGCAACTGTCACGTACCAGCCACCATTGGAGGCAGGAAGAGGAGTCAGATGAATAGGGAAGTAATGGAGAAGGGGGGTGGAGCTTCACTCAGGGCAACGTTAGGCATTATGGTGCATCTTGAATTTGCCTCTGTAAATTGTATTAATAAACAGAACTGGAAAAGCTTGTTGTTCCCCTATCTTACTGCCTTCCTGGGAATCGGCCGCAGCTGTTAACAGCACCTTGACACTGGACTTAATTTGATGGGAGATGCATGTGACATACAGTGGTACCTCGGGTTACATACGCTTCAGGTTACAGACTCCGCTAACCCAGAAATAGTACCTCAGGTTAAGAACTTTGCTTCAAGATGAGAACAGAAATCGTGCTTTGGTGGCGCGGCAGCAGCAGGAGGCCCCATTAACTAAAGTGGTGCTTCAGGTTAAGTACAGTTTCAGGTTAAGAACGGACCTCTGGAACGAATTAAGCACTTAACCTGAGGTACCACTGTATTTGTAATATTTGCTCCATTTGTAAATATACAAGCAGAGCCTTTTGGAAGCAGGTAGGCACCCAACAATGACATCATAGACAGCCAGTGTGGTGTAGTGGTTAAGAGATGTAGACTCGTAATTTGGTGAACGGGGTTCGCGTCTCCGCTCCTCCACATGCAACTGCTGGGTGACCTTGGGCTAGTCACACTTCTTTGAAGTCTCTCAGCCCCACTCACCTCACAGAATGTTTGTTGTGGGGGAGGAAGGGAAAGGAGAATGTTAGCCGCTTTGAGACTCCTTTGTGTAGTGATAAAGCAGGATATCAAATCCAAACTCTTCTTCTTCATCATGCTAGAGGGAGCAGTGGAACAGTAAAAAAAGGGACACTTAATTTTAGAAGAAGCTTGGAAGCAGCTCACTACCCTAATTATTTTTAAATTATAAATTGGTCTCAATTTCTTTCTCTCTCTCCCCACCCCCAAAAGTATGCAGCATTTATTGTCTCGTGGCGCAAGAGAAGCATAAAAACACTAGCTACAGTAAGAGATTGCTGGTATGTCATGAACCAATCTACTATAATACCGTTCTTCTGGTCATAGAAATAAACCTTGTAAAGATACAAGTATACAGAGAGATGCACTAGCACTTTGCCATGTTTGCTAACTGTACAATACTTAACCATATAGTATGTAACCTTCAGCTTCGCTGAACACGGTCCTGCCAACTGCTACTGAATCCAGCCTTGGCTTTATACCCGCCACGGGACATAGACACATTCCTTAGTCCTCAGACCCTGGCAGGTAGATAGCCCTTTCAGAAAAACAAAACAAAAGACAGCAAAACAACTATTAGTCATTAGCTCCCATGGATGAAACATCAGCCGATCTAACTAGCTAACATGTTTTGGGACTCCAGCTCCCATCAGCCCCAGCCAGCATTGCTAATGGTCATGGATAATGGGAGTCATAGTCCAGCAACATCCGCAGAGCTAAGTTTTTCCAACCCCTGATGGAAAGAATGTGGACAAACATGAATCTTGCAAAATAAACTGTTTCAATTGCTTCTGTAATCCACAAAGAGAGACACAGATTTGTTTGTTTACTGGCTCATCCTGATAGTTTTTTTTTTAAAAAAATCCATCCCATTTCTTCAACTTTGCCTTTGTAATTAAATACTTCCTCCTACTGCCACGAGCTCAAAGTAACATTTGGTTGGCAAAATGAAGCTACATCCTTTACTGTTTCTCAAGGGAATAATGACTTCCTCTCTTCTCTCTAATCACATTTTGAAGAGCTTGTTTTTCAAATGCCACATTCTTGACCTTAAAAGGGGGGGAAGCAAAGCACAGGTCATTTAACTGGTAGTTAAAATGTTCTGATTTTGTATTTAAATCTATAGGGATTAATTTTGCTAAATATGTATTCCCCTTATGCCTCTTTAGGCTGACTTTTGGTAAGAAGAGTTCAGCTTTTCTCTGTAATTTGAAATAAGCTGAAGTGGTATCTGACCTACTTCTTCTTTTCCTGGGACTTCAGCTAAAGAGCTAACACTGCAGGAGAAATATCTCTACAGAAGGGTGCTTTCTATTGTTATCTTCCCACAACCGTGTTTCAGATAAAGTTACACTGAGACATCCTAGTCCAATAATTGGGAAGTCCCCAGCTGGCAAGGACTTCTCCATTTCAAAGGATCATGAAGTCAAAAGGATGTGCAGGAAGTGCCTCTCCATTTCTGGTGAATGGGGAAGCCATTTTGTGTAGGGAGCTCTGAAAATGCATATACATTGGAGAGCACACATAGGGCTCTGTGTTGAAATATGAGGCCATGGTCCTGCAACATAGCCTCGCACTATCAGGTGGGTTTCTCTCACTGTTGGTGATGGTAGGGGGATGTACCCTTGGGGTGTGACTATAGGGTTTCAGCTGCATTTGTGGGACTCTAGCTATCAACAACACTGTTCATGTGACCCAGAAATAAGTAAATCCCTGTTGTGTTGTAGGGACTGTACCAGACTTGAATATATTTACCTTAACAACAGCTCATCCCGACATACTGTTGATTGAATTGTAAGGTAGTTCTCATGTTTATTCACAGCATTGGGCTGTAAGTCTGAATGAAGCCTTGTGTTTAGGAGATGAGATAGTGCACACATTCTGACTGACAAACTATGGAGGGAATACAGCTAGCCAGACACTGATGTAAGTTGCACATGTTCAAATCCCAGTTTGTTGGGGTTGCTGATGAGAGCAGAGTTGGCTTATCAAATAAAAAAAGGAAAGAACTCTTACATGAATTCAAGTAAAACAGATGTGACTCCAGAGACGGGCGGACGTGCAACTGTTTGAATTCTGTGTTCTCGTACCAGAGCATCTGGTTTTGCTTTATGCACATAAGAAACACTGAGCATTTCTCCCTGACTCACAGTTTCTATCTTGTCTCATAGAGGAGAGTTTCAGCTCTACGTGAAGAGCTTTGGAAGGAAGTCCACTTGAACTCAATCGGACTTCCTTCCAAATACACTTGTTTGGGCTGGGACTGTAAATAAGAAAAGACTGCAATAGTACTTTATGGACTGAATAAAATAACATTTAAAATGTAACATTCTCCTTCTTCTTTGGTGATCATTCGTAGCCGAATAAGATTATCTTCCATGAACATAGTTTTAACAGTGAGTCTGTAAGTGACTGTGGAGACCAGTTCTGGATCCACACGTCCTTCTACAGTGGGGACATAGGTTTCCGGGGGGTGAGGGTTTGCCAAGAGTGCCTTCCTCTTAGCACATTTCTCCCTTTTGTCCTGAGTTTGAGCATCTTCAAAGCCCATGACACCTTTGGTAAAGGCTGTTCTCCAATTGCAGCGCTTGCAGGCCAGTGTTTCCCAGTTGTCAGTGTTTACACTGGCAGAGGAAGAGGAGTGCGGGGGGAGTGCACCACCCCGGCCATGTGATCCTGGTGGGGTGCCGTCACAGTTGCCCCCCTCGCCTGTGCTGGGCGCCAAGCCCCCACAGGCAGCATGCCACACCCCCAGAATGTGCGCCACACCCCTGTGGGTGGCGCGCCACACCCCTGCCTGCTCTCCACCCCCCAGTGCCAGAGCATGAAGCTCTGTAACTGGGTGCTTATACTACATTTTTAAAGATTTGCCTTGAGAGAGTCTTTAAACCTCTTTTGTGAACCACCAGCTTTACGCTTTCCATTTTACCTAGCAGCAAGCTTGCTGCTAATTGTTTACCTCAACACAAAACTCCAGATAAAAGAAAAATATTCTGTAATGCATTTGGGGTTGGACTAAATGGCTTTGGGGCAGGGGCCAATAAGAAGCAATTTCTACAGAAGAGTAAATGGTTATGGCAGTTTTCTCTCTCTCTTCTAACTAGACAGGTCTGCTAAGTATCTGCTTTGTCATGTAAGGAAGGACAAATGGGTGGGCTGCCCCTCTTCAACTGGCTGGTAATTAGAAGCACAAATGCCTGAGTTGAGGTGTGTGTGAGCTCGAAGCTAGAAGCAGGTGGAAACCAGAGAGAGAGACCCATCACTGAATGAAGCCATGGGAGAAGCAATACATTCTTGGGATATGCTGTGAGCCCCTCCATCATAGGCTCAGGATGTACAGTATATATGTGTAAATAAACCATATATCCTAAAGACACCACAGTCTGCGCTGTCCCTCATTCTGAGGAAACTGAACCATGGCTTGCACCACTCAAAGACTGGGTTGGCATACAACAGTAGCTTCCTATTCTATCCCTGGCTGGAGTTGATGACACCAAGTTTTGTGTGTGAGAGGGAGAACAATAGCTAGGCAGTATTGGGAAAGAAACTGAAGAGATAGGCTTGATGTGTTTTCTGTGAGAATTAGTGGGCCCCTCCTCTTCAAAAAATGGCTCAGGAGGGAGGGGGATCATTCCACTTGGCAAGCTGAAAAGCTTGTGATGATGGAAGGATTGCCATAGTGCTATGCTGAATTTCTGCCAATGGTTTCTGATCCAGGGATCCATGTATGATTCTATTGCCACTTAACTCACTGCTAACTGAGATGATGGTGGTGCCTGTTCATTTCTTATAATTGGACCAGGACTGCGGTTTCCAGTCCAACAATGTCCTGAGAGTTGGATAAGCATAGGAGCACCAATTTACCTGCCAGTTTTCTAATTTGGTATGGGCCGTTCCTTGATCAACTGGGTGGCACACAAACTTATTAAGATGGTGCAGAATGAGAGAAATTTCCCATTCCTGCTGTGGGAGCTAGATTAGCCCAAGGTGTACAGAATGCAAATGATACCAACAATGAATCAATTGTTTCAATTCCCACTGTTTGACTATCAAAGTTGAATATGAAAAACAATTATATAATTGCAATACAGAATACTTCAGCATCCCTGACTGATGACTGACAAATCTCTGCTTAAATGTCTCCAGTAGGATCTTTCCAGTGACATCAGCACATGGCGAGTAGCTACTGCTTTTTATCTTCAGTTCTGTGCTCCTGTTGCTACTGGTTGGTTTTTGCTAATTTTCTTTTAGGGGGTTAGTTTATGGCTGCTGTTTGTTATTTTTGCTCTTTATTCCCCCCCCCCAAATGTTTTGGTATCATTTTAAATAATTTACCTCTTTGCCTCTTTGAATTCCGGTCAAAAGAAAAGTGATATTTTTTTAATTTAAAAAAAGATAGAAATAAAAATGCATAGGGAGAAGGACGCCTTATACACTGCATATGCAACCTTTGTTCTCACATAATAATGCATCTTGGAGCAATTTTACATTGACAAATACTTGCTGCACTAATTATCCATATTAGCTTGCATGCCTTCTTCAGTTCAGCATCCAACTCTTGTATCATATAAATTTGTCTCTCAGCATAACAGAAAGATAATGAAGTACTCAAAATCCATAATTTTCTCCAGATCAGTTCCGTGGGGCTGCAGGAACTGGCATGTCCATTCTCATTTTGCAGCTGTGCATTCACTGTATGATGGCAACCCCTTATCAAAAGAGCTTAAAATCATAGTATTAAAACATAGTATTGCTATGTTTTGTTTTTGTTTTTTCATAGAGTACGACGTTTTTGTATGCAGGACCAAATTCATCAAATTACAGATGCCATCCATGCAGTGGCGTAGCGTGGGTTGTCAGCACCCGGGGCAAGGCAAGTAATTTGCGCCCCCTAACCCGTGGATTTTAGCACTCGAGTGCGAGCGCCCCCCCCAGATGTTGCGCCCGGTGCGGCTGGCCCCCCCTGCACCCCCCACGCTACGCCACTGCATCCATGTTCCATTACACCCAGTGACAAATCTCCTATTGGTTTTAATGACCGCCTTAAGGATTGTACCTTAAGGGGACAATCACATGGCACATTTCGGTAACAAGACAGGTGTTCCTGCAACTCAGCTGGCTTTCTGCCAACAGCACTGAGGCAGCATGGGGAAAATGGGTACCTGACTTCCCCAAAGCCATTTAACCTGGTTCTGCACTGCAAAAAAATGATTACCAAGAATTGCTGTTACCAAGTTGTGGATCATGGAGAACCTGACTGCAGTTGTGTGAGGTCTACAGAATTAAAAAATAAAACTTTTGGTTCGCCTTTATGTATGACCTATGATCAATGGCAAGAATTGCAAGACATCTCCTATCCAGACTCATAGTAAATGCTTTAATTAGGTTCTTTGCCACCAACCTTTCTCAAGGTGGACCTTCACTGCTGTCTTCTATCTTCTCCCAGTAAAGTTTATTCTCCTACCTAAACCATTTCAATAAAAATGCAGCCAAAATGTTTACTGTGTGTGTACCACGGCCACACAGATCTTTTTTTTTAACCTTTCACTTTTTTCTTTCAATTCAGTGACAGCTCACTCACTGTCTGCTATACAAGCTGGTGTTTGTACCATAGCGTATGCCCAAATTTTCTCAGGTGTCCCATTTGTGACTCTTCTGACAGTCTGAGTTTTCCTCTGCTTGAGTATTCAGCTCTTCTAAGTATCAAGATTTCTTTGTAGTGCTTCCTTTGTGATCCTAAACCTGCAAAAGGAACTAAACTTTCAGTATAAAAGTATAATATTTTGCTGCCTCTTTATATGGACTCGTTATTTGCCTACCCTCACTCGCTGGATCATCACTTTGTTGTGCTGAGTGGGCTTGCATATGACCCTTGTGAGCGAAGCTTTTGGGAGTCTTGTACTCCCAGCAGGGAGTACAAGGCGGTAAGGTCAAAGGGAAGAGCTGGACAAAGAATGATCCAAGAAGTCCTCAATGGCAGAACAGGTGGATGATAACAAGTGGTATATTACAATGGCTGTGAAGGCGGATGAAGGCTGCAGCATATAAGAATCTGCCTGTCGTTGTGATACTCATGCCATCGGAATAGAGCCTTACTGTGAAGACTGTGTGTTGGTCAGCGTGCACTGATCTACACACAGATAAAACAGATTCACACACAGGGGTCTTCCAAAAACCCATCCCAAAGAAGGCACCATTGGCAAACTTTCACCATGATCAACTCCCACCTGGAAACCTATGTCCCCACTGTGGAAGGATGTGTGGATCCAGAATTGGCCTCCACACAGTCACTTACAGAACCACTGTTAAAACTGGGTTTATGGAAGACAATCTTACTCGGCTATGAGTGATTGCAAAAGAAGAAGAAGAGGAGGAGGAGGAGGAGGAATTTGCTTACCACAATATAGGATTGACGTGCAGTCATAGACATACACACAGTTCATGCCTGGTTTCAGAGGGCTTAAATGGAGGGTATCCATGGGTGTATGTTGCTACATACATGGAGCCCCTTCTCAACCATGATGAACATATGTTAGATGGGGGCAGGGCTAATCCACATGACCCTGTGATGCCCTCCCCCCGCACATGTTCTCTGAAGGTTTTTGGAGTGGTTGTATGAACTCCCTTGCGCAAAGCTTGTAATCTCCCAGAGTTCTCTAAAATTTGAATTAATTTCAATCGGGCAAATAATATGGGCTTCAACCTCTATGTGCAATTCATTTCTATAATGAAAATGATTGTAGATCAGGAGCAATGGAATCTGTAGATAACCACAAAAAAACCAACGTGAAACAGACCCTGTGAGTCTACTGCCCTTTGCCGCCTTCATATTTTTCTCTTTGTCATAATTTCCTTTGGCTTGAGTTAATAAAAATTGTTTCACATCTGCTGCCCCTTATAATCGTTTCCCTATAATTGGGTTATATGTTTGCCACCTTTGTGTGACATAATACCATCACCGAGCAGTAAAGTGCATGTTATTACTTCAAAGAAGCCTTCCTTGCTGACAAGAATTAATTAGAATTCTAAATTGTTACGTAAGTCTTCTGTTCTGCAGTGGGAGCTTTAGTGAAATGATGGCAATGGATAATTAGCAGCCACTATTCTGTCTCTTCATTTTGGATAGTCCATAAAAGATTTGATGCTTCCTTTCCCTGAAATAAACAAAAACAGCTTCTGAACTGTCAGAAAACAACAGCAGCTCTTGAAGGCTAATCATTAGCAGGCTTTGTCATGGACTTGTAATTGTTTCATGAATTCTGCTTCAATCAGGGAAAAATATGCTTAAGTGCCAATAAAAAAAAAAGTTTTTAAGCTATTATGATCAACCTCTCTCTTTCTCTACTTTAAAAAAGTTTCCAGGCAGTCTCTATCTGTGCCTGTGACCAATGGGAGCAGCTACGAAAAGTGTGCCTCAGGAAGGAATGTATTCTCAGGCTAGAAAGGCCCTAGGGAGGTCCCCTTCTGCAAAAAGGGGTTGAGGATTTGTTAGACTCCTGCCTGACATGGGAGGAGCAGGCCCTTGACATGGCATTACTCCTGATGGATGCTCACTTTCCTATCTGAAAAACAAAGTTTCCCGTAGCCCCCAGGACTCCCAGCACCATAACTTTGAGGATGAACTCCCTCGAGGCCTGCAGTAAGGAATTGTGTGGTGCATTCTAAGGAGAACACACAGCAAAAGAAATAATGGATTTTTTTTTTAAAAAAAACCTGGCATGAAGAGCTGCCAAATGATTACAGAAATAAGCTCCCTTTTGCCATGTTTCATTTTAGAAATTGCCCACACTAAGGAACCAGAACAAATCACCACTTGAACCCTGAATTTTCTGATTAGATGGTGCATTTCCTCCATCCCCCCCAAACTCTGTGTTCTCAAGGAATGTCCGGAATGTAGGGGATGTCACCGTGGTGCCCACAGGTAAAGGTAAAGGGACCCCTGACCATTAGGTCCAGTCGTGACCGACTCTGGGGTTGTGGCACTCATCTCACTTTATTGGCTGAGGGAGCCGGCGTACAGCTTCCAGGTCATGTGGCCAGCATGACTAAGCCGCTTCTGGCGAACCAGAGCAGCGCACGGAAACGCCGTTTACCTTCCCGCCGGAGCGGTACCTATTAATCTACTTGCACTTGACGTGCTTTCGAACTGCTAGGTTGGCAGGAGCAGGGACCGAGCAACGGGAGCTCACTCCGTCGCGGGGATTCGAACTGCCGATCTTCTGATCGGCAAGTCCTAGGCTCTGTGGTTTAACCCACAGCACTACCTGCGTCCCTCACATGTGCCCATAAAGGTCTTACCTGCCACCTGCAGGTGTCTCTCCCCTTCCACCTCATGGAAATGAGGCTTGGAAGAAGCATTCCCTTGTAGCCCACAGGGTAAGTGGCAGCTGCGGTTTGTTTAATGCCTACAACAGTTTCTCTGGGCCCAAAATGTTTGGCAGTCTCTGCCTTAAGAAATCCTTAACAGTTGAAATAGGAGATGGAGAATGTGTTACTGGATTCCAACACCCATCAGTTTGGCTAGCAGTCAGGGGATCTGTAGTTCAACAAGATCTGGAGGACCACAGGTTTCACACCCAGCCATATATGTAGGAGTCATTAGACGTGATCCCAACATTCTCCAAACGAGACATTTCCTGAAGCAGATTTGGGAATGTCTTCTGCACAACACCAATACACTCTGTTCAAGATGTGTCATTGGAATGGTAAGCAGCTGGTTGTGTCTAAGTACCATTCTCAGGGAGGCAATAAGAAGGATATGGAGACAGAGATAGAGATATAAATGTATGCAGATTTTCTGTTCATGCAAATCATAGTATTCACACATATAGCCCTCCCACTGATGTGTGTGTGTTTGTGTGTGTGTGTGTGTGTGTGTGTGTGTGTGTAAGTAACAAAGAAAGCTGCATGAATCCAGACAAAAGGATGCTATTTTGACTTTTTGCATCTGACACGAACACTTCTAAGACCACCAATGGATAGAGCAGAGATGAAGCAGCAAAATGGCCTATTGTTTTGTAAATACTATGCACAATGCCACACTATTGGGTCACTTGCGGTTAACAGAAATAATAACAGTTCCTTTGACGAGACTTGCTCAGTTTCAAAATAAGCAGCGTTTATTTCGATAAAATTCACAATTCATATAAAAAGTATGAAATGATGCTCACACCATATCACTAAAGAGTAGTATGCAAGCAATGTCCATTCTCTCTCAGTCTGCTTACAGATCTGTAGTGGGAACAGCTGGCTTTCATTGGTGGTTTATATTTTCACAGTGAAGAGCTACATTCTAGGAGTTTGAAAAATAAAGCGGCAATATACCCTCTACTGTAAAAATAATGGTGTGTTCAATTTAACTCTCTTATAGCTTTTGTGGTAGAAGGAAAAAATCAACTAGTGCAGCAAACATATTCACTTTAGGAAAAGATTTGGGCCTTTTCAATCTTGGTTAATATTTCTCTACTTGTTCTTATGGCATAGCTCAACTGAAGATCAAAGATGGGGAGAGAAGCAATTTCCAGCAGTTTCCACTTCCTCACTGCAGTCCTCCTGCATGCTCCTCTAACCCAGAGACCCTCCATAGTAGTTTGGGGAGGGGGCCCAGGGGCTGCAGGGCAAGGAGGAACAGCTGGAAATTTCTTACCTCATCTGTTAGGAGGCATGTTGTCAGCTGCAAGATGCAGCTGGAAGAAACCCTGTGGCTGTAAACTGAATATTTAAGGTGTACACTTTGATACCTGAAGCTCTGCGTAAAAATGAACTTCCCCTATCCTCTTCATTTTGGTGAAATCCACTAAAACAGAAAATATTTGCGCTTTGTCAGAAAGAAAGAGGACAGAGCTAAAAGAATGTGCCATAATATAGGGTCTCATCCGATGCTGCAGTGCATGTAACAGAACTTCCTCTCTCTCTTCTGTCACATCCAGCCTCGGTGCACCCCCAAAATCAGCTCTAGGGGGTTGTGGGTAAGGATTAGCAAATTTGCAAATTGCAGGTTTTTGGGGTTTTTTAAATCTGTTTCTAATTTTTCCAATCATAAAAAACATAAAATGGGCCTGCTGGATCAGGCCAATGGCTCACCCAGTACAGCATCCCTGCATCCTGTTCTCACAGTGGCTGGCCACTTCAGTTCTCCTCATATACACATGGTTTTGCGAATTTGTTTTTTAAAAGATACAAGTCTGCCTAAAAAAAAAATCAGCAGCATTTTAGTGCAAATTTCTCCCATTAGGTACATTTTTGGATGCAATTTCCCCACAGATAATGCATTTTTAGATGTTAGTTTCACTAAAATATGCATTTTATACACACTTTACCCCAGTATATGAATTTTATGCACATTACCTGGCTAGAGAAATGCGTTGCAAAATTCAGAGAAGTGTGCATTTTGGAGGATAGCTGTGTTTTGGTCCATGTATTATTTCAGAAGCGCAAATAAGATAAGTTTGCCTATAAATGTGAACTGCATCAAATTCCCCCCTGATCCCCAGCAGTTTGGGGACCTCTAGAACAGAATTTGGGGACTCCATTTGGCTTAGTAGAAGATGCCCATGAACCAAAATATGGATGGGAACTTTAATTGAAATCAGTTTTTAATTTCTTTCAATAGAGCTGCAACATTTAATCCTGGTATGACGAACCTTTGGCCCTCCATATGTTCCTGAACTATAACTCCCATCATCCCTGACCATTGCTAGGGATGATGGGAGTTGTAGTCCAGGGACAAAGGTTCCAAATCCCTGATTTAATCAATCAGTAGCTATATTTAAAATTTTTGGCTGGATTAAAAAGCTGCCCCCAATAAATTGTGCATTTTAATGGTTAATTCCTTTAAAAAGAAGTACTTTCAAAAAAGACAGGCTCATTCTTAGAAATGGCAGTCCTTCTGTGTCAGTCCATCATTTTGAATGGGTCTACTCTGACTGACTAAATCAGATATCCTGGATGTTCAAAGTGACATATATTTGAGACTTACAATATGTAAAGTAATTAATAACCTTAGTTGATAGCAGAAGTGCAGGGAGGAACTTTTCATTTGAATGCTCCCCAAGTTTCTTTTCACTTTTCTTAACTTTAAATGAAAACACCAGTGCTGCTCACTTATCTGCAGCAGGAAATAAATATTTTAAATGTATTGCTACACATGGTTTCTATGTGCACTATTTACTTTCTATGGATAATACCATCAGAACCACTCAACACATGACAACTGATACCACACATAGAACATATCATCAAGAAACATACACGGTTCAGTAGCTATTCTCATACAAGTAGACAACAGTTAAAGTGATGACATAACTTATGAGTTGCATTTGCAGAAAATACGCCACTGAAAATACGCCACTGAAGATATTTTGCATTTGGTTCACTTTGCTTAATGCTGAAATTCAGGTGTGATTGTTCACTGTTGTTCGAAGAAGTGTAAAGAAATGTATATTAAACCATCAGGGTCAATACAGTGCTTTAGCACCAAACAAAGACACGAATGTGGAATTAAAAACGTTTCAATTTTCAAAACTATGATTTTCATGGCTTGTGGCCTTTATCACTAATTTGAGTTAGCAAGGAGTATACTTCAGAAGATTTGACTACTTTCTCTATGTGAATTTGCTGTGTTTGGGCACCCCTAAATTCTTTTTCACTGCGCTTATTAATTCAATGATGAATGGCAACAAACTCAACTAAACAAGGGACGTTCTAGAGACAAGAAAACAAAGTGATCAAGTGATCCCTTATGTGCACAGTGACTCTGGCAGCTGCATAGAAGAGCTGTCCCATTCACTTTAGTAGAGGGGGTGCAGTAGAGCTCCAGGCCTCCACTGAAGTCAATGAGTAAGCCACCAAGTAGAGAACATCCATTGAAGTGAATGTGGTTCCTGGAATTGGGATTGCTCTTCTTTGTTGGGTTTCCGAAGGAGGATAGATGAGCGTAGACTAAACATTTGCAATTTTCCACAAGTATCATGGAATTTTTGAGTAGCTTACTACTACATGTTCCATAATAATACAGCTAGAAAAGCAGTCATGATTATGCTTTGAAATTTCAATACATCACATGAACAATATATTTCACAGCTTGTATCAATATAGGGTGATATTACATGTTAGTCACACTTACAGTAAACCCATTTAAATAAATGGGAGTTGAAGTCACCTAAAACCATTGATTTTAATGGGTGTACTCTGAATATGATTTAGTTGGCTTCTACCCATAAAATGTATATGATAGACAGTTTTGTAGTAACATTTTTTACACTAAATACAACAAAATAACACCACAAGATAAAAGGAACTACAGGTGTTACCATTTTGGTGTCACATTTATAGAACATGAAATTTAACTTTGGGTTCCTTGAACGATGACAGTTCCTATATACAAAATGTGTAGAGGAAGATATTAAAGTAAATGTAAAGCCCACTAGAAACTCATATACAGCTTTAGGCGATTACTAATTTCAGTGTCTCCAAGCAATGTTGTGGAATCACTAGCACAATGTTAATAAATATATATATTCATTTAAGCATAGTGTTTCCTGTACCACCAAGTGCTATCCTTTTGTAATTCAGTCTATTCTATGAATATATATTTATGATAAAGAACATTAAATCCAAGATTGGAGAAAATGATGCTCCGAGTCAGATGAAGCTTTATTATACAATAAATAGAAATAAATACCTTTATTTACAACTTCAGCAAGCCATCAGTTAAAAAGAATTCTGCCAGCAGAAAAGAAAAGCTTTATTTGGGTTGGATCCAGACTTGCCCTTCCCTGAACTGAAGGCGTCATTGCATTTTGGAAGGGACAGAGATCCAGCAGAGGAAAGGACTGAGGAGATTTTTGCCAATCCCTTCTCCCCAGCACCATCTTCCATGTTGTTCCAGGGGGTCACTGGCCTTCTAGAATAGCTTTTCAGCTTGCGCAGTATCAGCAAAAGCTACCTCCTGCCTTCCTCCAGTGGGAGAGTCTGGATCCAGCCCAGACTGGGGAAAACCTTTTCTGCATTCTTGGCAAATGAGCCATCCATTAACTCTGATGTGACGGGAACATGAAATTGAGAAGATAAGTGCTCATGAGCATTTGCCATTGTGGTGGTAGCTAATGAGCTATGCACATAGGACCACCCCTCTCGTGCATTCACTGTCTTATATAACAGCCACTCCTGTAGTCAGTCACACTTTCCTTAGGAACTGTGATCACAGAGATGGTTACCACCTCATGACATCTGCTGCCCAGTTTGATCCAACCTCCTCTGCCTTCTATTCCTGTGTACTAACTGCATGATGAAATTCAGTAGTGCGAACAAGGGCTGACAACATTTCCCCCCCCCCCAGGTTTCTGTGTTTCCCCCTGAAGTACTACACTCCCTCTGAAATTGAGTGGGCAGGGGACCATTTTGGGTTGAACTGGTTTGCTAGTTTAGTTGGGGGCAAGAGCATTTTCCTTAGCAGTGGGATCTCTCTGTCTCTCTCTCTTAAGCCATAAAACTCTGCAATACTGCTGCCTGTGTGGAGGTAGCCATGGTTGGCTTTTTCTCTTCTTTTCCCCATCCATATTTCCTCTAGTCCTTTAATTAAAGCAGCAGCAATGGCGGGGAAGTATTGTGGTAGCCACAGCAAGAGCTCCACCCACTGCTACGTAAAAGCAAGAGAGTGTGCATGGTTTTGAGGAGAGGACAGCAATGGGATCCCACCACTGTTGCCATAATCACAGGTAAGGGTAAAGGGACCCCTGACCATTAGGTCCAGTCGTGGCCGACTCTGGGGTTGTGGCACTCATCTCGCTTTATTGGCCGAGGGAGCCAGCGTACAGCTTCCGGGTCATGTGGCCAGCATGACTAAGCCCCTTCTGGTGAACCAGAACAGTGCATGGAAATGCCGTTTACCTTCCCGCCGGAGCAGTACCTATTTATCTACTTGCACTTTGACGTACTTTTGAACTGCTAGGTTGGCAGGAGCAGGGACCGAGCTCGAACCGCCGACCTTCTGATTGGCAAGTCCTAGGCTCTGTGGTTTAACCCACAGTGCCACCCATGTCCCTGCCATAATCATGGTTGGCTCTAAAAAAGAGAGTGCTGCTGCCAGTTGTAATGGTAAATGGCTCTCATGTCCCCTCAAATGGCTCAGCCTCTACTATTTAGAGAGGAGGGAGCTGTTCTCCCCGGGACCCTACATGCAGATTGTGCTGGTGAGCTGGGGACGGCCAGTTCATTGCCAATGAAGTGTGAATTGGCTTTATGTTCCACTGAAATCAGTTGCTGTCCACCCTCACTGCTAAATGCAACCTCCATATTCTACAAAGATTAAAGTAAGCTTACCTAACCTGGTGTCCAACAGATGTTGGAGACCACAAGTTCCACCATCCCTGACTATAGGCTTTGCTGGTCAAGGCTGATGGAAGTTCTAGGTTAGAATTGGAGGGAGAGGGAAAGCTGTACAGAAGGCTCAGCAGCAAGGTAAGGCTATCTCGATCTTGCTGTGATTGTGATCTTCCCAACAGCTGTTTGGATGCCCAGTGATGGAGACAGGCGGTCCAGCTGGAAGGATCCTAATCTGTTGTGACATAGACAGACAGCAAAGTTGCCTGTGATAAAGAGCATATTTAACCTTTTTTAAAAAAAGTAAGACTGATAATGGGACATATTCATTATTTTCTTTGGATTGCACACAATATTTCTGTTTTACATATTTAAAACAATGCAAAGTATATGCGCACATATACAGCAATAAGGAGCATTGAAGACTTGTAACAGCTGCTGATGGGATATAAAGTAGATGCGTATAGTTTGCAATCAGTAAAATAAATCCATCTGATTTCAGTAGACATTGAACCACATTTCTTTCCATGAACACCAAATCAGTTGCATGGGAAAAAAATCCTGAAGTCATAGTGCAATCTGCTGTACTGCTTAAGGATGCATCAAGGCCAGGCACACCTCCTAACTTCCTTGCAGTGCCCACGTTGTATGTTTCATGAGCATAATGACACATTTCAGGCAGTTGGCTGTGCTATAACACAACAAATGTACATGAGTCTAAAGAGTGTATGGAAGATTCGGGGGGGAGCTCCCCCCCTGCCTTCCATTGTTGTTGTTGTTATTGTTGTTGGTGGTGTTGTTGGTGTTGTTGTTGTTGTTGTTGTTGTAAAAATAGATCAACATGTGCGAAAACCAGAGAAAGGAAATAGTGATGGTGAAATCTCAATCAGTCAAAGCTGTAGATGAAGGCCAAATCAGATTTTAAAAAAATTATGTATATCTGCAGTGATGGAGAAGAGGTGTGCCAAACTTTGATAGATCAGCAAAACTTTGGTTTAATTGTGGTGAGGATAATACCAGTTTGGGGGGTGGACCAACATTTGCAAAAAATAAAAAATAAATTAAGAATGCACCTAAGTACAAATTAAGCATAGGATCCACTACAGGGGTCTGTGCATTCTACTTGTAGGATATATTCTGACCAATCAACTGAAATCTAGACAGTGCAGGCATGCCCAAACTGTTCCTATTGCCTGAGTTTATGAGGACCCAAATTCACATGTGAATAAACTGTTTATGCATATTCACTGATTTGTCCTCAGTTTAAATCAGCGACACTTCCTGGTTGACACACTTGACAATTTAACAAAAAATCAACCAGGAATTGCCCAGGGAGGAAATCCTGTTCCCGAAACATTGGAGCAAGTTTACACATATAAATTTCCTTAATGGATCAGTCCCACAGATACAAAAGGATGCTACATGGAGTAAAACGTCACCACTCAGGATGATGTGCAAGATGGTCCACATTGGATTTGGTAAATTTGGTGAACTTCGACACCAATCACAAATCACTTCCTCACCCAATTCTTCTACACATATGGCCTCTACTCTCAAAACTCTTTAGGGCTCATATTATTGGAAGGAACATTTGTCTTATATAAACTACAAATAGATATAGTTCCACAGAAGTCAAGCGCTGAACATATATCTACAGAATGAAGCACTTTTCAATGAAATTTAGAAGACAATTTTATGTGTTGCATTTAGTTGAATAGGTAATCTGAAAATTGAAACATTTTACACTTATGTGGTTTCATTCTACTTCAGATGTACACTCCTGCCTTATTTGAAAATTACCTCCAAATGTATGCTTGCCCAAGTTTCCTACTGACACTAGAATGGACTTTATGGTGTATATATGTAAATGTAGCATAGGTAGATTTTGATTACAATCAAGTAGTACATATGACATATAAATTCACATTCTTGAAAAACCTCGTGACTTTTACTTTGCTTTCATCGGTCTGAAAACAGGCCTTTCTTATGTCTCCTGTGTAATAGGCCCCAAAGGCAATGTCAGAGTTGCTTGTGCATGTTCAAAGCAAATCTCAGAGCCTTGATAGAATGAATTGGACCACACTTCCTAGCACATTTCAAGAGCTCTTCCACATACTATTGTCCCCCACGCTTTAGAAAGGCAGGCTGATGGTGAATACCTCAGCTTACTTACTTTCATTAACATTTGCTGTAAACAACCAACAATCCTCTTCACAAGACAAAACGAGAGGCCACTGCTCAGTTTTAATAGGACAATGTGTCTCAGATGGTTAAACACTTAAAGCTGTGGTGGTTGGGACTCTGGGTGAACATCACTGTGCTGGCCAACTAGGTTGTGGAAAACATGCGCCGCCAAGTCGTCACTCAGTGTCCAAGAACCCATTTTTGGGGGCTGTTAGGATTAGGTTTTCCGAAGGCCGATAGGAAAGAGAGGACATCTTTGTCGTGAAACTAGCGTGTCTGACATTGTGGGGGCTGTATTTCAGAAGCTGGAGAAAATATTTCCTGAAGTTCTTTCCAAAAAAGCCATAAAAGAGGGGATTGAGGCAGTTGTTAAAATACGCTAAGCAGATCGTGAAAGGCATGGCTGTATCCACAATGTCGATGATATTACAATCGGTGATCACACTGAGTTGAATCAGCACATCCAGAAAAGTGAATATTTGATGAGGAACCCAAGAAAAGAAGAAGAAAAGGACAATTGCAACAATCATCTTGAAAATATCATCGCTTCTGGTCTTGTTTTTCTGAATCTGGTATGCTTTCTTCAGGGCTTTCCAGATTAATATATAGCTTGTTAAAATGATCACAAAGGGGATCAAAAACCCCAGCATGTTTTTCGATAAACCCAATCCAACTTTGAGTGTCGTGCCGTTGGTTGTGTTGGAGGGGGTCTGATACCGAAAAGCACATACCGTTATATTTTCATTTTCGATTAAGTATACGGTACGGTGGATAATCACAGGCAAGCTGGCAAGGGCCGCCATCAGCCAGATGATGATGCAAGTTACCCGGGCCACAAGCATCGTGCGCTGAAGCCGGGACTTCATTGGGTGCACGATTGCCAAGTAACGGTCAATGCTGAGGCACGTCAGGAGAAACACGCTGGCATACAGGTTGAAGGTTGCTGCGGCTGAAGCTAACTTGCACAAGCCACTGCCAAAAGGCCAGCGGTATTGCATGGCGGCATTGGCCGCCCACAGTGGCAAAGTCACGAGGAAACACAAATCAGCCAGAGCTAAATTGAACAGAAAGACACTTGCCACAGTTTTCAGCTTCATGAAGAAGTAAATAACAATCACCACCAAACTGTTTCCGAATATACCTATGATGAAGATGATGGTGTAAACCGTTGGAACAACAATTAGCATGTAGTTGTGCCTTCCCAGTGAGGGGCAGTCCACGTGAATTCTTTTCACAGTCTCTTCTGTGGACATATTTAGGAGCATCTTGATAAGTTCAGGTGGAGGCTATTTGGAAAATTAATTCCAGGCTCATCTGGGGAAGAAAAATGAGAATATTATCACTACTGCTTTGCCTTTATATTTAAATATTTTTTTTGTGGTGGGGGGGAATGGACTTATTCAACAGTTTCTTAACAGCAATTAAAGTAGATGTTTAATACTCTAACTACATTTTCATGAATTAAATTCCGTATTCCGGAGAAGCCTGCATTATGCTCCAAATATTTAACCTAGTACTTTGATTTCAATTGACATAAGTTATGTTATTTGGGCAGGGACCAGTGCTCACGGGAAAAGCACATGGCCCCAAATTCAATCCCTGGCAACAGTTGTTGTTGTTGTTGTTGTTGCTGTTGTTTTAAAAAAGAATAAGAGCAGATTCACACTATACATTTAAAGCACTATCCCACCACTTGCCATGACTGTTTAATGGCTTCTCCCAAAAAATTTTGGGAGCTGTAGTTTGTTAAGTGTGCTGTGAATTGTTAGGAGATCCCCTTCACCCTCCAGACCTACAATTCTCAGAGTTTCCTGCGAAGAGAGATTGATTGTTAAACTACACTGAGAATTGTAACTCTGCAGATGGGAGATAGGGGTCCCCTAACAACTCTCAGCAAATGGCTCCATAGCAGTTTCCTAGCTAGCAACCAATTTTAACAGTGGTATTGGAAAAACGGATAGCTAACCCTTTCCTGCCACCTTTCAGTAGCTTTGTGGAAGAAGAGAATTCCCATAAGTTGGAATGCAAGTTGGAATCACTAAAATGACCTTTAGGGGGAACGTTTATTCTCCTCTTCCATTGGTCCCCCACCCAGTCATCATTTCCATAAAACACACACACACACACACACACACAACATAGTAATGGTGGGTTACCTCACAATGTTATTGTATTCCACTTTGTCACAGATCCACAACAATAGTGGGAAAGGCTGTTTGCTACTTGTTACATTCTTGAAACAATTCTCAGTATTGCACTGCATGTCTGCCTCCTGCCCTTAGGTTGGTACATCAAAATGAAATCCAGGCCTTAAGAGCTAAGCTTTAGATCGAGGATGGGAGATCTGTGACTTTCCATATGTTGTTGAGCTATGATTCTCATCATCCTTGATCAGTAGCCATGCCGGTGTTTAGAATTCCCGCTCCATGATTGCAGTCATGGGATTGTTGTCTATCACATGACGGTATATGTTTTGATTCCACAGAGTGGGAAGTGACGAAGACAGGATGTTTGTGATACTGTGTTCAGTGAAGTGGTACTATTGTCCTTTGTTCTTTTTCTCTTTGCTGTCTGATGCTAGAGAGAGAAGGAGCCATACTGCAGTGCTCCGTGTGTGTTTATATGTAAATAAAGTAGATTAGCCAAAATGCTGAGTTGCTGAGGTCTGTTACGCATGATGCGCAAACTCTGCAGATCCCTAAGTGTGCCGGGGTCGGTTGGCATCGGTCGCTGTGATGTTCAGGCTGAAGAAAGCTCATGAAGCTCCCGAACGATTGACCAGGAGGGAAAGAACATGCCAGTCATGTGTCTCTACCAGGGTCCTACTCAAGTGTAGGCTGAGCTCCTGACAACTGGCTGGGGCTGGTGGAAGTTGGAGTCCATCAACATCTGGAGGGCCACAAGTTCCCCATCCTTGTTTAGAACAATTTTATATCAATCGTAATGACTTCATGAATTTAGGTATATTAATGTTTTCTTGCACTCTACAAGAACAAGGGACTGACTCAGTGCTTTTTTTCCTGGGGGTACGCATACCCCTAAACATTTTGTGAATCTAAGTTTGGTCTCATTGAGGGGGAGTATTTCAATATGAGTAGGAAAATGAGAGTACCCCTTAACATTTTTTTAAAGAAAAAAAAGCACTGGACTGACCTAAGCAACCTGGACATTACATCATGAAAAATGAATGAAATGTTGTTCTTTCCACTGCAGTATCTTATCAATGTAAATGCCAAATATAGCACAACTGCTAGATCCCAGATATCTTGGTGTTCTGTTTAGGTTATATTATGGATCAAAATAATCAGCATCTGAGTAACATTCATAGGCTATGTTTTGGCTGCTCACTGGAGACCAAGACAAACAACGCAATTAAATATGTTTTTAGTGAATCACTTAAGAGGTCGTCTTGGATCATGGAAGTTTAATAGCTGTTAATGAAAACAAAACCTCTTGGCATTCAGAAACTTGTCTATCTGAACTTACGTGGATCTCTTGCCAAAAGTTAATTTGTGTCTGATTAGCAAGCATATTGGCTTTATTCTTAAACTCACTTTGGGTATGCTAAGTCACTATGATTAAAATAAATATGAGCCAAAATCAATGAACCAAACATGTTTTCTTGCTGATTGTAATGGAATAATAGTATGAAGAAATTGTATATTTGGGGTGTGTTGCCTGTAACAGGAAAGTAGTTAGTTGTTCCATTGGCAGAAGCAGCAGCCATGTATTGTGAATTCACATAAGATCTGTTCACATGACATCATACACCCTGTAATCACATTCCTGGTTGGTGCAGGTTCAGAAGGGTCTTTTGAATAGTTAATAGGTACAAACTGAGTTTTACAGGATCCCAGAATGTGTGGACTGATCCTCTAGACCAATGATGGCCAAACCTGACCCTCCAGCTGTTTTGGGACTACAACTCCCATCATCCCTAGCTAACAGGACCAGTGGTCAGGGCTGATGGGAACTGTAGTCCCAAAACAGCTGGAAGGCCAAGTTTGGCCATCACTGCTCTAGACATACAGTTCATACTTGTGTAGGGTTTGTTCACAAGGTCTGCTGAATGCATGCACCTCAGGGTGGGGGTAGTGGATACCAACCTGCCTTACCTACATTCATTCATGTGCATGCCATGTCATGTGAATAGGACTTTAGTCCTATTCAAAATGAGCAGATACATAAAGAGAGCATAATACTCAGCAAAATGAGCAGGAGGGTATTTCTGAAGCAAGTGAAGTAATAGACACTACTATCTAAAGAGAGGGCCCCCTCTTAAAACCATTAAATCCAGAATTTAAAAATTTAGGGGTGTGCTCAACTAATTTTTCAATGGGTAGGCCCATTGAAATTCATGGTCATGACTAATGTAGGGCCATTAATTTTGATGGATTTAGTTAGTTGATAAAAGTTAGTTGAACACCACCCTTAGAATTGTCTAACTGCAGCACTGGTTGAAGCTATATTTATTCCTGGATAGAAACTTGACTGCACTCTGTGATTCCATGGCTACTTGTTGTTTAATTGACAAATTGTGGGGGTGCAGTATTGCAAAAGAGCATGTTAACTCTGAATATCTGCAATGACTCCTGGATATAATTCCATTATAGCAAAAGTGTTGTTTCACAGAGGACGAGTGCTACAGAATGCACTTATATTAGCTAAGGATCATTCAGTTTCTTAGGAATTGCGCTAGCACTGAATACCTAATTATGCGCAACTGAATATCAAACTTTTGTCAAGGACCACAATTTAATTTCCCCTATTCATGGGAAATTTGACTGTAAATTATAGTTTAGGCACCTCTCAGAAAGAATCTTTGTTATTTTTATGAAGTTTAAAAAGTTAAGGCAGATATTTTAAACGGAGGTTTCTCAATAATTCATGCTTTGAGGAAATAAAGCAATATACTGACCACAGAAGGTCCCATTTTAGGGTTTTTAAACATGTGCAACATTTGACACACCCTAGTGCCAAAACTATTAGCCTCATTATTAATCAGGATTGCCTTTCAGTTCGCCACAAAAAAGAATAAAGAGAATTGCCTTTTGGCGAATCATAAGGCTGCCATCACATCAGGCTTTTAAAGCTCTATGATAACACTTTAAGGAGCCATGGCTTGCCCCCTCCAAAGAATTCTGGGAGCTGTGATTTGCTAAGGCTGCGGAGAGTTGTTATGAGACCCCTGTTCCGCTCCCAGAGCTATACTTTTCAGAGTGATTTAAAAATCAAGCCTTCTTCAAGGGGTACTCTGGAAACTGTAGCCATATGAGGGAAATATAGGCTTACTTTCAGCGGCACTACTTGGGAATTAAGGTTCCATTGGGTCACCAGCCTCTTTTGGCCAGCAGACACAAATGGAATTTTGGGTACATGGTAGAACACACTCTAAATCAGGGGTGTTTCTGGACTCCCACCAGCCCCTTCCCAGAATGTCTGATGGTTGTGGCTGCACTCCAGCAACATCGGGGTCACAGGTTCCCCGGCACTGTTCCAGATGATGCAGTGAATGAACTACCGTATTGGCCTGAATATAAGCCGCACCTTTAAAATTCAAGGGGGGGGGGGAGACAATACCCGAATATAAGTCACTCCCTTGAAATTCCACAGGCACTCACACCTGTAAATGACAAATGTAGAAGAAAATCCTACTGGTACTAGAGTGGCTCCGCAAGTGGCTTAAACACTTTGACACGATCGACCATAACATCCTTCTGGACCGTCTAGAGGGGCTGGGAGCTGGGGGCACTGTCATACAGTGGTTCCGCTCCTTTCTCCTGGGCCGTGTCCAGAAAGGGGTGGTGGTGGGGATGAGTGTTCAGACCCCTGGGCTCTCACTTGTGGGGTGCCTCAGGGTTCCGCCCTCTCCCCCATGCTTTTTAATATCTATATGAAGCCACTGGGAGAGATCATCAGGGGGGTTGGGCTGGGTGTTCATCAGTATGCAGATGACACCCAGCTCTACCTCTCCCTTAAATCAGAACCAGTGAAGGCGGTGAAGGTCCTGTGGAGTGCCTGGAGGCGGTTGGAGGATGGATGGCGGCTAACAGATTGAGGTTGAATCCTGACAAGACAGAAGTACTGTTTTGGGGGGACAGGGGGCGGGCGGATGTGGGGGATTCCCGGGGGTAACTGTGCCCCTGAAGGACCAGGTGCACAGCCTGGGAGTCATTTTGGACTCACAGCTGTCCATGGAGGCGCAGGTTAATTCTGTGTCCAGGGCAGCTGTCTGCCAGCTCCACCTGGTACACAGGCTAAGACCCTACCTGCCCGCGGACTGTCTCACCAGAGTGGTGCATGCTCTAGTTATCTCCCGCTTGGACTACTTCAACACGCTCTACGTGGGGCTACCTTTGAAGGTGACCCGGAAACTGCAATTAATCCAGAATGTGGCAGCTAGACTGGTGACTGGGAGTGGCTGCCAGGACCACATAACACTGGTTCTGAGAGATCTGCATTGGCTCCCAGTACGTTTCCGAGCACAATTCAAAGTGTTGGTGCTGACCTTTAAAGCCCTAAACGGCCTCAGTCCTGTATACCTGAAGGAGCGTCTCCACCCCCATCGTTCAGCCCGGACACTGAGATCCAGCGCCGAGGGCCTTCTGGCGGTTCCCTCATTGCGAGTAGTAAGGTTACAGGGAACCAGACAGAGGGCCTTCTTGGTAGTGGAACACCCTCCCTTCCGATGTGAAGGAAATAAGTAGCTATCCTATCTTTAAAAGACATCTGAAGGCATCTGAAGTTTTTAATATTTAATGCTGTATTGTTTTTAATACTTGATTGGGATCTGCCCAGAGTGGCTGGGGAAACTCAGCCAGATGGGCGGGGTATAAATAATATTTTTTATTAATTATTATTATTATTATTATTATTATTATTACCTGTTTGTAGCACCATAAAGGCAAATCAATACCGCACTGTCAATACCATGTGTCTGTTGCAGCAGTGATATCGTAAAAGCCAATTTTTGTAAGGTTGCGAATTTAAGCTGAACTTTAACTTTTCACGGTTGGAATTTGGGGTGGGGGGAGGCATGCATCTTATATTTGGGCCAATATGGTATTATAATCTCCTGAATAAAACCACCTTAGTTTGGAATTTTGAGGGCATGAAATAAGAGGACCATGAACTTTCAGAGAAAGTATGCCACTGAGTTCCAGTTGCTGGGGGAAGGCTATAACTTTCTTGCCCTGGTCACTTTCCTAGAGACCCCCGGTTGGCCATTATGGGTGGGAAACAGGTTCTTGTTTGGTCTGCTCAAGGAATCTTTGTGTGTCCCCATTCAGATGTTGCCTATTTTAATTGCACAAGATAATATCCTTCAGTATGTTAAGTCCTGAAACCAGGATGTGTGTCTTCCCATCCGTGCTCCTGTGTGAGTCATCTGATCCGCTTGAGACCACAAAAGACACATTTCTTGAGGGGCGCTCTCATGGTGCCCCAAAATGTGCGTTTTGGGGTGCTGTGTGAGATTGCAGCCCTGAAAAAGGTGCTTTTTCTGGGGTGAGATCTCGGTGCAAAATCGCGAGAGATCACAGCACCCAAAATTATTGCCATGCTCTTGTGAGGAAAAATGGGGTGTCCTGGTTCTCCCAGGACATTTGGAGGGCATGCAAGGTATAGTGACGGCCTTTCTTGTTTGCTCATTAAGAAATACTATTTGGTATTGTAGATTCCTGGAACATGACAGCTGTGTGACTTTCTCACGATAAAGTTTACGTGAGATATTTTTGTAACCTTATCACCTGTATGTCCTTGCCAAGCTATTTGCTTGAGGTTATATTACTTTGAGAAATAACGGCCAAGGGGCCCAGTGTCTAAGCTGCACTGAGGAACTATTGCTAAGATCCAAATTGGATTTTTATAGTCAAGGGAACTTCTAACGCTTCCAAAGGTAGCACCGATAAAAGATGTTCTTCAGGAAATCCACAGCTGTTGCACTGGTATGAAAATCTGAAAGCAAGTGAAAAGCTTAACAACTGAAGCAGAAACACATCCTTTCTGAAGTGGAAAATCAAGATGGCAGCTACCACCAATGTGACGCAGCATAACAGCTTGCAACATACCTACGCCTTGCACTAAATTATCCCCCTTTCTTTGCCAGTAAACATGAAGATTTAGTTATAAAAACTGTAGCATGGTGATTTCTCCATTTACTGCAATCCATTTCATTTACATTATCACTAATCTAGGGAAAGTGCAAAATTTCTCTAGACAATGCATGAAAGACACTTAAATCGGGAGGAGCATTCGTTCTTAAGAGCCGACCAAACGATCACAAACATTTCACGGCTGCATTCTGGGTATCAGTGATAGTGGCAGATTATCCAGCTGCATAATTCTGTGCTGATCAAAATACCTATGTGATGCACTCTGGATCTGTTCAAACCATCAATAGTTGTCCTGTATTTCATTGAGAGGTAAATTGCGGAAATTTGCATTATGCAACAATAATGAACTTTCCTCCCCCCTTGCTTTTTAAATGCTAGCTAACTATAGAAAAGGGAAAATAGTGAAATTGGCCTTGACCTTTTCAAAGATATATAAAAAAACAACAGCTTTGTATTTTGATAGATCACCCTGTAATTAGTTATTATAATGAAATTAATTTAATGAGCTTTGCAGAGCTGTGTAGAGTCTACACAGCAATTAAGCAGGAACATAATTTAATTTGTGTTTTCTTTCATCAGGCTTCATATTTGCTTCTATTTCCCATCATGCTCCCATTTTGTTGATTAACTATAACAAATACACTTAAAAAGAGGTCATAAAGGGAAATTTGCAGGATACAACCCGATCTTCTTTTCTTCATGAATGTTTAGAAATGCTTTAAGAAATGACAATCCAAACTTTTGCACACTTACTACTAAAGAACAGAGATAGGCAAAAGTGTCAATTTTGTTTTCTCAATTTTTTAATCTTAAATTCAGTTCTCCATATTTCCATATCAGTTTTTAATGTGTGTCTTTGTGCTTTTAAAGGTCTCATGAAAATATAGGCTTAGTGCCATTTAGGTTTCCTACAGATACTTAAGATTCACCATGGGGAGGCCTTAAATCTAAACTTGCTTGTAGAAACAAAACATTAAAAATATTGTTCCAGAGAAGAATAGTGGCAAAATGCCTTCCCGACTGAAGTAATAACTGCAGGGCTTCTTTTGGCTTTGGAACTTGTGAAATGCAGGCGAGAGAGAGAGAGAGAGAGAGAGAGAGAGAGAGAGAGAGGTTACTGGTCCAATCTGATCTATATTAATGTGCTGCCTAAAATATAGTCACTGTAACCTTTCAAAATCAAGCAGAAGAGTGGCCATTACAGCTAGCTGGATTACCAAGCTGTTACTTGCATCCCATGGTTGGTTGCTACTTGGAAATGAAGTTCTTCCAAATGCCACAGCACAGCCTGAAAATACTGGGATGGACGCAGAGGTGCATCTGCCAGTGGAGGGGGATTTCCCCATTGGAGGAACTGCTTCTGGATCCAACTCACGGTTCTCTAAAGATACACTAGAAGCCTCCACCAGAGAATCCAGTTAAAATTATTGTTGTGAGGGTGGGTTTTTCTTGGTCATGGTAGGGGCTGGGAGTTAGGCTGTAGACGCGAGTTTCTTCTAATTCCTGGATTCAGTAAGCGTTTGAATCTAATGGAAGATCCCACTGTTGAATTAGCCAGGCAAGGGCCACAATGCCCCTAAGTATAAGTTGGTATAAGAAGTTTGCTCTGTGCCAGAGGGCAAAAGGGGGGCCCCCTCCCTCACCTGGTGGGTCGTGAGAAGGACAAAGACCAGAATTGGGTGTGTGAGAGAGCTGGACTAGAAGTAGGAAGAAGGCAGGAACCAGAGAGTGAGAAACATGCTTGATTCCTGCTTGAATCCAAGACTTTGGCTATGGTAGAAGAAATACCTTCTGGGGTGTTATATATGTGAGCCCCTCTTACATAGTATATAAATAAACCATATATCATATACAGTGCTATTTTTCTAGAAAAAGAGGTGCTGGAACTCACCATGAACACCTCCCTTGTTTTCTTATTATGGCAATGGCGCCAACCTGAGAGGTGCCGGAACTGAGTTCTGGTGAGTTACAGCTGCATATATATAATAAAGACACCACAATGTTGTTGGAAAAAAACCCCACTTGTTTTATTTAAGGACAAGGGAAAAGTATTGAAAGTTTGTGGCAACAATACTGGTTCCAGTCTCACACTTTTCTGCACTTGCCACTTATAGTGTTACAGTTGCTGTTTGATCCAACATTTTAAAGAGTGACTTTGTAGCTGATTGTCTGTCTCTTTGGCCATACAGTGGTACCTCAGGTTACATACGCTTCAGGTTACATACGCTTCAGGTTACTGACTCTGCTAACCCAGAAATAGTGCTTCAGGTTAAGAACTTTGCTTCAGGATGAGAACAGAAATCGTGCTCCAGAGGCGAGGCGGCAGCAGGAGGCCCCATTAGCTAAAGTGGTGCTTCAGGTTAAGAGCAGTTTCAGGTTAAGAACAGACCTCCAGAACGAATTAAGTACTTAACCCGAGGTACCACTGTATGTCATTGTTATTGGAGAGTGGCGGCCCATCCGCACTACACATTCAAAGCAGTATCATATCACTATAAGCAGCCATGGATCCCCCATCCCCGAGAATCCTGGGAACTGTAATTTGTTAGGAGCGCTGAGAATTATTAGGAGACCCCCCTATTCCCTTCACAGAGCTACAATTCTAAGAGTGGTTTAACCATCAATCCTTCTTCCCAGGGAATCATTTCAGAAGACTAGCTGAATAAAGACGATGAAAAAAATCTGGAAAAAAACCCCCAGAAGTCATACCAGTATAAATGACAAATGTGGAAAGCCCCCAAAGTAAAAATAAAAATGGAACAGTAGATTAGTTTTTGTTTTTAACTTCCTGAGTAAGTATTCTGATAAAAGGTCAAAACTTCTAGTTGGCAAGACTATGACAATCATCACAATTATAGATGCCAAACTGCTTTTTATATGCTGCTGTTATCTTTTGACTAATGCATGTGATGGGTGCAAATTAATTCCATAGATATACAATTCCAACTGGAACCCTGGCAACAATATAATAGTAGGAGATTGACCTCTTTTTAGGACTGGCAAGGCACAGAAAGCTTTTGTTAACAGAGCAGACATTCAAGCAAGTATAAATGGTGGTGGTGGGGGCTGCTTGAGGCTCCATTTTTCAACAAATTATCTGGGGAGCTGCTAATCCCTGTTGTACATGACTGTCCTGTTTGACCTTTTATTTTTTTTATTTTTAATTACAATGATTATGATAAGTCACTGATGAGAATGTGCTGCTTCAGACTGTTCCACCAACCATTATTTAGCACTCTACTCATTTCCTATGTTGGACGATCATGCCTTCTAATTAAACTGCCTGAGATAACAGAGGAGGATGCTGGGCCTCTGCAAGGTAAACAGCTCTTTGCTGAATGAAAAACGAGATGCCAGTGACTGCAGCTTCCTGCGAGAACTTCATTAACCGTAATCATGTAACCGAACGCCACAAGCCAGATTTCAAGCTCACATAAACTTGCAGTGTTTGTTTTCTGACAAGGACTTTTGAGATAGCAAGCAGCCATGGAGCCTGTCGAAAGGTCAGCAGAGTGCCATGACTCTCTTTTGCAAATGGAATGAAAGCGTCACTCTTTGTGGGTGCATATATGGTTGGCGTCGGGGACGCGGGTGGCACTGTGGTCTAAACCACAGAGCCTAGGGCTTGCCGATCAGAAGGTTGGCGGTTCGAATCCCTATGACGGGGTGAGCTCCCGTTGCTCAGTCCCTGCTCCTGCCCACCTAGAAGTTCGAAAGCTCGTCAAAGTGCAAGTAGATAAACAGGAACCGCTCTGGTGGGAAGGTAAACGGCATTTCCGTGCGCTGCTCTGGTTTGCCAGAAGCGGCTTAGTCATGCTGGCCACATGACCCGGAAGCTGTACGCCGGCTCCCTTGGCCAGTAAAGCGAGATGAGTGCCATAACCCCAGAGTCAGCTACGACTGGACCTAATGGTCAGGGGTCCCTTTAAAGTTCTGGTATCCCCTATCCCAGGAGACGGGCTGTACCTCAGGTTCAGAGCATTTGCCTTGCATGCAGAAGGGCCCAGTTTCAATTCCTCCAAAATAAATGCTTTCTGAAACTATGGAGAGCCACTGCCACCAGTGTCAACAATACTGAGCTAGCTGGACCAGTGGTCTGATTCTGTATAGAGCAGCTTCTTATGTCCCACTTTAACCCCTCCAGCAAAATACTGACAGTCTGGAGGCACTCACATTATTCACTCTGAAAAACTGCATAGACTCCGCCCCCCCGCCACCATTACATTAATTCCTTCCCCCACTCTGGAATATCTCCCTGATCTATCTGAGAGTGTGTTTTACATGGAAACAGGGTTTTGCACAGGGATCGGATGCTTAATGGTCAAAAATAGTAATGGGAAGGTAAACGGCATTTCCGTGCGCAGCTCTGGTTCGCCAGAAGCAGGTTAATCATGCTGGTCACATGACCTGGAAGCTGTACACTGGCTCCCTCGGCCAATAAAGCGAGATGAGCGCCACAACCCCAGAGTCGTCCACAACTGGACTTAACTGTCAGGGGTCCCTTTACCTATATGGTTGGAGTATGTTTCTTTTTTCCACAAAAGTGGCAACAGTACATACCAACTTCATTCTACAATTTCCTCAGTGAAGAATGGAAACCATTCGGCAATATAACTGAGCCAAATATATGGGTGGTTGGGTGTCAGTGTGGGCATATCATTCATTACAATGGAAAAGGACCACCCTTTCAACACTTCCCCAGGGTTTATTGTGGAAAGGCTGATAAACTCTCTAGGCCTAGTAGTTATCCATAACTGTTAAGGTTTGCCCATGTACAGAAAATTGTCCTCAGTCTAATGGGCTTCAGTAGACATCACCACACAACAAATCCTGACTGGCTACATATCGTGATGACATCATTATGTCCAGTTTCTTATCACTGATTGGCCAGGATCACTTGAGGAAGAATGGGGTAGGGGAGAGCTTGCAAGTGCCCAACAAGCAGAATAGGAAAACAACCGGAAAGCACAGGCTGTGAACAGCCACAAAAAAGTTAGAATCAAGATTTTGGACAAAGATGCCAGTAATCATTATTTTCAAAGTGAGAAGTGATGCTGAAGAACATTTGAAATATGTTTATTAAGAATAGCTTTAAGCAGTGCTATTTTTATGGAAAGGAGGTGCCAGAACTCACCATGAACGCCTCCCTTTTTCTATTATAATGGCAATGGCGCCCACCTGAGAAGTGCCGGAACTGAGTTCTGGCAGGAAAAAAGCCCTGGCTTTAAGTATTCCCCTCCCCCAATTAACTAGGGATTTTGTTCCCTTTCATCCATTTCTGGTTTCTTTTTCCCCTAGCTGTCCCTTTAACTGCTGCAGTGAGAAACATAATGTTCTGAGTTCCTTGCTGCAGTTATCTTGTATGGCTAGAAGCAATAATGCACCAAAATAAAAATATTTACTCCCACAATTATTAATCCCATGATCCTAAGGTTATCCTCATTTCCTGTATATAAACACACCAGGGCCAGCTAGTGGGGAAGAGTGTTCTCATGGACCTGACAATTAGCAATAGCACCAAAACTTATGTTTCCTGTTTCAGAAATATGAGCCTTGGGGGTTCATAATGCTCATCTCAAATATGAGATGAGCGCTGCAACCCCATAATGAATCTCTGGCTTGGATTTTAATAGTGGGAGGAGAATTTAACTCCTTCATCCACACTGCTTATACAGCCCTAGATCTTCCTAGCTCTTACCTTTCAGTCCTCCAGATTCTCAATTCCTTCTCACCTGGCTACTCACCCTGGCAATAGCAACAAGTGGTTAGAGTGATGGACTAGGTCTAGGGAGATATGGCTTCACATTCATGAAGCTCACTGGGTGAACTCAGGCCAGTCAATAACACTCAACATAATCAGGGTTGTTGTGTGTGCTTGTCACAAGAAAATGTGGGGTTTTATAAATTTATTATTATTACTTTTAAAATGGATGGATGGGAGGAGAGATAGGCCAGCCTGCCAGCACCTCCAAACTATTCCACTGAAGGTTGCAAGGGTGTCATGCTGAATGGCATAGGCTGTGATGTAGGAGTCGGAGCGTGAAGAGTGGATCCTTAAAAACTGAACAGAGGCATTTTTTGTGAGTGGCCGTTCTGTTCATCCAAGGGGTTTCCATCTGATTTGTGAGGGTTTCTCTTTTCTCCTCAGTCCTCATCCATTCTATTCAGCAGGGGATCCCAGCTTCTACCTGTCCCATTATAAGCACTTAACTCTGTATCCAACCCAGCATGCTCAACATTAATGCCATAATGGAGTCCCTACTTCAGATGTTCAGGCCCCATCATCATTACCACCCCGAGACAACTTCTGTGGTTTGATAGAGGTTTTCTGGTGTTGTTGAAATGCTTGCTGGATTTTTCTTTCTTGGGATGAATGGTGGGAAAGGAGTAATGAGAGAGAGAGGGAGAGAGAGACCTTCTACAAACTCATATCATTTGCCTGTTTATCTCAGTATTGTCTACACAGACTGGTAGCAGCTTTCCAGGATTCCGTGCACAAGACATTTCCAGCTCTACCTGGAGAGTAGCGATGGACAAATCTGCCAGTTTTCTCATCTTTCCAATTTTATATCCAGTTCTCCACATCCCACAACAATTTGCAATTAAAAAAAAAAAATTCCTCATGGAAGTCCACCAACATTTCAGCGCACATTTCTCCTAATCAACTTACAGTGGTACCTTGGGTTACATACACTTCAGGTTACAGACTCCGCTAACCCAGAAAAAGTGCTTCAGGTTAAGAACTTTGCTTCAGGATGAGAACAGAAATTGTGCTCCGGCGGCGTGGCGGCAGCAGGAGGCCCCATTAGCTAAAGTGGTGCTTCAGGTTAAGAACAGTTTCAGGTTAAATACAGACCTCCGGAACGAATGAAGTACTTAACCCGGGGTACCACTGTACTTTGTATGCAGTTTTGACTGATATGCACATATTTGCAAAGCAATCTCCCTAATATAATGCATTTTTGTATTTTTAAAAAATGCATTTTCGTATAGTTTTCCCTAATATATGCATTTTTGTTTACTTTAATTGGGCTGGAGAACTGCACTACCGGAGAGGGTAGAATTTTGAAGGATGGTTGTGCTTCAGTATGCAAATTGTTCCAAAAAGTACAAATTCAGTAGATTTGCTTTTAAATGTGACCTGAATAGAATTTCTCCCCTATCCCCACCTGGAAATGCCAGAAATTGAACTTGGGAACTTCTGCATGCAAAGAATGTGTTCTTTCATACGCCACAGCCTTGCTTGGAGGTATGGAGTAGGTTTTTGCTGAGGATTTGGAGGAACCCCACGGCAAAGCATTGTGCTTTGGAGGGATTCTGGGCTTTGTCGGAGGTGAAACAGGATCTTAATGAGGTAGCAAAAACTAAGCTGGATTTTTTTCCAGCTTGAACTCACCGGAACTCAGTTCCAGCACCTCTCAGGTGGGCACCATTGCCATTATAAGAGAACAAGGGAGGCGTTCATGGTGAGTTCCAGCACCTCTTTTTCTAGAAAAATAGCAGTAACTAAGCCAATGTTACTTTTTTCATTGCAGTGGTACCTCAGGTTAAGAACTTAATTCATTCTGGAGGTCTGTTCTTAACCTGAAACTGTTCTTAATCTGGGGTGCCACTTTAGCTAATGGGGCCTCCTGCTGCCACCACACGATTTCTGTTCTCATCCTGAAGCAAAGTTCTTAACCCGAGGTACTATTTCTGGGTTAGCAGAGTCTGTAACCTAAAGCATCTGTAACCTGCAGCGTCTGTAACCCGAAGTACCACTGTATATTTTTCTTAGTGCAGATGTGTATGGCTTTTTACATACCCACCCACACTTATTTGTCAGTCCCCACCAAGGATGCCTCTAATAATAATAATAATAATAATAATAATAATAATTTATCTATACCCTGCCCATCTGGCTGAGTTTCCCCAGCCACTCTGGGCAGCTCCCAATCGAGTGTTAAAAACAATACAGCATTAGATATTAAAAACTTCCCTAAACAGGGCTGCCTTCAGATGTCTTTTAAAAATAGGATAGTTGCTTATTTCCTTGACATCTGATGGGAGGGCATTCCACAGGGCGGGCGCCACTACCGAGAAGGCCCTCTGCCTGGTTCCCTGTAACTTGGCTTCTCACAGCAAGGGAACCGCCAGAAGGACCTCGGCGCTGGACCTCAGTGTTCGGGCAGAACGATGGGGGTGGAGAGGCTCCCTCAGGTATACAGGACCGAGGCTGTTTAGGGCTTTAAAGGTCAGCACCAACACTTTGAATTGTGCTCGGAAATGGGCTGGGGCAGGTCTGGGGGAGGGATATTTCAGGATATTTTGTGCTGGTGTTGGGGGCACTGCCTCCTCATGTGAGTCTTCAGTCATTTAAAAACAATTGCATATCCTCACACCTCACAGTTTCAAGGCTGCCAGGAAAAGTTGTTTCAGCCACAAAATGCCTGGCTGAACAGGAATGGTTCTAGATTCTCCTGAATGTTAATAACAAGGAAGACAGGTGCATCCCAGGGGGTAGATGGGAGCATTAGCACAAATGGAGAGCCACCACCAAGAAGGACCTGCCATGGCTCAGTGCCACCACCAGCAGGGCCACACTTGTGAATCATAGGGTTTGAGATGGGTGATATTGTGGAACGTTCTCTTTTAGGTTAATTGTTTTACTTCCAGTAAGGGGTGGTGGTGGGGTTTGCTGGTCTTGAGGTCCCCGGGCTTTGAATGGCCTTGTGGAGGGACAGAGAAGTAGAAACTGAAAAACTTCACTCAGAAGTAGCTCACCAGATAGGGTGGAGCCGCTATGCTAGATTCCCAACAGAAGGGGAGAAGGGGCAAAATACCAGAGAGATTGTCATTGGTTTCCCTGCCACTCTACTCCTCCATGTCTCCCTGTAAGCAACAATGACCAACCTGCCAGAAAGCTAGCATAGTCCCTCCACCCCATCTAGCAAGACATTTCTGACCTTACTGAAGATGTGAAAAATTGCACTTGAGTCCTGGCTTCTTAAACTGTTGAAAGGAGAAGACAGCTTACTTTGTGTCCTCTGTCGGAAAATGCCTGCTGAAAGCATGACTACAGGAGAGTTGAAATAATGATGATCTTCTCGGTTAGAGCCACACTCCTTTTCTTTTGACCGTTAAGTTGGGTGCAAAATGAGGATAATTATACTATTATCCAGAGCAAACTGGCTTTCAACTGCTTCAAAATCTATTTCCCCTCAAATACATGACTTTGACCACTAGAGGTCTGTATTTCATACTTTAGAGAGACAGAGAGACGGGGGGTGGGGGGGATTGTTTTGCTTTAAAAAGTGAATAATCATTGCGCAATACTAGTATTTCTGAAATTTCTTCATAATTCAAAACTAATAATAGCTGGGAGGAGAAACTTGAACCCAGTGTAGATTGGAGGGTTTAATAGACCATTTCCATCTCTAATTACTGCTATTTTAGTATATTCTTCATTTACTGACATTTAACCGAATATCCTGTTCTAGTAAATTATGGCCTGAGATTTTGACATCTGTTGCTATCAGGCCACTAAGGGCATGTAGTCCATAAACATCCTGAACCCAATTATGAAAAAAATGTGGACCTGTGCCATAGTAAAAGGCATACGTGAAAAAAGTGAGAGATTTCACTACAGCTGCAAATGAAAGGTACTGTCACAAAGGTATTATATTCTGTATGCTTTCTAACACTCAGGACCTTTTGTTAATTAAACAGTGGAGTCCCTCCACACCCATACAGAGCATTTTTTAAAGATAACTGCAAGCCTATTTGCCATACATATTTTTTCTCATGCAATGCCTTACAGTGCAACCATAACTAGGTGTACTCAGAAGTAAGTCCTGCTGAATTCAGCGAGGATTACTCCCAGGTTACTGGGGTTAAGACTATGGCCTTCTGCATTTATTGTTAATAAATAAAAATAAGTTGTTGTATTAAGGATTTCAATTTTATTTTATGAGAGACTCAACTCTTTAAACATCTATTTCTTTCCTAAATGTATAGTTCACTTCTCCACCTCGTGCTTTTTCCAAAGTAAAAGTCTGCTGGGTCTTCTATTGATTTTAAACTATAAAGGACTCATTTATATCACTTTCAGTGAAATCCTATACAAGTCTATTTCAAAGTAATATGTCTAAATTTGAAGCCAGCCCCACTGAGTTCAATGGAACTTGCTTCACAGTATGTGTATGTGTAGTTGGTTGTACTCTTAAGACCACAACACTATGCATGCTTACCCAGAGGTAAGCATGCACATACACCCGGACAACACCAGGTGTATTGCTGCCACATACACCTGGACACACCATTACTGGCCCCAACATCATCAAACATACCATCCCAGGACTATTTAATTACTCATCTTCTAATGTTGTGTATGCCATCAGATGCCAACAGTGCCCTTCAGCTCTCTATATTGGACAAACAGGCCAAACCCTATGCCAAAGAATAAATGGACATAGATCTGATATCAGGAATCACAAGACAGAGAAACCAGTAGGAGAACACTTCAAACTCCCAGGACATTCTATACAAGATCTCAAAGTAGCTGTCTTATTACAAAAGAATTTCAGAAATAGACTGGAAAGAGAAGTTGCTGAATTGCAACTTATTACCAGACTAAAAACCATGGAGAGACCTGGTCTGAACAAAGACATTGGATTCTTATCTCATTATACATGATAAAGCTATCTTTAGCCATCTCACCCCTTGCTTTTTCCTGTAAAACCAATTGCAGTCGTTAACAGTCGTCAACAGGTTTACCACACCTATCAGCCAATCACTCATTCCCACCACCCTTCTGAGTAATACCCCTCCCCACCCTCTCACTATATATAAGGGTCTGGTGACTTCTGTTTCAGTGTATCTGAAGAAGTGTGCATGCACACGAAAGCTCATGCCAATAACAAACTTAGCTGCTCTCTAAGGTGCTACTGGAAGGATTTTTTTTTTATTTTGTTTTACCCAGAGGTAAGTTCCAGTGAATTCAATGGGCAAGTGTTCATAGCATTGTAGCCTCGGAGAGCAATCCAAGGAAATTACACCAGCTTCAAGCCATCTACTCAACCCACCACTCTTATTTATGCCAACACCATCTTTCCACGTTGCACCCCAACACTTTAGCACCATACTTCCCTAGGCCCTTGCTCAGTTCTTTGTTCCTCACTTAAGTTTGGCAGTTGTTCAGTAAGAAGGGCAGAACAATCCTAACTACAGGATGCCGGCATAAATTATGCCAGCCTAAGTTCTCCCTATTCCAAACACTGTTCAGGAGCCTCTAGCAGGAGCTAGATCATCAGGGGGTTTGGGCTGGGTGTCCATCAATATGCGGATGATACCCAGCTCTACCACGCTTTCAAATCAGAACCAGTGAAGGCGGTGAAGGTCCTGTGTGAGTGTCTGGAGACGGTTGGAGGATGGATGGCAGCTAACAGATTGAGACTGAATCCTGACAAGACTGACAAGTACCGTACTGTTTTGGGGGGGACAGGAGGTGGGTGGGTATGGAGGACTCCCTGGTCCTGAATGGGGTAACTGTGCCCCTGAAGGACCAGGTGCGCAGCCTGGGACTCGCAGCTGTCCATGGAGGCACAGGTCAATTCTGTGTCCAGGGCAGCTGTTTACCAGCTCCATCTGGTAAGCAGGTTGAGACCCTACATGCTTGCAGACTGTCTTGCCAGAGTGGTGCATGCTCTGGTTATCTCTTGCTTGGACTTCTGCAATGCACTCTACGTGGGGCTACCTTTGAAGGTGACCAGGAAGCTACAACTAATCCAGAATGCGGCAGCTAGACTGGTGACTGGGAGCGGCCGCCGAGACCACATAACACCGGTCTTGAAAGACCTACATTGGATCCCAGTACGTTTCTGAGCACAATTCAAAGTGCTGGTGCTGACCTTTAAAGCCCTAAACGGCCTCAGTCCAGTATATCTGAAGGAGCGTCTCCACCCCCATCGTTCTACCTGGACACTGAGGTCCAGCACCGAGGGCCTTCTGGCGGTTCCCTTACTGTGAGAAGCCAAGTTACAGGGAACCAGGCAGAGAGGGCCTTCTCGGTCGTGGCACCCACCCTGTGGAACGCCCTCCCACCAGATGTCAAGGAGAACAACAACTACCAGACTTTTAGAAGACATCTTCTATTTAGGGAAACTTTTAATGTTTGATGCATTACTGTATTTTAATATTTTGTTGGAAGCCACCTAGAGTGGCTGGGGAAGCCTAGCCAGATGGGCAGGGTATAAATAATAAATTATTATTATTATTGTTATTGTTATTATTATAGGAGAACAACAACTACCAGACTTTTAGAAGACATCTTCTATTTAGGGAAACTTTTAATGTTTGATGCATTACTGTATTTTAATATTTTGTTGGAAGCCACCTAGAGTGGCTGGGGAAGCCTAGCCAGATGGGCAGGGTATAAATAATAAATTATTATTATTATTGTTATTGTTATTATTATTACTGACTGAGCTAGTAGGCGAGTTTGGACCTGAGTTTCAAAGACGGCCCTAGGCAATGTGACCGAGCTGAATGCAGTTTGAATCATATAATTGTAGAGTTGGAAGGCACTCTGCAAATCATCTAGTCCAACCCCCTGCAACTGGGATTGAACCTGCAACCTTGGCTTGGAATAAGAATAAGTACCTCCTTACCCCATCCTGCTCTTCCCCGGAGTGCCCTGTTTTGGGGTCTTATGCTGGCAGAAATTATGCTGTTTTAAATTATGCAGGTTGTGCCGCAGCTGAGCTGGGGTGAGGGACTTACATTGGTGTAAACCTGAGCCCTGCTCAGACAGAAAAGCCCAATCCAAACTCTCTTGTCTTGGCAGGTCTTGTCTTTGGATTGCAGCGTAAAGAAACACTGTTTTAGGGTAATTTGAACTTTGTTCCTTTGGTTTAGAAGGGTGGGAGAATCCAAGTGTTGCAAAGAGCAGTTTTATGAGTGTCTTTATTATTCTTAAAGGAACTGGAAGAGTGCCTGACCTCTGTGCAGAGGAACAAAAAGCACCAAAAACGAATTTTACCACTTCAAGCCAGAGAACCAGACATAAATGGGTTGTTCTTACTTTTCAGCACCACATCCCATATTTGTATTAATTATGGGATCGCTGTTGTGTCTGCCAGTGAACACTTGTGCACTGAGGGGATTTGTATTCGGAAGAAAAATGACAGAGTGAGCACCAAGTGGTTTCTCCTTCCAGAGCCAGTAAAACTATGAAAAACTTGGAAAAAGCAATAGAAAATAGAGTAAACTGCACAGCTGTGGTGTAAGAACTGAATGGGTGTAACCAGTCCATGGGAAAAAGAAGCACAAGGAAGGATATAGATCTCAAATATGGATGCTTCCCCAGTTTCTAATGAGAAAATGATGGGTAAAGAAGGAAAACATGGATTTCCTGGTGCTGCAAAGTGATATCATTATTTGATGGAAGGCAGCTCAGAAGTACTCGCTGTTCCAGTGATGGTGGGAGATGTTTTTGTCCATCTTTAGAAATGGAAGTCTGTTGAGGAATTTTCTTTTACTCATCCACTAACTTTTCCACACTAGAAAATATTTCTATTTAAAGATTTCAATCACAGAAAAAGAGAGAGCATAGAACGGAATTGGGTCATTCAGCTTGAGGGTGGCTGGAGAGATTTTCTAAGTTTGAAAGTACTGCAACAAGCTTAATGTGGGGGGAATCTAAATTCGGCATTGGCATATGTGAGAATATTCTGTTCCAGCTCAGTCTGCCCTCAACCAGTCCCCACCTGGCTGCCTTTTTACTTACAACCAATCCAGGGGTAGCACTGTGGGCCAGCTTCCTCCTCCTTAGTTTCAGTGTTACCACAGTGTGGAGGAGGATAGGGATGAAACTAGAATTTATTGGCTCTGGCGCCACCTACTGTTGAGCTCCCTGCCTGCCACCCTACCAGTCCCAAGGAACACCAGACACCATGGCCCTGAAGTGTTATGTACATTAGAACAGGCATAGGGAAACCAAGACCCTCCAGATGTTGCTGGTCTCCAACTTCCAGCAGTTCTAGCACAGCTAGTTGGCAGGGATATCCAGCAATATTTAAAAGACAACATAGATGCACCTGAAGGAGCGTCTCCACCCCCATTGCACAGCCCGGACACTGAGGTCCAGCGCTGAGGGCCTTCTGGCGGTTCCCTCATTGTGAGAAGTGAGGCTACAGGGAACCAGGCAGAGGGCCTTCTCGGTAGTGGCGCCCGCCCTGTGGAACTATCTGACTTTTAGAAGACATCTGAAGGCAGCCCTGTGTCAGGAAGTTTTTAGTGTTTGATGTTTTATCACATTATTATTATTATTATTATTACTACAGTGGTACCTCGGGTTACATACGCTTCAGGTTACAGACTCCGCTAACCCATAAATAGTATCTCGGGTTAAGAACTTTGCTTCAGGATGAGAACAGAAATCGTGCTCTGGTGCGGCGGCAGCAGGAGGCCCCATTAGCTAAAGTGGTGCTTCAGGTTAAGAACAGTTTCAGGTTAAGAACGGACCTCCGGAACGAATTAAGTTCTTAACCCGAGGTACCACTATATTATTATTATTATTCTATTGGGAGCTGTCCAGAGTGGCTGGGGAAGCCTAGGAGATGGGCGGGGTATAAATAATAAATTATTATTATTATTATTATAGAAACAAAACAAGCAAAAGTGGCCAGCAGCCTAGTGATTCAGGGAAGACAAAGTGCTTTTGCGTCCTTTTACTCCTTCCTCCCCTGCTCTATGATTCATTATAGTCCCGTCCCTTCCAAGGACTTTTAATGCAGGACGATTCAAGAATGAGCTTTCTACTTCCATACCGAAATGCTTTGGCTTGGGAGAGTTAGCATCTTGTTGTGATTACAATCAACAATAGCATTTAATAATGCCTCAGTGGGTCATTAAGAACATTGATATGCCAAGTTTCCGACACCACTTAAAACAAATCTGCAGTAGGGTGATTCCATGTGTAGAAATTATGTCCCCAGTAAGGATGAAGGGAAGGATTAGAGGGTGTGTGTGAAATAATGTCCTACAGCCACCCCAGCTGCTGCCTCCTCTCTGTTTTTCTTTATGTTGAGCAATGTAGTAAACACGTAAAGTCATGAATGGGAATTTCCAAGGGCTCTTTAGGTTACTGCTGCCAGTACTTGTGGCTCCTGATGAACACAATTTCATGAAAAAGTTGTACATGTCAATAGCACTGCACCACAAGCTTATGCAATAGCTCTTGGACTCAAGACATGTTAGCAAATGCACATGGGGCATGTGCGCACATGCTAATGGAATGACTACCCTCCCCAATTATGTGGCACTATTCAGGGTTATGCAGAGCAAGTTTAGCAGAAGCAAAACTGCTTTCAACAGATACATTTGAAAGCAAATCCAACTGATATAAAGGGCAACTGTGTGCAAGGAGTTAAGTCCCACTGTGCATTAAGTTGTGTTCATCAGGTCTTACTGCCAGGTAAGCATGGTTCCTGATTAGGTCTGGAGCCTGAAAATGGAATCTCTCTCCTAAATGCTGGTTCCTTCAAGAAAGAAAGTTGTGTATTAATCCCCCTTTTCTAAACAGCGGCAGTGGCTTGCAGTTCATTTTGAGGCCCAGTCATAGGTAGTGTTTAAAGCTATAAACACCTTGGCCCCCAAATATCTGAGAGACAGCCTCCTTCCCTACAGACAGCAGACAGGCCACACTTCGTAGTTCTGCCACCCTCAGAAGTTTGAGGTGGGCCAGGTGGGCCAGTAGAGGGCATCCTCTGTGGCAGCACCTATGTTGTGGAATTCCCTCCTCACAGAGGTGTGCCTGGCACCTTCACTATACAGTGGTACCTCGGGTTAAGTACTTAATTCGTTCCGGAGGTCTGTTCTTAACCTGAAACTGTTCTTAACTTGAAACACCACTTTAGCTAATGGGGCCTCCTGCTGCTGTTGCGCCGCCGGGGCCCGATTTCTGTTCTTATCCTGAAGCAAAGTTCTTAACCTGAAGCACTATTTCTGGCTTAGTGGAGTGTGTAACCTGAAGCGTATGTAACCTGAAGCCAAGGTACCACTGTATAGTACATGGCATATGCTGAAGAAACCTGGCCATTAACACCTGAGATGTGGGTCGTTTTTTCTGGACCCGACCTACTCCCGTGACTGCAATTTAGCTTTGTTTAATGCTGAATTTTAAGTTGTTGCAATAAATTTATGAACGTAAAATACAGTGGTACCTCAGGTTACAGATGCTTCAGGTTACAGACTCTACTAACCCAGAAATAGTACATCGGGTTAAGTACTTTGCTTCAGGATGAGAACAGAAATCCTGTGGCAGCAGTGCAGCGGCAGCGGGAGGCCCCATTAGCGAAAGTGGTACCTCAGGTTAAGAACAGTTTCAGGTTAAGAATGGCCCTCCAGAACAAATTAAGTTCTTAACCTGAGGTACCACTGTAACAACAACAATAATGTCTCAGTTTACCCATTCCTTTTCTCTCCTCCTTTATTCCTCTACATTTTCAGTTTACCTTCATTTAGCAAACAGCATTAGACATCCCATATCCCCTATGGTGAGCAGAGGCACTTTGGGAAGAGGGTGAAGGAAGCCTCCTCACAAATCACAGAATCACAGAGTTGGAAGGGACCACAAGGGTCATCTCGTCCAACCCTCTGCAGTGCAGGAATCCTTTCTTTTTCCTGTCCTGCTGTGGCTCCGTATGATGCACTTGTGATAACCTCATCTCCAGTACCTCTAACCATCCACAAGACTGTACAGTGGTACCTCAGGTTAAGTACTTAATTCGTTCCGGAGGTCCGTACTTAACCTGAAACTGTTCTTAACCCGAAGCACCACTTTAGTTAATGGGGCCTCTTGCTGCTGCTGCGCCGCCGGAGCACGATTTCTGTTCTCATCCTGAAGCAAAGTTCTTAACCTGAAGCACTATTTCTGGGTTAGCAGAGTCTGTAACCTGAAGCGTATGTAACCTGAGGTACCACTGTAGTCTGCTTGATTGGCAAGTGGTTTGATTCACATTGATACCAGATATATTTCTGTAACATTGAAGGGTGCTGTATGTGTGCTCGTGTGCACATGTGCACGCACACGCGCGCACACACGCATGTGCATGCCCACATGTGTAGGAAGTTGTGGATGACAGAGATCATGTTGGGCTGGAGCCAACACTCCTTAGGATCCCTGACCTCCAGAAGCCTAGTGGTGCATGGCCCCTCTTCCTTTCCTGAGCTCGGCACATGGTAGGAGGTTGGATTTTGGACTGAACAGATTTCCCACAACGATGCAAGTAAAAGACAGCTGAGTGTGCTAAGTCAGTATCAGCAACTAGGATGGTTTCGCTTGGTCAGAAGAGAGCGAAGTCATAAACTCTGCTATATCGGGCCAAAGGCCCCTCTAATCCTGCATTCTGTTCCCACAGTCACCAACCAGATGCCTATGGGAAGTTCACAAGCAGGAAATGAGTGCAACAGACGCTCATCATTCCCAGGAACTGCCATTCACAGACATATTGCTTCCTTCTATCAGCTGGGCTTTGGCCCTGCCATGATAGCTTAGGTGCAAGCTCTTGCGAATTCTTTTGCCAACACTGAATAGAGCCCTAAGGTCACCACAAGATTCATTTTTCACTATATTTGGAATAGCAGTCTAGCTTGATGGGCGACGTATAGAGGCAGGCAGATCTGCTCTCTGCTCTTTCTATTTAAATCCATAAAATTGTCATAATGGCTCCGGCATTAACTGTCTCTCGGTTGATATAAAAATAGATATGCAAACTGGGAGCTCATTTTCTTTCCAGCAAAGAAAAGAAACAATTTGAGTTGTTGAGTTGATGTGTAAGTTGCTAGAGTGAGAAAGCAAATTCCTTCTCTTGTGGGACTGAATGTACAAGAATGTTGATTGAGCCTTGTGAAACGTCTAAGCTTGCTCAAGATTGCTTATTTTGTCACTGCAGGGGGGGAAAAATACCGTTGCTATATACTCAAAGACTCTCTTCCCACAACACTCCCTTCCTCACATAGCCGTGCTCCCCCTACTTCTAAAACACCACATGAACAGTCATGGAGAATCCCAATATTAAAAAAAAGAAATCACTTCAAATCTCACTTCCCAATTTTGATCCAAAAGTTTTCACTTGAGGTGTAAAAGGTAAAGGACCCCTGGATGGTTAAGTCCAGTCAAAGACAACTATGGAGTGTGGCGCTCATCTCGCTTTCAGGCTGAGGGAGCGAGCATTTGTCCAGAGACAGCTTTCTAGGTCATGTGGCCAGCATGACTAAACTGCTTCTGGCGCAACAGAACACCGTGACAGAAGCCAGAGCTCACGGAAATGCCGTTTACCTTCCCACTTATCTACTTGCACTGGTATGCTTTCGAACTGCTAGGTTGGCAGGAACTGGGACAAAGCAACCAGAGCTCACCCTGTCATGGGGATTCGAACCACTGACCTTCTGATCAGCAAGCCCAGGAGGCTCAGTGGTTTAGAGCACAGCGCCACCTATGTCCCTTGAGGTGTAGGCCACCTTCACATGCTGCTGAACATGCAGGTAGTGGCAGGGACTGGGAAAGGCTGGACACATCATCGGGAGGCTATGCCCAGAGTGGCTGGGGAAACTCAGCCAGATGGGCGGGGTATAAATAATTAATAATAATAATAATATATGCAGCATGACTCTGCAACACGTCATGGGATAAGCGCCCTTCTCTGGCATTACAACTAATGTCAGTTAAGCTTCATTGGCTCCAATTATGCTGACTGAACTGTTTGTCCACTGTGATGCCTTCAGTAGCATTACAGAAACAATCCGTAACCATTGGCTGCTGGCAACATCACAAGCTGTGGTGATGTCATAATAGTGCACCCAGAAGCAGGGGGAAAATATTACACATTTTGGAAGGTTCTTCTTCTTCTTCTTCCACACCCCAGTTGATTTGCAGCTTCTAAGAACTGCCTGAGGGCAATTGGGGAAGCCCAACGAAGGTAAATGGGGAAAGTAAAAAATTAAAAAACTTCCAAATTCCTGACAAGTTGTTGTCAAAGGCAGTATCGTAGCCAATGAGATTAATAGGGGGGCACTCAAAAACCCATGGTGGACCATATGTAGCCCACCCTGACTTAGAGAAAGCTGGGCTGTAGTTATAAATGAGACGTGCGGTGGAATTTCAGAAGATACACTCTCAACATTTCAACTATACTTTACGCAGTGGGACAATAAAAATCCCAAGCATTTCCTCCTATACGTTTTTCTGATTTAAGTGAAAAATTCGTATGTCTATCAATCCAGTACATATACAAATATCTGCCCCCATAAACAAGAGAAATGTGTTATTTTAATAGGTTGCTGTTATAGGCTCCATTTTCCTCCCATTTCGCATGCTGGGCAACTTTATCACCCTCTGCATTTGTTATCTGCAGATGAGTCAACGATTAAGGGAAATGTCATATCTCACGCTGAATCATAAAAGTGTATCAAGGCTATTAAATTTGAACTGCAGTCTTATGCACTCCATGTGAGGTTGTGCTGAATCATAGCGGGATGAAAGATAAAGAATGTGGCAAAGGAAAAAGATTTCTTTGCAGTTTCTGGCAATAAAGCCTCTCTCTCACACACACAAAGAATAACTGGCTATAGATGACCACAGGAAGACTTGACAGAGAGCACAGAGCTTTTCAGTTGTGCACATCACATCACAATTTGATTTCTGAACTTTAAATGAGGACTAATCTATCTGCATCATATTATGCCTGTGGCACTGAAGCCAATAAACTGAGTGCCTGTGTGTTCGCAAATACACCAGCTGCTTATGGAACACAGTATATGTAGTATTGCTTCTCTGAGGGAAGGGGAAATCATCAGTTTAGCTGGGATTATAACAATGAACAGGTCCTAGAGATAGGGTAGCTTCATGAGGCAGCCTGAGATTGGAAAGAGGTCCGGCAGGTCAGGAAGCTAAGGGAGCATGGTGTCCAAAGGCAAAGTAGTTGAAGATGAGCAAAATGGACTGAGGAACAAGAGACTGAAGGATGTCAGTGAAAAAGAAAGTCTGAGAGGAGGAGCAAAGAAATGAGGAATTTGGAGCAGTCCACATAGTCCTTGAACTCATCATCCATTTTTTTTTAAAGGCTTCAACTATCATTGATATGTTATAAACAGAGGTGTATTGGTACCTTTGAAATGCTCCAGAAGAATTGGAATTTATTTACTTAATCATTAGCATTTCTAAGTAGTGAACTGCTTCAAAAAGCTGTCAATTGGCCTATCTCCAGCGCTATGCCCACAATTAAAAACAATTAAAAGTCTGCATCCAGATAATCCAAATTCTGTACCAAGAGAAGCTGGATTCGGTAAACTGCTTGACTTCTACCATCTATGTGAATGATACAAATGTTCATAGTTTCCTCTTATTTTGTATAAGTTCTTCTTGTTTTGCTGGCCATGGAATCAGTCAGCCATCTGGCTTCAGGTTTTTCAGTAAACCCATGCACTTTCAAGTATATATATTTGAAACAATAAGGTCTAGAAACTTGGCGTTCTAATAAAACAATGTTGAACTTTTCAGGAAGCATTCCATGCCCACATCATTAGGTGGTTTGGGAGTTTCTCCATTTGGGGTTCCCCTGCAAAAACATAACAAAAACCCTTTACACTTCTGAAAACTTTGAAGTTTTCCCAAGGACCAAAACTGCGCTATCCATTCTCAAGAGGGATGTAAGGAACCATTCTCAGAAAATAAATTTGCTCTTATTATATAGCGGGCTTTCTCGGCCTTTGGTCCTCAGATGTTGTTGGACTGCAACTTCCATCATTCCTGACCATTGACCATTTTGGCTGGAGACTCAAGGTTGGGAAAGTCTGCTATTTAATAACACTCTGGATCTCTCAGTCCTTTAGATAAGCCTCATGTCTCCTGGCTTTATCTTTCTCACCCCCTAAGTGGTTTTAAATGCAGTTTAACTCCTCTATCTCATACAGTTTCCTTCCTATTAATCATTGCTGGCCAAAGTGTTATAGGTAGCCCCAAAATTTCTTTGTCTTTTGCAATTAGGATATATGATCCTAATGTGCTTCATGTCAGTTTATTGGCAAAGATGTAACATACTTCCCTGAATGGACACTCCTTCACAAAAGCTAGTGGGAGGGAAAATTCCAAACAAAAAAACCAACTGACTTATTTTCTGATTCTTGTACATTAATGCGAATAGTGTGTAATTCTAGTGAAAAGACTTGAGCTAAACCTGTATGAAACCTATAGGAAGCTTTGTGACTTCTGGATTCTTTCACGGTGTGTAATCCACCAGACACATTAGGAAAACCCACTGAGTAAATTCAGAACTTTTGCTTGCTTCAGGAAGGTGAAGCTTGGACAAAATGTCAACAAATGGTAAGAGATCACGCTTACAACACTGAGTCCCCCCTTGAGGAACCTTTTCCTATTCAGCAACTGTTTTGCCTGTTGGTCTTTGATTACCCATGCAGGTTCCATACAAGTACGACAAGTAACATTTATGGAACTTGGTTATCTAGATACAGCTTGCTTGGAGGGATTTAATGCAGACCTGCAGAAGACCTCTAGGGAATAGAGGGAATCTGGAGTTCGTTACTATATTGCACTAATGGACACAATTGCTAATATTGCTAATTCACTGACACAATGCAGCACATGGGGACTTTGATATATGTAACATTTTCAATATATTCCTCAGTACAGTTGATTAAGGGACGCGGGTGGCACTGTGGGTTAAACCACAGAGCCTAGGACTTGCTGATCAGAAGGTCGGCGGTTCGAATCCCCGCAACGGGGTGAGCTCCCGTTGCTCGGTCCCTGCTCCTGCCAACCTAGCAGTTCGAAAGCACGTCAAAGTGCAAGTAGATAAATAGGCACCACTCCGGCGGGAAGGTAAACGGCGTTTCCGTGTGCTGCTCTGGTTCGCCAGAAGCGGCTTAGTCATGCTGGCCACATGACCCGGAAGCTGTACTCCGGCTCCCTCAGCCAATAAAGCGAGATGAGCGCCACAACCTCTGAGTTGGTCACGACTGGACCTAGTGGTCAGGGGTCCCTTTACCTTTACCTTTACAGTTGATTAAAATATTCCCAGCCCAAAGGGTTGTATGCAATCGTGTCTTTGCCAGGAATTTTTTTTTTTTTGGGGGGGGTAGAATTCAATTTTGCTCACATTTTAATTTGCATTTCTCAAAAGATGAACAGCAAAGCAGCTATCCTTCATCATTCATACTTCTCCAAATTTTCTATTGCAGCTCTCCAAACAAAAGATGCATACACAGCTACATATGCTAGGGAAAGTGTGGTAAAAATGCATAAGCGGAAATAATATATTAAAAATGCATGATTTTTGATAAAACTGCTTGCCAAAATGTATATATCTGAGAAATGTGCACTGAGTTATGGCCCTTCTCCTATTTTCATTTTTTTAAAAAATGAAATAGATTTTTCTACTTGGGGGCCATGCATGTTTATTATTATAATATTTTATTTTAAATTATGCTGCTGTTCCACTAAAAAATGAAAATGGCTTACAATAAGTAAACGAAAAGGCATATTGTGCAAAAAATGGCGGCAGGCAGACAGCAGTAAAACTTAAGCTAAAGGTAAGTAAAAGATGTTGGAGAGCCTTAAAACTAAAACCAGAGCCTAGTTTCATCAAAACAGGAATAGAGTCAGCTTTTCCAAACCTTTTAGAATAGAAAGATCTTAACCTGCCATCAGAAAGCTTTGATGTCTGGTGAGGACACTTCATAAATTAGGTGGCACCACCACTGGGCAGACCCTGTCTCCCTGGTTGCTGCTGCATGCCTGACCTCTGCTTGTGCAGGCACCCAGAAGGCATTTGAAACAGAGAGGCCCCTTCCGTAGCAACAGATCACTATTTTCTCTCTCTATCTCTCTTCCCCCCCTCTTCTGCTTACTTCTTTGACCATAATGAGGGATTCATTAACAAGCCTCCATGCTGATTCTTTGGCTCATAATCTTTTCCTTTCTCTCTCTCTCTCTCTGCTTCAGGTAATTCCTAACATTTTTACTTTTGAATATCTCCTTTTTTGAAGTGTTATATTTTAGTAAGGTCCCCCCAACGGTGAGGCTGTCCAATATAATTATTCTAAGGTCGTAGTTAACAAGAAGTCGAAGCGCTGCACTTAAATCCTTAAAGCGAGATGGAGACCTGGAAAGAAGAGGCCTTTTACAAATAAAAAAGTCAATCTAATGGCCAGTTCTGTACCTGAGAAAACCCTCGTCTCGTCACTTCAGAATCTATCAGCGTATAAGGCCTGTTCTATTTCCTCAGACACCATCGGTCTTAAAATCAGATTACAAATTACATAATTTTTGCCCTCTTAAGCAAGCACAATTTACAGTAAATTGTACAATGGAAAGCCTGACAGATCTTTAACTAAACTGTTGAGAATGTAATGCTGTAATTTGAAGGTTCCTTGGCTTTGTAAACATGCCTGTTATATCTCAGATTCGGGGGGGGGGGAGAGGGAGAGAGAGCTGGCATCCTTCTTGAAGTGCAGTGTGTGAACACTATTTGCATGAATAAATATAATGTACTTACAGCACAGTTCCGTGCATGTTTACTGAGAAGTATGTTCCACAGAATTCCATGGCGTTTAACTTGGAAGCAAGTCCCACTGCATTCAATGCGATTTTAAAAAGTTAGTGCCACCAGGCATTAAAGGCTCTATGGCTAAGCATGGCATACTCTAGCATGCTACACACAACATTTGAAAGGGAGCTAAAGCTAAAGCATTTATCTCTTATTCCATCCATCCATCCATCTATCTATCTCCTTCAAGCAGTTCAGAGCAGCATAAATATTCCCCTCTTTCACCCTCACAACAGCCTTGTGAGGTAGGTTAGGGTCGCACCCAGTAAGCTTTGTGGCACAGCAGACACTTAAGACTTGGGGTTCATCCACACTTCTGAGGAGGGAGACCTCCTTTCCTTGTCCCACCCTCATAACTTCTCTGACTCCCCTCCCAACTTTACTTAGCAAACAGGGACTTGCCGGTGCTGGCCCAATGAAATGGCTATGCAACAGCTAGCGGGTGGGGCAGGTAAAAGAGAGGACACTAGGCAGGCTGCAGCATTGAGGCCCACCAAAAACAATCCAAAAGTCCACAGCGAGACACTTATGGAGACAATGCCTGAAGAAATCTCATAAGCCAGAAGGCTGTCGAGAAGGATTTCCAGTGGACAGAGCAATGATCACTACCATGCATAGCTCTCATTGCTAGTTGGAAAAGACACTAATTTGTTCAAAATGATTTTGAACACACACACACACACATATATATATGTGGTTGTGCAATTTGGAAGTGAATTACAAAGAATTAAAAGAAAAGAAAAACCAGAAGATCCATTATAATGAAATGACTGTATTAACTCACTTTACTCACCCGTCAGCCAGTGTTTATAGAAGAAGATACAGTTATTTGAAAAACAGCTTTTAGTGCTGTATCTGTACCTGCTTTATGGAACATTTGTGTTACAGCAAAATATCAATTACTCCATACACTGCAGCTGATAAGTGCTTTTATAGCTGCCCCCATTACTGAAACCCACAGCTTGAAGTTAAAAACCCACTCCCAGTCTAGCCCCAGTTTCAGCAAAAAGGAACTCTGCTCTACTTTTGAGGAAAGTTTGGGATATCGAAGAGTGTGATCCAACACAGAAAGAGCCAGTTTCACCCATCCCTAGTCACAACTGACTTAAATCCTGTCCCATTATTTCAATGGGATTAAAGCACGACTTAATTTCTCTGGATTAAGTTTGAAGCATTTTAGTTATCAAGTGTTGTGTGTGTAGAATGGAGCTTTGATCAACCTCTTTCCCAAAGCTCCAGTATAACTTGTTTGTGGGCTACACTGTTAGCACAAAATTCTCCAGTGAAGATAAGCAAACAGAATACCAAATTTGCTTTATCGCTACAAATATGTCTCAGCTGGAATTATTTTCTAGATAGAGTAATGAAGTAGATCATCCAAAAACATTCAAGAGGTTGGGGGCATCTTGCAGATAAGTTTATTTGAACCATAGAATTATAGTTGGAAGAGACCACAAGACTCATCTAGTCCCACCTCCTGCAATGCAGGAATTTGTTGACCAATGTGGGGCTCAACTCTAGACCCTGATATTAAGAGTCTCATGCTCTACCAAATGAGCTACCTACTAGCATAATGCAGGAGGCTACCGATTGGAGCTCTTGATGTTTAAATAAATAAATAATAATAATAATTTTATTATTTATACATTGCCCATCGGGCTGGGCTTCCCCAGCCACTCTGGGCAACATCCAACAAAATATTAAAATACAGTAATGCATCAAACATTAAATGCTTCCCTAAACAGGGCTGCCTTCAGGTGTCTTCTAAAAGTATGGTGGTGGTTGTTCTCTTTGACATCTGGTGGGAGGGCGTTCCACAGGGCGGGTGCCACTACCGAGAAGGCCCTCTGCCTGGTTCCCTGTAACTTGGCTCCTCACAGCGAGGGAACCGCCAGAAGGCCCTTGGCGCTGGACCTCTGTGTCCAGGTGGAACGATGGGAGTGGAGATGCTCCTTCAGATAAAGCCCTTCCATGAAAAATCCTAGCAATTATATGTAAGTCTAACAAGAAGTAAGTTTCCATAAAGTTCAAGAAAGCGGGTATAGGATTGCAGCCTGTAGAACTTCAGTTTATGTGGATTCATTTACCCCCGTTCACATTTTGCCACTGACAATTAAGTCCTTTGCAATTTGTCACTTTGTAATCACAGTGACATGGACTATGAAACTATAGTTATTTATATATTGAGATAGTGAATGACTAAAGGCAAATTACAAATGGCAATAATGAGTTTTAACAAATAATGAGTTTTAACAAATGATCAACCACAGATTACACATAAATTTGTGTTGATGAATAGTGAAGATGTGTAGGTTTATAATCACTTTCCTGTGAGATTTATTGAACGGATGCAGTGTTTCTTCAATTAATCCTCATTCTTAGAAATGAATAAACTGTGTAAGTGCAGAAATTGTGGGGAATTATTTGCATACGCCAGTTTTAAGGCGAGGTGTCTGGAATTCCCTTGTTTTCTCAGGTTTTCAGGTTGGGTTGTACATTTGAAATTCAGTCTTGCTTTTTCTGTTGTTGCTAGAGGGATACTCAGATTTACTTACTGTATACCGCTTTACATTTTAACAGAAATATCTAAAAGTGGATATATCAACTAGTCAACGTGTGGGCATCAGAAGCAAAATTAGCCCTGGGCACAGTGTTGGAGGCAGAGACAGCAGTATGACCCCACAAGGAACTGTCTTGTGCACAAGTAACACATGAAATGGGCTTTACAGTTCTATATATAAAAACAGTTCCTGTCCTATGTGCAGGAGTCAGCAAACTTTTTCAGCAGGGGGCCAGTCCACTGTCCCTCAAACCTTGTGGGGGGCCAGACTATATTTTGGGAAAAAATATGAATGAATTCCTATGCCCCACAAATAACCCAGAGATGCATTTTAAATAAAAGCACACGTTCTACTCATGTAAAAACATGCTGATTCCCGGACCGTCCGGATTTAGAAGGCGACTGGGCCGGATCCGGCCCCCGGGCTTTAGTTTGCCTACCCATGTATGTGAGCAACAGAGGATATACCTTAGAATCCTAGGAATTTTAGAAGCAGGTGAACGAGTGCTGAAGGACTTCCTAGAGAACCGGAAGTTTGAAAACCAAAGGAGTGTTAATGCTTTTCCCTTTTCCTGCTCCGTGGCTAAAAGCTCATTGTCATAATCTTTTATTCCACCTGACTGGGCAATCAGTGAATCATTTGACCAATGATTCAGTCCAATTCCCTTTTCTCCTCTCAAGCAAATATGATGATTTATATACAACAGGAACCATGGATATGGACCTTTCCCTTCCTCACAACTCTATGCCTTCATGGCTAATTATGTTTCTTGCACTTAATGCATGGGGGCATACACAAAATCTGGAGGTATATTTTCCTGTCTTGTTTTCTTCAATACCTTCCAGAACCATGGGGAGGCATTCCCTTTACAATTGCAGGATGGCTCATTTAGCATTTTCTAACTGTGTCCCGCTCTCTCCTTTACCCAGCCAAACGAGTCTACAGGATGGAACCATGCTTTCCAAACAACATATATTGTGATCCCTTTGCTGATCCTAAGTAGCACACATCATCCCTGGGCAGCTACTAGGAGCCTAGCAGGGCCCACTGATGCTTGCCTAGGTCCCCCTTTAAATGTGTTTTTCTTGTGCTTCAGCCAAGTGGCTGGGTTTGGGCTTTTAAATTTCTCACAATGCCCCAAAGGTGCAATACCAGGAACACTGTGGGAAATTTAACAAGTTGGCTTCCTGACATCCAGCATGGATCAGAGCACTGTGGCTGTGAACAGAACAGCCCAGCATGGATCACTTGCAAATGAGGGGGGTCCCCTGAGGAAATTTTGTTGGAGACTCACTCATACCTGCAGCCAGTTCTGCCTAGGCTCTTGCACCAGATAATCCTAGGCCTCATCCGCACCATACATTTCAAGCAGTATCATACCATTTTGAACAGTCATGACAATTCTCAGAGCAGCTGAACAATCAATTCCTCTTCCCATGGAACTCTGGGAAGTGTAGCTCCTTGAAGGGAAAGGAAGTCTCCTAAGAACTTTCAGCACCTTTTACAAATTACAGTCATACCTCATGATACGTCCGCTTCATGTTACTTTCTTTCAGGTTACGTCCCGCGGTGTCCCGGAAGTACCGGAAAGGGTTACTTCCGGGTTTTGCTGCTCGCGCAGAAGCACAAAATGACGTCACGCACATGCGCAGAAGCGGCGAATCGCAACCCGCGTGTGCGCAGACGCGCCACTGTGGGTTGCGCTCTTTTCATGTTGCGAACAGGCCTCCGGAACACATCCCATTCGCAACCAGAGGTACCACTGTACAGTCTCCAGAATTCTTTATGGGGAATCTATGACTGTTAAGGTAGCATAAGAAAGCTTTAAATCTAAAGTGCAGGTAAGGCCCACCCCAGCTTTTTCCAAGTTTCTCTCTAAGCTTTATATTTCACATGTGAAGTGACTAAATTGTGAAAGACCAGGATTGGTCTAACCACACTCCCATGATTTCACTAGACCAACATAAACTAATCCCAACACTCATGCCAAACTCATGGCCAGCAGCAGTTGGGCAACCCCAAACCACATGAAGGTTCAGAAAGGTCAGCAGCCTCTTCTTGTTTCCTTTGACAGGATGTGGAGGTTGTCCACCTGGAACATCTGTGGTCCAGGCAGTCAATTAATTACTGCTTCTGCCTTTGCACCTGTACTAGAGTACCCCAGACTAGTATCTGTCCTCCCTTGAGATGTTGTTGCTGCCCATATATTAACAAGGGGTGGGATCAGTGTGGTAGAGGACCTCACCTCTACAGCATGGGCACAGGTGGTGGATGCATCTAACATAGTGTCTTCAGTTTTCAAAACATGCATATAGCTATCTCTCTCCCCCCCCCCCAGCACTCTCATAGGTCCACAGTTTGGGAATCACTGCTGTTGTGCACACTTCTGCGATTTAGTCCCTGTCCACAGGCTCACAATCTAATATATATGATACAAATGGATAAGAGAGTGAAGAAAACAACATGTCCCTCTCCGACACTAATCTAAGGAAATTATGGAAATGCCACTCTTCCTGAAAGGCAAGTGTTAAGTGGTATGCGAAGGAAAAATAACAAATGATCCCTGCTGCAGAAAATGGCAACAGCTAACTCCTAAATTCATCCCTTCAGTAGCATGACTATCTGCATGGACAAAGTGTTATGCTTGCCAGTGTTCTTGCTGTTTGTGTGATGATTTAGACAGGCACTCTGGCCTCATGGAATGCATTTATATGGCTCTTTCTGTTCCGAGGGCATGTAGAATTTAGAACAGAAAACTCTGAAAAGTTTTGCCAGTATGTTATAGTACACTGATGATTGGATGAACGTACATCCCAGCTCACCAATGAAAGCATAAATGGGCCCCAAAAATATGTCTTTGTTTTACAGCTTTCTATCCCACTTTTTGACCACAGAAATACTCCCATTACTTGGTTTTAATTGCCCATTGGAAAAATAATAATGCAGAGATTTGCCACACACTGTAGTTGTAATGATGAACTGAAGTGAGGGTGGGGCTGTAAAGTGCATGGAATAAGAAGTAATTAATATAATGTATTGCAGAACTTGGGTGTGCTATCCAATTTTCATAAAAATCTGGGGAAATACAACTTTCCCTAAGATTTTCTTCATGGAAATCAGACCTTTACCCAAAAAGTTAATCCAGACTTCTTTGGACGTACTATTTACCTGTGCTGAATTCAATTAATGAGTGAGGTGAAAATATAGCAAAAAACCTAAATAAATCCGTACTGTGAATAAGTCACCAATGAAATTAACATTTGCCCACCCTTTTTACATCAGAATGATCTTCACAACCAAGCTAATGCAACCCATGAATGGTGATTGATTTTCTCCTGCTTTGTGTTTCCATAGAATTAAGTGGAAAGGTAATCCTGCTTGCCCTTTTAATTTGCAAACCTGGGAGGTGTAAAGGTGATCAGATGCAGAGAATAGGCTCCTGGGCGGTAAAGAGCAAAGAGTCATTGCAGCTGACAAACTCTGTCATGATTCGCTTCTGTACACATCACACTGGAATTGTTAAATCGCAATCTGAATCTTGACTGAGTAAACAATCCCTTAACATGCTTTCGAAATAATTGCTCACTGAAAATCTACGTTCTCGTGACACTTCCCAGTGCTTTAAATTCAGTAACTCCAAAGCCACAGAGACAATTGCTTGATGTTTTTACACCATGATATAAAAAGACTGCCCTAGCTGTATCTCCAAGAGCTGCTCTAAGAGCCACCGGAGACCAAAGAATAAGATTTGCTGTGTTTAAGAGTGGCCCTGAAGAAGATGCTAATTGGAGATGCCTTGAATCTAATATAGCACACTTCTGCCTATCCAGAGATTTTTTCTCTGTTTCCTATACTGGCGCTTTCTGACTTTCTCTTTCGTCTTCCTCCTCCATTTAAAGCCCTATAAGGATTGGGACCTGGATATCCAAAAGTCCTTCAACTCACACAAAAAACCATCTGCATCAGTGTTAGAAACTCAGACGTATAAGCTAGGTGCCAAATGCTAGGTAAACCAAGGTTATAGTCACCAAAATGGAATGTCTAGCTGCCATTTTGACTGCTCTAATGTAATATTTTTCAAACAACGGACTGACTGCGATTGATTCTCAGTTAAACATCCGGCTAGTTCAGATGACAACCTTGAGCTGGGTTAAGAGCTTTGAGAATTTAAAGAAGAAAAGCCACTTGAGTAAGTGAAGACAAGCTACACCAATTAACTGTAACTTTGTTCACTGCTCCTGCTCAGGCGGCCCAGAAAAAGCATTCTGATTCCTGAAATTCATCCCAATTGTGCAGATAAAATATAACTGATAGAATTCTACAGGATGGGGTATTAGTGTGTGAAACTAATGATCCCCAGGCACGCACCTCCAGATGGAGGAGATGTCAGGTAACATCCTTGCACCCAGGCATCTTCACTTGGTCTCAAGTAGTCAATGGCCATGTGCAAAATGCACCTGGCAACTGGCTAATTTCGAATACTGGTTCCCGGTTATTCCTTTCCAGCCGTGAATGGAAGTTACAATCACCAGATGTGATAGGATGGTCCTATTCACCTTTCGAAATGGTTTGCAGAGGTTTGGCAACTTCTGGATCTGGCTTGGGGGCCAGATCCACTTCTTCACCCTGCAATACAGCAAATGCACTTGCCACATGCCCCCAATGCTATGGCCTAATCCAGGCATGTCCAAAGTCCGTTTGGGGGGGCCTAATCCGGCCCCTGTGGCAGTTCATTTCCTGGTGTAAAATCCTAAAAAAACCTCAACTCCAACCCTAAAAACCTCAACTCCAACCCTAAAATCACTTCAATCCTAAAAAAAAAGGTCAACAACTTTGGTCAGCCCTTTGGTCAGCTTGCACAGCTCTTCACTTCATCAAATCTGGCCCTCTGGATCCACTGGGCTGTCATAAATTCCATCAATGCCAACAGGATTTTTGGCAAGATCGAACACAGAATGTGGGACACTCTTCCAAGACAAACCATACTGATTATTGCTTGACTTTTATACACCAGCGTGTATTATCAGGGATCACCTTCATTTCAGCCAGTCGGATTTCTTAAAGTGGAAAGAAAAATGGGTCAGACGCTTATTCAAATCCCCAACCTTCTGAAAAGACTCTCTCCCTTTCAGTAAAGGAGCTCAGGAGGTACATAATGGTCTTAGTGCTATGGGTGGTAATCGGACATCATTCAAACTTTGTGAAGATGTGCTATTAGAATGCTAATTCCTGTCTCCTGTTAGAAACCACCCCAGAACAATTCATCAAATGATTTTAGTTTTGTGCTTAGGAACAATAATCTTGCAGAAATTCTGGTTATTAAAATATGCAGGAAGGACAGGATATAAGATGGATAAAAGAAAATATGAAATATGTGTGCAATCAAATGTATCTTGGGAATGTTCCGCCTCCACACAATTTGTGGATTTCAGGATCCAAAGACTAAGGCTGTAATCCTGCACATGTTAATTAGGGAGCAGGCCCAAAAAACTGCATGGGCTTTACTTTTCAGGAAACCTGCTGAAGGATTAGGCTGAGCACCAGGACACTAGCAAGCTTCCAAGTTGCACAGAACCCTTCTTCTTCCAGAAATAATTCCTGCCTGAAGACCTTATGTCAGCTAAACAGCTGGTTTCATACAAAATGAAATACTATACAAATAAAATACAAATGATAAAGGAACATACCAGGTCAGACTATTTGTCCATCTCATGCCACATTTACATGGTACATTTAGAGCACTCTGACACCACTTTAAACAGTCATGGCTTCCCTGTAAGAATTCTGGGAGCTGTGGTTTGTTAAGGGTGCTGAGAGTTGTTAGGAGAGCCCTAGAGCTACAATTTCAGAGGGGTTCAACAATCAATCCCTATTCACAGGGTGAATGTGGCCTGAGTCCAGTATTATCTGTGGAAGTAACAGAAAGTTGTACGAATAGCAGCAGCTCTCCAAGGGGTCCGGTAGAGGCCTTTCCCCATTTCTTTCTACCTGGTCCTTCTAAGTGGAGATGCCAGAGATTAACCTGGGACCTTCTGTGTGCTCCAATACGGAATTACAGTCTTTCCCCAAAACATGGCTGTCCCAATATTAGCAAGTTGGAATTTGACTTTACAGAACATCCTAAGCAACAGATACAATGCCAACTGGTGAGTTTGGGCTTGTGTGGGGATATTTAGTGTCCTTGTCAAAGATTCACTAAATGTGAAGATTAAAAATATGGAGAGATGCAGCGGGGTGTGTGTGTGTGTGTGTGTGTGTGTGTGTGTGCAATCATTCCCCTTGCTCGCCATTTGTTGGAGGGCAAGCTTCTGAAGCAAGAAGTCTCCCCATGAGTTTTGGAATCGTGGTTTTCCAGGGTTCTAAAATATGCAGGGAGCCAACAGCAGCACAGGAACTGTCATTCACTCTCATCACTCTCCAACTGTCAGTCACTCTCCAACAATAGTGACACAGGAGGAGGAGGGAAGATGGCACATTTGTCCCCCTTGCCCCCCCATTGTGCATTGACTCTATAATAATAATAATAATAATAATAATAATGATAATAATAATAATAATTTATACCCCACCCATCTGGCTGAGTTTCCCCAGCCACTCTGGGCGGCTCCCAATAAAATGTTAAAAACAGTACAGATGTTAAAATGTACTGTTAAAAACTCTACAGATTTAGCGATTGCCTGAAGAGGGATTAAGACACAGTCCTGCCTCTCTACGTAATGACAGAGCTGCATGGTATAGTTTCTTCCATTTAACCTAGTATTGTCTACTAGGACTGGCAGCAGCATGTAGACAGATATCATTCCCACCATCTGCCAGGGAATGAATCTGGGACATTTGGCACACAAAGTAGCTTCTCTACCACTAAGTTATGGTCCTTCCACATAAAGCAGGGGGTGGGAAGGGAATGTGGCCATCCAGCCTTCTCTCTCTGTGACCCCCCAAGCCACACCCTTCCTCACCAGTCCTGCTCTGTGCCCTCTTCCAAATAAGTTTATCTGGCTGGAATGTGTCCACGAATTTTCAGGATTCCTCTTGCCTGCTTGGAAGGAGCCGTGCCTGTATGTCCTCCTACTGCTAACATACGGGTCTCATAAGGTTTTCTGCAAGGGATCGCAACCCAGGCTGAAAAGGGACCTCCCACCCCTGCCATAAAGAGATAGAGTCCCTTAGAACAGGTGCATTGGTGGAGAAAGGGCATCTGGGCACACAGATAACTTGTCAAAAGGCATCATCCACTAAGCAACTGAGGGTGAGATGGAGGGAACGGAGCTCAGAGTCACTGGACTAATGCTAAAGGGCCTTTTGTCCCTGAGCCCAACCTTCTTCCTGTCCCCACCTTGGGAGGTGAAAAAAGGACTCAGCCTTCCTTTGCTTCTATGCCAACTGTGGTGGGATAAGGGAATGAGTTGCTTTTGGTGTAGGCTGTACTTACGTCTCACTCAAGCACGACTCTTCTCCCATCCCCTCTGGGCCAAGCCTGAGAATTGCATGTGACCTGCTTTGGTATGCTCTCCCCCAGGACCAGATTTGAAGTTTTGGTGGGTCTGCAAGTATATGAAGTCTCCGCCATTGCCCTCACCTGATACAACAGCCCTTTTGATGTCCACACACATTCCACTTTACACACTTAAAGAGGGATCGACATCTTGCCTGTGACATTTTCAGAATTCTAAAATGATCTCTGTGTGATTATTGTTATTTGCAGGCATTCCCCTTAACCTTCCTTAAAAATAAAATGTCAGCTTCTTGTTGGAGCGTCACAGCTCCATCCGAAAGGTTATGGGACATATTCTGCTGCCAACTGTACTGCTGGTGCAACACTATTAATTTCGGATTAAGGGCAGAGGTATAAACGAATGCCATTTGATCTTTGGTGCATATTTATTTGCACGTATCACACAGCACACAGTGTTTATATTGAAGCTACTTGACACATACCAGAGACCATCCTGTTGTATTACTCAGGATTCACAGCAACATCACAATGACCGACAGCTGGTCCTTGCTTTGCAGTTCACTGTTTGCACAGTCAGGTCCCACACTGCACTGGGTAATGTCTGAAATGTGGAGTTGTCATGCAAACTGTCTCTGGTCCCGGATGTTCCCTGTGCAACATAGTAGGAACCTGACCTGCTGCAACAGTAACCATTGCTACCACATTAACATAAGAACCAACTTTGACTTAATGTGCTCTGAGATTTTGTATGCTTGCTTACTGAGGATACAGACTTTGTACCAAGTTGCTGATGCACAGGGTTATGTCTACGATCCTATGCACACGCACCAGGGATTAAAGCCACAGTGAATACAATAGGGCATTCAACTTCCAAGCCAACATGCCTAGGACTGCACCCTAAGTATGATTAAATCCTGATCCTTGCACGGATGCCAACAAAATTCATTCTGTAAGGAAGCAGGAATCTAACACAAACAGAGGGACAATTTGGAGTCAATATAAACCTAGTAGGAAAATTATTTTGAAAGTTGTGGAAAATGGGACAGGTCTTGCCAGTTCAGTTTGTTCCTCTTAACTGATTTGTCAAGTCAAAGTTATGGCTTGACTTGGCCTCTACTAGTTGCTAGCAATAAATTGGAAAGTTGCTAGAAATAAGCTGGAAAGTTGTCGGCTTGCGGTAGGTCTGTCGCTGATTCTGTTAAATGGTGCCTTAGACCTGTTGACAAGAAATATGAGAGGATTCACATGACAGGACTTGTGAGTGCACAAGCCCTCTATCTTCTGCGAGCAGATAAATCTGTGGCATCGTTTCAAAGAGGTGTCCTTGGAACAAGCAATCAGTCTTCCTTGTGGACTCTGGTTGTTAAAACTATTGCTTTTAGCAGTAATTAAGGGAGTCGCACTTTCAGCACAGTGTAAACAAGGCATTCCTTCCACATGCACACTCTGTTATAAGAGTTTGGAAAACCAAAGATACACTTTCATCACTCTTTTGGTGAAGCATGGAACAAACTGAGTATCTGAGGCAAAGCATAATAAAATGTCATGTGATAGCAATAAACTTTCCAAAGAATAATGCCTGATCCTAGCAATGGTTAAGTATCTTTAAATGCCATTGACTTCGATGACTGAGTGGAAGAGAGTAGGGTTAAGTATGTGCTTAACTATATATAAAAGAGGGCTTAGTTTTGTGCCTATACTCAAATATACTTTTGCATGCATATAAAAATCACAGGATTGCCAGTTATCCTCCAAAAAGCATTAAAGAAAAGAAAAGGTCCTGTTCTATAGCTCTGCGCGCGCACCCCCCCCCCCCCCATCCTTGAGTCCCACGTATTTCCTTAGCGCTTGTGAGATTTAGAAATCACGTCGTTGGAGTCTATGCCAGAAAACTTTCAGCTCTCTCATGTAAAATGGGAAGCAAGAGGGAAAAGCCTTTCTCAGAAGGAAAGGGCTGGTGGTGGAAACTTTCCCTCCAGGGACGGTGATAACAAATAATGATAACAAATACAACCAAGGCAGCAGTTTGCATGTGGGCAAGGAGGAAGAAAAACCAAATTTCAGGAGTTGGTAGGGCAGGAGGGGAAAGAACAGAACAGAGACGCGTGGAAGGAGGAGGAAACTTACAAGGCGAGAGGAGAAACTTGCAAGGCTTGGCAGGATGCGCTGGAAGCGGCTGTGCAACTGCGGATTTCTCCCTCTCTTCTCTTTCGGTCTCTTCTCTGTCTCTCGGCCAGGCTGGGCAGCTCGGCATCCACGAATCTCCACCCTGGGGAAGCCACGCACGTCTCACCTTCCTGGGTGTGTTGCAGCTACTATTGCTGCTGCGAGAAGGCGGCGGCGGCGGCGGCAGCCTCAGTCCCTTGGGTGGCTGCGCGCAGGACTGTCCTAAGGCTTGGATCCGTTTGGCTTCGCCCCCCTGGATTTATAGCCAGGGCGGCTGCTCGTTGCGCGGCTGCGTTCCCCTCCAGCTCACACTCCACCCGCCCCGCTCCCTCCTGGGAGAGCCCCTAGTTCTGGGCCTCGCTTCTCCCCCCGCCCCACTTCCCCTCCCAACACGTGAATGAATCAGCCTCGGCTCAGACCCGCTTCCTCGCCGCCCCCTCCCCGTCCAGCGCAGCCCAGCAGCGCCGCTAATGAAATCGCTGTCGATGGACACGCCTCCACCCGTTCCGCTTGTTAACGCCGCCCGAGGCTCCCGCTTCCTGTCCCTACCGCTGCGGGGAAGGGGGTCGATCTGTTTCAGGTGCGCTTTGGCTCCCCCACCGCGTTTAGGTCAGGGAACATCTTGTTCTCCATAACTTATTAGAGGGGAGGGGGAGAGCGACCAGTGAAGAAAGACAGACCCGGAAAGTGCCGTTTGCAAAGTTGGAAAATCCTGCGTATTTGTTTCCCACTCGTGTTTGTGTTTCTACCACCCCAGTTGCAAGGAAGGCAGGATGCTGGCGTCGGGGCGCTCGGATCCCTACACGAGTGAAACGCACAGATTTGTAGAAACTGCAGGGAAAGAGCGCAGAAAGAGAAAGTTGCTCACACCTTAAGCTCAGTCCAACACACGCTATGCTGAGCATCCCACGAGAGTCCCGTGGTTTTTGAGGCTCAGGCAGACCTCCCTGACGTAGTAGGGTCTGGGCACTGCATGTGGGTTGTGATCTGCCCTAGTATTTCGCGGACACCGCCCCCCCCCCCGCCCCGGCAGCCTCTGAAGCCCTCCCGACAATGGGTTTGGGCGGGGGAATCACGCGTCGACGTAGCCTTCATCTGTAGAGGACGCCGCGTGGGCGGACAGGCGGGAATCTACGCGGTGCTGAATGTCTGCATCAGGTTAGAGGAGTGCATAGCACCCAACCCTATCACAGGCCTGCTTGCAAGTGTATAAGCCGTGGCTGTGCACAACCCATCATACGTAATGATGGGTGTATGGTTAGCATTAAAACAAAATACAGTGGTACCTCTGGTTGCGAACGGGATCCATTCTGGAGCCCCGTTTGCAACATGAGCAGAACGCAACCCATGTCTGCGCGTGTGTGGGTTGTGATTCACTGCTTCCGCGCATGCATGTGACGTCATTTTGAGTGTCTGTGCATGCGCAAGCGGCGGAACCCGGAAGTAACCCTTTCCAGTACTTTCGGGTCGCCGCGGGATGCAACCTGAAAAACCGTAACCTGAACTGAACGTGACAAGAGGTATGACTGTACAGATAAGGGATCTTTAATCGACACCTACATTATTTATAAAATTATACTGGCGGTGATAGTGATGGATATATCCTATCAAGCCAATACAAGTACACTTCTTCAGTTTGCTGTTGATGCTGAAACTAGGGTGACATATGTTTTTCAGCAGCTGTTCATGTATATTCAATGGGGAGTAGTCTGGCAGCATGTGTTTGCACATCTGTTTGCTAAGTCAGAAATTGAAATGCACTTTAGAACTTCTTCCAAGGAGACTCATAGGCCTCCCTCCCCAGCAGTAAAAAAAGCCAACTTGGAGACACAAATATAGGTACTATATAGGTCTTTGAATGTTCTTAAGCTACAGATCCTGAGCTTCTGTGTCTAGCAGTGAAGCCTTGGACACCTTGGTGTTCTGGAAAGCTGGAATACATCTTTGCCCAAGATGAATCTTTTCCAAGCAGCGAGGCAGAGTCAACAGCGACTGATGTGCACACACCCAACACTTCTGTGTAACACGATGCTGATGTAATATTGTTCATTTAACATGAAGGGGGTGGGAATCCTAATTCCACCAGAGTTATGTTGTGAGCTCTGCAAAGAAAATACCCTTCTGTTTAAATGTGTCAATGCTGTAAGCTCTGTTCTTCCATGATTAATGAGCTGGGCATAGAACAAATTTGTATTTATTAACGCAGAACTGTTTATCCAGAGCTGCAGTCAGATTTGGTTGAACTTCTTATTAGAGATATCACTGGAATGAGAAATGAATGCCAAGATTCTTTTTCTTTACAGCCTCTTTGCGTGCTCAGCACTTTCTTACGAAAGGCATGCTTGCTGCATGTAGGAGGGGAGGGGAAGGGAAAGGCAGAGTCACAAATCTCACGTCTGCTGCAAAGTCTCTCTGTCATCAACCTGAGTGGGAGCAGTACCTAGGCATTGCTATACAAGTTTGCAGACAGATGCAGATCTTGGACCAGCCTTCACTGTGCCCCATCAGTCAGAATTCTTGGCCCCTCTGGTGCCTTTAGTGCCCTATCACATTGATGCCCTGTTATGGTGACTTCTCCCTCACTTCTGATAGAGTCACACTTCTCTGAATTTTGCCATGCAGTTCTCCAGCCAATAAGGTGAGACTGAAGAGACCAATACAGTGGTACCTTGCTTCTCAATTGCCTCGGTACTCAAACAACTTGGAACCCAAACACTGCAAACCTGGAAGTAAGTGTTCCGGTTTGCGAACTTTTTTTTCAGAAGCCTAACGTGCTCCGTTTTGAGTGTTACGCTTCTGATTTGAGTGTTATGCTTCCAATTTGAGTGCCACACTTCCACTTTGAGTATTACGCTTAGGTCTGTCTGTTTTTGCTATTTATTTTGCATTTTTGTTTTTGAGACTCTTTTTGGTTTGTTTTTTTGTGACTGTGTGGAACCCAGTTCAGCTACTAATTGATTGATTGTGTGACTGCAGCACATTGCTTATTGCTTTCATTTTATGGATCAATGGTTTCGTTTTCATTTGGACTACACTGGCAATGCCAAGAAGGAGAATCTTGACATCTGGGTAGCGTAGCCCAGGACCTCCACACACACAGCCCAGGCTTGTGCCTCAGGGAGGTCACTTCAGTACTGCTAATGCAGCAATTTGACTTCACCCCTGGAAACACACTCCATTGTCTTTCGAGACAGATGGATATCAACAATCTCCAGCCAAGTAATGTGTCCAAAATGCTTATATGTGGGTAAAGCATACATAAAAATGTGTACAGTGAAAATGACATACACTGATTCCCAAAAATGACTATATTGGGCAAAATCGCATACATCAATGTGTATATTAAGAGAATTGCACCCTAAAATGCTGGGAACTTAACAAAATGCAAACTGATGTGGAAATATGGAAAACTGGATTTAAAATGAAATTTTACCCTTCAATAGGCTTGGGGAGATGGGTGGTAGCCCTCTACCCTTTGGAAGCAAGAGGATGGTTTTTCAGTTCTGGCTTTGGATTACACGACCTAACTTGAATTTGGCATATTTTAATATTTTGCGTGCTAAGCACTTGTAAGTCCTACTGGTGTGAATAGGAGAAAACTACACATGTACTTAGGGACATGGGTGGCGCTATGGGTTAAACCACAGAGCCTAGGACTTGCCAATCAGAAGGTTGGTGGTTCGAATCCCCGCGACGGGGTGAGCTCCCATTGCTCGGTCCCTGCTCCTGCCAACCTAGCAGTTCGAAAGCACGTCAAAGTGCAAGTCGATAAATAGGTACCGCTCTGGCGGGAAGGTAAACAGTGTTTCCGTGTGTTTCTCTGGTTTGCTAGAAGCGGCTTAGTCATGCTGGCCACATGACTTGGAAGCTGTACACCGGCTCCCTCAGCCAGTAAAGCGAGATGAGCGCCGCAAACCCAGAGTCGGCCATGACTGGACCTAATGGTCAGGGGTACCTTTACTTTTACACATGTACTTAATTCTCTCACTGAAATCAACTAGACTTTTTTTTAAGTGATTGGTTTTGGGGGACTAGATGCAAAATGGAATAGAACTACTGCACCTTGAATAGTTGTATAGAAGAGGGTATTTCAGCAAACATGTTACTCCTGTTCAAATTCTCTCTTCTATAAAACTATTCAAGATGAAGGAGCCCACCCTAGAGAGCAGCTGGGCAACGTCACTGGAACATGTTCTATATTTATATTACCTGGTCTTGTTCAAGTACACTTTTGTTGTTTTCAATTAATTAATATGTTCTCTTGCATCTTCTTCCACGCCAATTTTCTACTTATTGCTTGGAGTATTTTTCCCAGTATTGCTATTAACCCAACTTGCCGATAATTTCTCTAACCTTTATTTTAGCACATCTTGAGGATGGGGATGATTGCCGTAATTGTTTCCTTGTACCTCACTGTGGTTGGTCTGGTTCACTCTGTTGTTTTTCTATTGAGTCTGAATTAAATAGGACATCCATCATTTGCAAACAATAGTGGGCTAAATTAATCCCGGATGAAACTCTACTGGAGCAAATGAAGTTGCTGCCATTCTACCTTTGCTCTGCTCTGCTCTGCTTTGCCAATCAAACAGCTTGTTGGAATAGTGCCAGTGCTTCCCCCTCCCCCTTAAAAATAATGTTTAGGGGTACTCTCATTTTGACTCAAGAAAATCACCATTTTATAGTTAATATCAGGAAAAATAAATACAGTAAATGGACAAAAGTATTCACAAAATGTTTAGGGGTATGCGTCCCCCCAGAAAAAAAGCACTGAATAGTGCTAATCATAAACACAGATTTCCAGCAATTAACTTCCAATTTCCTTTTAGCCTCTAATATAAACAATAACCAGCAATGTATAGTAAAGTTCTTCTTCCAAACATGTCAGTATGGGAGAATGTTGTTTGGCGGGCAACTGTTTTTTTGCGAGTCTTACATTTCCCCCATTTTCTCTCATCATAAACCATTGCTTGACAAGTTGACAAACTGCTGTCTTAATGGAAATTTTTGGTGAGACAATGTGATATAGTGTGGCACTGTGTGTGTGTGTGTGTGTGATATATACACACACACACACACACACACACATATACATATGCATATACATATACATATACATGGATGCAGGTGGTGCTGTGATCTAAACCACTGAGTCTCTTGGACGTGCTAATCAGAAGGTCGGCGGTTCGAATCCCCACGACGGGGTGAGCTCCCGTTGCTCAGTCCCTGCTCCTGCCAACCTAGCAGTTCGAAAGCACACCAGTGCAAGTAGATAAATAGGTACTGCTCCGGCGGGAAGGTAAACGGCATTTCCGTGCGCTGTAGTTTCCGTCACGGTGTTTCCGTTGTGCCAGAAGCAGTTTAGTCCTGCTGACCACAAGACACGGAAAGCTGTCTGTGGACAAATGCCGGCTCCCTCAGCCTGAAAGCGAGAAGAGCACCGCAACCCTATAGTTGCCTTTGACTGGACTTAACCATCCAGGGGTTCTTTACCACTTTGTATTTTCCTAGAAAATCTAGCATTCTAAAAACCGGAGGTCAGACCCAAAGTTTATTTAGATCGCAGTGGGTCTACTCCGCTCTTCCCTCAATAAGGAATGAAGGGGGGGGGAGAGGTTTAATACAAAATAAATAAATAAATAAATAAATAAATAAATGTAACATCTTGCTGCTGGTAAATAAAAATGGTATCACAAGCTGTTAATAGCAGGAATACAAGGAGGGATTTAACCAATAACTCACCCTAATATTGTGGCCGCATTACCCAACAGCCATCTTAAGTGAGGGTGTCTGTCACTGTATGTTGAAATGTTGCGTAATGTCCAGTAGTACAAGTGGTTGTAGAAAGGATATGAAGATACAGCTTGTATTACCCAAGAGATGCATAGGCATTGATGATCATGATGTTGTTGTTTATTGAATTTATACCTTGTGCTTCCTCCCCAAGGAGCCCAGGGCAACAAACAGACACACAACTTAAAAAACCAAAAACAAAGCAAAAGTATTATGTTGGTATAATGAAAGTTAATGTCTAGACTGTTAGGAATGAATTCTCCAAATCTCATCCATCTATTGCTGTGTATAAAGCAGTTTGTTTTAAAAAGAGAATTTAGAGCAGACTTGTTAAATCTTTATAAGCGCAACACATCCTTGCAAATTTCGGAGATCGTAAAATGAGAAGATCTGGAATATTCAACAGCAGTTATTATTTATCAGTAACTCACAATGATGTTTGACTTCTTAATAATTGACTTCTTCTGCAATTGATGTCGGGCTAATGTGTTGTTAATATTCTAAATATCATTTTATAAAAGAGAAACACTCAACAGAACAATAATAATAATAATAAATGCTAGCCTGAGTGGAATTAACTTTTATGGTCTGTATATTGTCTGTCTCTTCCAGTTGAAGATTAGTATTGCATAGGGAAAGCATGAAAACATCCATAAAGCATAATTTATTTTATGCCATCCTTTCACCTCTCAGCAACATGATACATAATTAGATTTTACTGATGCTAAAATATGGTTTCAGGGTATGGGCTGAAGGCGCATGAGGCCACTATCTTGCTGCTGCTTAGCAGGTCTGGTGCTGGTCATTGATGGGAGAAATTACCTCCTCAAAACCACATGCCCAGAGTTCCTTGACCATGACAGCACAAAGTTTCAATTTTTCCCCATAGTGGAGAATGGTTTAAACATTCCATTTCTTGCACTTCTTTGTTCTGGTCACTGCAATATACAGGGGTATCTTGGGTTAAGTACTTAATTCGTTCCGGATGTCCATTCTTAACCTGAAACTGTTCTTAACCCGGAGCACCACTTTAGCTAATGGGGCCTCCCGCTGCCGCTGCGCTGCGGGAGCACGATTTCTGTTCTCATCCTGAAGCAAAGTTCTTAACTCGAGGTAATATTTCTGGGTTAGCGGAGTCTGTAACCTGAAGCGTATGTAACCTGAGGTACCACTGTATCTTGGAGTGACTTTTCCCTAACAAGTGGCTGTCAGAGTTTAGTTAGCTCTTAACCACCATTCTATCCTTTATCTCTTACTCTCTTTGGGTACACTATCTGCATTGTGTCAAATGTTGCCGTTCTGCTTGTGCGACAGATTTCCACTTGCACAATGTCGCTGTACCTCAAAATCTGCTCCAGAGGGTTGGAAGACCCCTTAAAAGAAGATTTCTTTGAGGGAGGGGACATGAGGAGAGAAGAGGAAGGTGAAGTCCCATTGCGTGTGTCAAACACTGTTTGTGTGAGATCAATCAATTTGTAACTTAAGGATTAATTCCGTTAGTGTTAAAGTCAACTAGCCAAGATGGGTGGAGGTGTTGCTTAGCAGCCAGGAAGAGTAGCATGATCTTCACTGAGGTGGCACATGCCCTGATTGGCTGCATAGTTCTGAGTGGGTTTTTTCTCTGTATGTTGAGTTGAATGTATTCCTGCTGTGTACAAGGCCTTAGAATAACAAAAATCTGTTGGTTTATTTCTCCTCAGATTATACACTGTTTTGTTCAGTTTCTTTAGTAAAGTAAATACTTTTCTTGTTGGACTCTCTCTGCGTTATTTAAGAGACTCTATTAATAGTCTCTGCAGTGCTGGATACAACCCGCTTTGTAATCCACTTTGAATTATGTATCCACTTGTGTGTTCAGACCTTTAAACCTCCCCCTTAAATAAATTCAGACAAGACTCAAATTTTGGTCTGGTTTTGGCAGAATTTAGGCCACAACTTTATTGATTACAGCAAGTGAATGGTTGCATAGGCTCTGGTTCGACTAGCTCCCTACACCGTTGCAGGTAGCGCTGACTCAGGGCACCAGCATAGGTCAGCCTAGGGTGAACATCTGGATAAGCGGAAAGCTGGGAACAAGCTATCTCCGCCACCCAAATGCCCCCCTGGACTCAGGCTCGGGCACAACCCCCTCACAGGGGTTGACCAAACCATCGAGCCCCTGGATTCCTTTAATGGAATACCCTTCACATAGGGATGGCGAGAGCATTCTCCCATCCCTATCACCTGAACCAGAGCCTATCCGCAACCTTACAAGTTGTGATGATTTGCTACGCGGCAGGTGAAACCCAAATGGCAACAGCCAATCAGCCAAGTGGGGGAAATTCCTGCCATGCCCCTGTCCCAACGACAGACGACACACGACGGCATAGCAATGTCAAGCGCAAAGCCCTAAAAGTAGGGAGAGGTGGGCAAGTGTTCCGATGGACGCATCAAAAGAGGAAGCTCTGGGTCACATGCAGAGGTATATATAGGTCCCTTGATCCGTTTAGCATGCATCCCATTGGCCTGATTAAACCCAGCATCAAGGGACCTACCAACTGGGTGTTGTGGCTATTCAATCGAACCCACCCACAACACAGGGTTTGGTTGCCAGGTCTCATCGCAACATGTGCCCTCTTTAAGGGAGGACCCGATTTCTAATAACTATTGCCAGTGTAAGAGTTGAGACACTGCTTGCTACCCATAACCAAGTCACATGAAGGAGGAAGCAGAGCTTTATTTATTATTTCTCTGATAAACAATAATAAAACAGAATGGCTTAGAAAGGACACCATGCATTATCTATTTCACCCTTCAACCTGAGACCGCATGTTACATTTTGGAACAAAGTAAGAGAAAAGTGTTGAACAATTTGGGCTCACATTTCATAGTTCAGAGAGTCACATAAAATTCCTGGAAAGTCACATTAGAATGAAATATGGGAAAGAAGCGCTAGAACATCTTTAAAAGCAAACGTAAAAAAGGGAACTGCATAAGATTTATTAATATTATGTTGCGCAACTTCTCATTCCAATGGGGGTGGGTGGGTGAATTTAGGATTTCTCTCTCTCTTTTTCTCTCTCCGTGCTTTTTTGAGCGCAGCAGCATAGGCTAGAAACACCAGTTCCTCTTGCACGTCAATATATTGACGGATTGCTGTTAAACAGCTGCTGTTTTGAGTTGCCAGGTCTCCAAGAGGGGCCTTGTGATGCCAGAAGATTGGCTCTGGTGATAGCAAAAGTGGAGACTGTGGATGATGAAAACAACACAAAAAAAGAAGGGTCTGGGGATGTTCAGTCCAGATAAAATGTTGCTTGCTTCCATCTGGCTGAAAGTTCTATTGATCCCAAGTGCTGGTTCATAGAGTTGGCAGCATTTGTCCTTCGTGGGTTATTGGCCCATGCACCCTGGCCTTGGGACTCTTGCCTGTCTGCGATTACCATGTGTCTTGGCCCCACATGCATTTGCTTCATGTGCACCCCTATCATTCCCCTTTGCTACCCTTTCTCCTCCCTTGCCACCTCCTAGAGCCGTGACCACCTACCTGGTCAATGGTCAGGTCTGCAATGATGGGAGTCGGAGTCTAACAACTACTGGTGGGTGCCATATTGGCTATCCCTGTTCTAGAGTAACCAGCCTGTTTTTCTATGTTCAGCCTCATTTTAGAGATCTGCTTATGTGCATTTATTTATCTATTTAGAAGGTTGAGCAACTGCTTGATCCCCAAGAGGTGTGCAATATAGATAATGTGGTGCTAGTGGCAGGCAAGAACCACAGTCCATTCTGTTTTCAGGCAGGCAAGAGCATGGATGCAGTAGTTATGCTCTTTTTACAAAAGTTTTGAAGTTCTTGCAAGCTTCAAGGCCTTGGCCATTGTGGCAGAGCCAGAATTTAAATTTGTGCTTTTCTCTCTTCAGAATTACGCTTCATTGTAGAGGAGCAGAGGAGTACGGCGTGACATGACCTGTGACTTTGCAAAACAAATTGCCGGAGACTGGGCAACCATCAGAAATAGCGAGTGGCTCAATTGAAATGCTTTTAGTCCATCTCCGAACGCATTTGTTTCATTACACACAGCCAGCTGCGTCATTAACATCTTGTTCCATGCTGAAATTTGCTCTAATATACAGGCCAGACTAACAAGAAAAAGTATGCGAGGCTAGTTAGGCTTTTGCTTTTATGAAATGTTTCTATGGTGTCTGCTGCATTTGAAATGCCACGAAGAGATTGGGGCTTAGGACTTTTTGTCCTCAGATAAATCCATTCCAGGAAAGTGATAAGCTTCTCATTAAAGCAGCTACAGAGCACATCTCAAAAATAATTCCTTATGTGCTGCTGTGTGTGGAAGTCTTGCTATCAAACATACTAAACAAGGAGAGAAAAAGTCTTCATTTTTAATCCTCTTCCACTAACTTGCTTACCAGTTTAAAGGACCCAGTACAGAGAAGGCAGGCACTATTTGCAATCTGTTGATGCAGTAATTTTTACTCTTTTATTGTTGATGCAGTAATTTTACCAGTACAGTGATATAATCTGTTTGAGGACACTGGTGGGCATGCTTTCAACAAATCCAATAATCAAATTTCATATGGAGTGGGGGAAGTAAACAGTGCTTCAAATGTGAGATGTAGGCACCTAGAAATTGCTGGATATTCACGAAGATGGCATGAAATCACTTAGTCCTAATCCCTAATCTGCATCACTCAAGGGGGTTAGGATAAGCCAAGGTCCTATCTGCCAAGTTCTAGTAGTGGCCGGAGGCTCTGTCACTGTTGAGGCTAATGTTGTGTTCATTGGGGTGGCTCCGTAGGAATGGGGGATGAATTCAATTCAGTTTATAGTTAAAGGCAAACCTACACAACTCACACTTTCTGAAACCAAAAGAGCACCCTTCTTCAAAATTTGCATTTCTTTGAACTTTGCAGCTCAGTTTTCCAGCCAAGTAATGTGTACCACAATTGATATATTGGGGTAAAGTGTGCATAGAATTGTATGTATTAGTGAAGATGACATTTTAAAAAATGTGTTATATTAGAGGAAATGCTTTTCAAAAAAAGTTTGCATTAGTCAAAGCTGCATACGAAAATGTGCATATTAGGAAAAATGTGCATTAAAAATGCTGATAAATTTTCATGAGGAATTTCTTTGTAAAATAAATAAATAAATAAATAAATAACCAACCTGATGTGGAAATGCAGAGAACTGAATTTAAGAATGTGAACCTGTGAGAAAATGACCATGGCACAACTGCTAGTGGCGGCAGTTCCCCCAATGGCAATAGCCTATGACAAAGACCCAAAGTGGGGTACTTTGGGGTGCAGCTGGAGTGGGCTGCTGTTGCCTTTGGATCTGCTAGAAGGGTCCAGTCCTTGGGATGGTCAGCTACAGCTGCTCTTATTTGCCATAAACTGAAACAACAGCAGCAAAACAGAAGTGGGGAGCCTGAAACGAACTAGAGTTTGCTCTTCAAACTCACTTGGATGCCATGGCAATTCCTTGCCCAGTCAATGTGGACAGAGGCACAGCTATCTTATTATTGCACAGCAGTTATCCTTCATATGGGGGCATGGTGCCAAATGTTCCTGTCGCCTGCTTCTATTCTGGGCACATTAAGTGGAATGCCAGAAGGAAGGCAGCACAAAGCAAACAAACGGTGCTGGTTGTCAGTAGGTCACTCTGGTCAGAATGCTTCTCTGTAAGCTTTATGATAATTCAGTAAGTTTCTGTCGCCTGCTCCTATAATGTTAGTATCACAATCATTCCCAGAGAAATCACTGCTTAAAAACACAGCAATGAGCATGTGCTTGGCTTAACACTGTAGCTATAGCATGTGCTATTTGCTTGCTTGTTTTTTGGAAAAAAAAGAGAAAATATTTGTATTATGATATGATCATACACCTTTCCACTTGTAATAGGTTACACAGCACCAAAATGTCAAAATATCTTCTTCCCACCCATTACAGCTAAAGTATAGGCCCCTACAGGTAAGCATACAAAATATATATGCAAAAGAACAGCAAATCAGGATCTGAGGAATCAGAAGAAACGACAGACAGTCCAGCAATATGCTTGCCATAGTGCTCCACAATAAAACAAATGCTCTGTTTAAAAAAGATAAATAATTTTTAATCAATTCATTTTTATTCTACTATTACTCCAAGGAGCTCAGGGTTGTATACATGCTTCACCACAAATTTTGTTCGCACAATAACTCTGTGAGGTAGGCCCTGCTGAGAGGTAGCAATTAGCTCAAGGTGATGTCATTAACTTCACAGCCACATGGGGATTTGAACCTGTGACTCCCTGAGCCTAGTCTGTCTATGAACCTGCTTCTATATATAGTGGTACCTCACGTTAAGTACTTAATTTGTTCCGGAGGTCTGTTCTTAACCTGAAACTGTTCTTAACCTGAAGCACCACTTTAGCTAATGGGGCCTCCCGCTGCCACTGAATGATTTCTGTTCTCATCCTGAAGCAAAGTTCTTAACTTGCGGTACTATTTCTGGGTTAGTGGAGTCTGTAACCAGAAATGTATGTAACCTGAAGCGTATGTAACCCAAGGTACCACTGTACAGCGGGAGCTGCGGGAGGCCCATTAGCTAAAGTGGTGCTTCAGGTTAAGAACAGTTTCAGGTTAAGAACGGACCTCCAGAACAAATTAAGCACTTAACCCGAGGTACCACTGTACACACACCCCTAGCTGGAGAAAGAATGTTCACCCTTTTAAAGAAGTAGGAAACAGAAGAGTTAAGTGCTTTTAGTTTCTGGATGTTAACAAATAGCTGCACTAATTGATCCTGAGGTGTAATTATAACTGCAGCTTTCAAATGCCAGATTACCTAGTGGCAACAAACATAGCCACTGGATCATGAAGGCTGTAACGAGATTAAAGTGCCCTGTCATAAAATTAACTGATTATAAAAACCATACTGTCTGCTTAAGGCAAAACAAGTAAAGGGGGGGGGGAATTGCTTAGCAAACACTGTGTTATGTCATTGTTGAAGGTGAAGCAGAGCTGAGGCTGTTAATGTCAATGCTATGGCGATTTTGTCTGGTCAGAGGTGGGAATATATTCTGCCTCCCTCCTTAGATTTTATCCAGCTTTCCACCAGCCAGATATCAAGGTTTTCGAAGTTCAGAGGCAACCTACACCAACCAGCCCCAGTGCTTTGGAAGTGTTGAAGGGTAATAACTACCAGGATACTTTGCTTGAAGCAGGTCACGTACAGTTAACTCCCCTTGCTAGTTGCCCTTTGAACTTCTCTGTCTCTGCAGCCCTCCACGTCTGTATTATTACACTTGATCTTAGCCAAAAGGCTAAGACGTGGTGCTCGCTTTGGCAGCACATATACTAAAATTGGAATGATACAGAGAAGATTAGCATGGCCACCACGTCTATATTATTGACTGGTGGTAGGAGAACTAACAGATAGCATGAGGAAGCTATACAATTATATTACGATACACTCATTTGACTGCTGGGCATTCAACTTGTGGGTTCAGGCTAGGGATGTTGCTTGCCCCAAGACAAATTGGGATCTTTGAGTCTTCATATTTATAAACTGCAAAGCCTTGGGCTTCCAAGAGCTCAGTATAAACACTCAAAAACCCCAGTTTAGCTACTAGGCTGGTCCATCTAGCGCAGTATTATCTATGCTGACTGACCCAGCAGGCATACTTGGAGATGCTGGGACCTTCTGCATGCAAAGCAGATGTTCTTCCAATGAGTGGCTCCTGCGTAGTGATGCAGGCCTAAGTATATTTCTGTAACAGCTAGAGGTGGGGAAATCTGTCAGTTTCACTGTACAGTGGTACCTCGCAAGACGAATGCCTCTCAAGACGAAAAACTCGCAAGACGAAAGAGTTTTTGGTTTTTTGAGTTGCTTCGCGAGACGAATTTCCCTATGGGCTTGCTTCGCAAGATGGAAACGTCTTGCAAGTTTGTTTCCTTTTTCTTAAAACCGTTACAGTAATACAGGGTGCATTGCTTGAAGAGGTGCAGTTGCGACTTGACTTCGGGGAGCAACTCATAGCATGCGGTGTGGTAGCCTTTTTTGAGGTTTTTGAAGATTTTTTTGAAAAAATTGAAACCGTGCTTCGCAAGACGAAAAAACTCGCAAGACGAAAAAACTCGCAGAATGAATTAATTTCGTCTTGCGAGGCACCACTGTATTTCCAATTCTCATTTTTCGGTCTTAAGTTCAGTTCTCCAAATACAGTGGTACCTCAGGTTACATGCGCTTCAGGTTACATACGCTTCAGGTTACAGACTCCACTAACCCAGAAATAGTGCTTCAGGTTAAGAACTTTGCCTCAGGATGAGAACAGAAATTGTGCGGCGGCAGCAGGAGGCCCCATTAGCTAAAGTGGTGCTTCAGGTTAAGAACAGTTTCAGGTTAAGAACGGACCTCCAGAACGAATTAAGTACTTAATCCGAGGTACCACTGTATGTGTAATAGTTAGTGATTTTTTAAAAAGAAATCCTCAGCATTTTCATGCCCATTTCTCCTACCATACACGTTTTTTTTGTTTTGCAATTTTGCCTACTAGACACGTTTTTGTAAAACCGTTTTCTCCAACATAATGCATTTTTGTACGTTGTTTTTCGCCAGTAGGTGCATTTTTGGACCCATCACTTGGTGGAAAACTGCATTTCAAACTTCAGAAAGGCAGGAAATTTGAAGGATGGCTGTGTTTAGGTTTGAGTGCAGATTAGCTAGATAGGCATTTAAATTTGAACTGCACTGATTCCTCCCTTCTCTTAGCAAAAACCTTATGATGTTGCTTTGGCTTTAACCCGCTGTTCACCCAGCAGTCTCTGTATGCCTCTCATCCCATCACAGAGTTTTCTTATTTGCACTTCATGTACGTATATGGCTCTTTGTTAAAACTATTATATATATTCATTTGCCAATTAGCTTCAGATTTGAGCAGGCCCTAATTCATGTTGCAAGCTCTGTGGAATAGCTCAGAAATGGTTGTGAATGAATATGTATGGCCAGAGTGGTGAGCACAATTAATGTACTTAAAGATGTTAAGCAGATGTTCGTCATTAAGTTTGACATTGTGGGAGTGTTATACACGCTGTAATCAGTGCTGAATACTGTACATTTTAATCAGTCTGATACCGAAAAACACAAACTGGAGAGAGAAACAATAAGAACACAAAATAAGCATAATATCCAGAAGGGATTTATAAAGTGAAAAAGTTCAAATGAAATGCAATCTGCAATCTCTACTAATGCTGGTACCCTAATTAAAACGATCCCTTTGAGGCAGGCTAGACCAGAAAATAATTGATTTAGATATTTTCAGCTAAAGATGCCTTTAGTCCAATCCCTTAATGCAGGGCCCATGAGGGCGAAAGCAATTATTTGGGTCTTCCTTGCACTTTTAAATAGTATATAAATCTCCAATTATCCACCCCTGCCAATCTATATCTTATTTGTCTGGATGTGATATTTCACACTGACCTTTATTGAAGGCTCTGAGATGAGATTAAGCGTCCTGTGGATGTGCAGAAAATCTTGTCCCTCTCCTAATCAAAATCCAGACAGAAAGGGATGGTTCAGATTTTGGCAGCTTTAACAAGAGTTGCAGCACCTTGTTGATCATCAGTGCCTCCTTCATTCACCACTTCTTCTGATTAAAAAAAGAAACATAACTCATGTTTCCAGAGCACTTCGTTTGCAAAAGTCTGTGATATTTTTAACTTTTGAGATAGGTTCAGGGGAGACAGTGCTCGGCTAACAGAGCTCTAATCATTTGTGGGGCGTGCCAAGTGTTCTTGGCAACATCCGAGAAGGAAAAGTGATAAACCTACTGACCCAAAGTACAACACATGCTTTTTGGTGTTGCATTTCTGCATCTTAGGAACATACGCTGGTTTTATACTGAGTAAAACCATTGGTCTATTTAGCTCTGTGCTCTCTAGGTTAAGTGGTGGAGCTTCATGCTCTAGCACCGGGGGGCAGAGAGTAGGCTGGGGCGTGGCTGGCACGCGTCCTGGGGGCATGACGTGTACCCTGGGGGTGTGG